CAACATGCACAACGCTTAGCTGCCCAACAACAAGCGCTTCAACAACAACAGCAGCGTGACGTGGCTCAAGAACGTCAGCAGAACAATGAGGATGTCAACCAAGATGTCAACCAAGAGCTTGTCCATGCCTTGCGTGACATGGAGAACGGGGACCCGCAAAGACTTATCGAGAGGATTTACGATACCCTTCAGGGAGACCATCAGCTCGCAGAAGAAGACAATGGAAACGCCCTTGGCGAGCATGATCAACACAGCGACAGTGATGAAGACGATTCTGATTTTGTCCCTGTAGATTCTGACCTTGAATCTGATAACTCAGATGAACCGGAAGAGATCGAACAGTTTGAAAGATTTTTGAACCACGATGAGTTTCAACGTGATGATGACGATGAACAATTAGACGACGATCATTCAGATGATGGCCATTCCGATGCAGCGGAGGATGATGAACTTCCTAGGTTATTTGATCGTGTGGTGCGAGGTGCAGCTCAAGTACCAGATCCACCATTAGAAAGACCCAACCGTATCCCTGAGAGAGAGGAAATACCCCAGTTTGAGGACCTTCTCCAGGAGAGATTGGGAGCTGTGGATCCAGGCTTGAGAGTTGAACAAGACAATATCGACAATGAGGCATTCTTTTTCACACTACCTATCCCTCTGGTCATACTCGCTGCTGATCTATTCATCGTCATATACCTCTTATCCGTGTATTTTGTACCGACGCTGGTGGGCACATCTTTGGTTCACCTGGTGTTCTTCTTAGCATCGTTATTGAAAGGTTCGGTGTATAAGACCGTGGGGAAGTTTGTTCCACTACCAGATGATGAATCTGTGATGAACCTTGTCAAGCTCGCCAAGGATCATTCACCTAGTCTGCTGAGCATCGCCTTGAAGAACACTGTTCAACCAGTATGGAGAGGTTTGCTTGCAATTCATAACCAGGACAAACCCTTGACAAAGTTCGAACGTATTTTGATCCTATGTGTCTTCTTCTTAACTTTTGTTTCCGCCATTCATATGACGTTATCGAGACCAAAGGCAAGGTTCAGAGCAACAGGAAAGCCAATTGTTGGCATCGAGAGGAAGACATATGTCATCCTGTTCGGCCTCTTATCCACCATCAAGGTGTTTTCGATATTTGCTATTGAACTGTTCTTATTCCCTACATTTTGCGGTGGATTACTGATCTTTGTCCTATCACCAATCTTCCTTGACGAGACAAAGTGGAACTTATTATCCTTTTCTTTCACTGATTAGAGCGAATCAGCTGGAAGGTTGTATATAAACAAACACATCAATGGTCTTGTAATTCCATAGTCCAATCGTAAGGTGTGAACATGTCGCTGAACTCATTGACCCTTGTGTCAATGTTCTCCCATTTAGCTTGTTTCTTGATGATATACCAGTCAACCTTCAGCGCACCACCAAGAACTTGCCTTGCAAAGAGATCGCCAGATGGCCACGACTTGACATCTTCCACTATGTGACCCATTCCACCGTTAAGTGTGAACCAAACGTGGAAGTACGGAGCCTCTTTAGCAATGGAATGCCGGAACCCATCGGTGGAGTTCTTACCTTCTGTGTCTATGATTGGACTGTGCTGTTGTTCGAAGTCGTCCGCTTCCTCGAGTATCGCAGCCTTGAAGTATCCTCTGATACTCGAGGATAACGACATTGGGATTGGAACACACGTTATGGCAGCATGCTTGTTCTTGTTGACTGAGTTTTCATAAAACACAACAGCTTTGTTGAACCTTGTATAGTAGAATTTGGAAAGAGCAACCATGTACTGCTTAATCTCGTCCCACTCAGTCTCATCACAGTGCAGAGTATTTGGCAAGTGTCGCACAGGGACAATCATCGTGGTGAAGTCTGCAAGCTCAGGTTTTGGCGCCAAGGTGAGGTATACCGTCTCGCCCATACTCACCATCTCACAGCAGTGTTCATTCTCAATACAGAGTTGGCACCTCTCCAGCGCATCAATCTGTTTCTTAGTCTGGTGGTAATCACCAGACCTGAGGTCAACATCACCACGCTTGATGTATTTCGATAGCTTGGAGGAGTTCTCCTCCTGGTACTCCAGGTCGTTTGAGTACTTCTTATCCTTCATGATGTTCTTCACGATGGACCTTTGCGTGCCGCCAGTGGTTCTCTCTTCACGCAGCATCTCTTCGATCGTCATATCGTCCTCAGTCTTTCTGCTCCGCTCACCTGTGCCTGTGCCCGTGCTTCTATCACTCTTGCTCTGCTCATTGAACCTCTGTGTATAGTCCTTGAGTCTACGTTCCAACCTCTCGACATCGCTAGACCCTCTCATCTTATTCCTCAGCACCCTGGCGCTGAGCTCGTTCAGTTCATCCTGTGTTATTTTCCTTGGAGGCCTCTCCCTGTAGTCCTTGGCTATCCTCTCGCCAACGGGATCTCTGTCCCTTTGATCCATCCTCCTAGGCACGGTCCTCTCAGTAGTTCTGCCTAGAGATTACTCCCCGTTGGTGGTGACTGGAACCACGTCCGCCTGCAAACGGTATGAAAATTCCACTAGTGGGCTTGCGTCTGTGTGGATAAGCCCACAAAATTCCTCGTCCCCCTGCTGGCTCCGTCTAACCACCACACGCTGAAGGGGCTACACGGAGAGAGCTAGACGGAGAGCTAGACGGAGAGCTAGACAGAGAGCTGGGCAGAGAGAACTCACGGGCGTGTGCTAGCAAGAGAAAGAGACGGGGAGAAAGCCAGAAGAGCAATGAGGTACTGGTGCAAGAGCTGCGAGATATTTGTCGATGATAACAGCATCTCAAGGAAACAGCATGAGGTTAGCACAAGACACAAGGATGGGCTGAGGAGACTTCTCGAGGAACAGCACCGGAAGAATAGAGCCAATTTGAATGGTCCTCGCACGTTTGCTAAGCACGATGGGGGTCATGGAGCCGGTAGCAACGATTCTGTTGTGGAGGAAGACGACGTGGGCCAATGGGAAGAGGTTGAGCCCGAACCTACAGCTATACGAAGAGCACTGGGCTCACCGTTGAGGGACCCTGACGATGTGGAATGCCCTGGTGTAGCCACCACTGCAAAGGGGAACAAGTCGTGGGAGCCCACGACGAAGCAATTGGTGCTAGATAGTGACGAGGAGAAAGCCGATACCCAGAGTAAATCAACTTTTAAGAAGCGTAAGATACGAAAGTGAGGTACGCTACGCTTTTACGTATACATAGAGAGATAATTGAACGACAAATCAACAAAAATAAGAACCCGTTAGTGCTGGTTTTCTTCTTCTTCCTCTTTTGATTACAATATATACATGATGGTTATACTCCTGTTTCAATGGAACTCTCTAGAGCCTCCTCTAACGAATTCGAGCACTTTCCAGCCTTCGGTTTCCTTGTCATCAACGTTCTCAGCAATTCTTGTGAGGACCATGGCGTAGGAGCTCATCACGATGTTGGACTCAGTACCAGCAGCAATCTCACCGGTCTTGGCCTTTCTGTACAGCTGGATTTCTTGTGCTCTACATCCAACAACTAACACTGGGATGTTTGATGGGAGCATCTTTGCACTGACAATCTCAACACCTCTGATGTCCAAGATCTTGGAGTCAGAAAACAGCTCCTGATCACGGAACACCTTCTGCTGAGCAGCATACACGTTGAAAGGTGCCTCGGAGAACCACTGCTTCAACACTTTTTCATCACCTTTGACGTAGGCGTCAAGGACTTCAGGAATGATGTATTCACGGAGTTGTTTGGTGAAATCTTCAGTGTTGAAAGATGGATCCAGCTGTCTAAACAATCTGACAACTTGGGCAGACTCTGTCTCTGCAAACACGCCGCCAATCTTCTCAAAGATCGTTCTGATTAGTACAATCAATGGGTTTTCAGATTCATCCCAGTACTTCAGCTTGAAGTCACTGGTGGCCTTTCCCACCGCAGTCTTTGTTTGGAAGTCTTCAATCTTCTTACCCAAGTTCAGACCGTCGCCAGTGGCCTTGTGCTCTGTTGCAACAAGCGCTGAGCCGGCATCTTCGCTTGCCTTGACAGCCTTTGGTCTCTTTCCCGATGCCAGTTCTCTCTCTCTTCTTGCCCTTCTCTCTTCCTTGGACTCAAACCCACCGTAGGATAGCGAAGAGCCATCACTGAGGGACTCGCTCATGTCCTTGTAGATCTTTGTTTCTCTCACTGGGGCAATGACACTGTCAACACCTTCTGCAGTGCGCTCAAACGTCTTTCTGGTGAACTTACCAGCCTTGGAGTCCCACACATCAACAGCAACTTTCTCGATAACCTCACCAGTGTCCTTCATGGTTCTGCTCAGAACAGTCGTGTGCTTCTGCGCATTCTTGTACGCCTCCCTGGCCTTCTTGAACGCATCGGACTCTCCCAGCTTACCAGTCTCATCGGAAAGAGCCTTGATGCCCTCTTGCAACTCTTTCGACTTCTTCCACTCTTGTCTAAACGTCTCCGTGAACACCTGGAGTGGCGACTTCGGCGGCGCGTTCTGGAGACGCAACGCCGTGTGGAATGCTCTTGCCAATGATGGTGTCTTTACGCTTCTGTACATCTCGTAGATACAGCCAGGCCGTGTCTGTTCCTCGCTCTGTGTGCGTGTGCTCGTTAATGATGACCAGGTGGGAGGTCTAAGCGGACGGAGAAGAAAAACTGTGCGTTCTCGACGATTTCACCACAACTTTTCACTTTTCACGCTTTTTTTCCCAGCTCCGGTGGGCAGGCCCCGGTGGGAAAGCCGGGGAAGTCATCGGCCTACGACAAAATGGCAAGAGTTGATGGAAATGCTTCTTATGAGTGGCGATGTTTATATACAAGGGTCATTCTTCAGAGAGCGACACGTTCTCGAGTGTTTTGCCCTTGGAGTAGTACTGCTCCTTGACCTCGTCGTTGAGCTGCTTCAAGTAGTTCTTGAGAGCCGATGCGATGGTGAAGAGGTGGTTTACTGCCACCACAGTAGCTCCTCCCAGTTGAGCCCATAAGAGGTGCTTGACTCTGGTATTCCCCTTGTAGTAGAGGAGATTGAGTATGAAGGTGGATGATCCTGACTTGTCTTGTAGATCCAGGTCCATGACCTGGACTACAAGGAGAACAGCCACCGTTGGCAGCACAACGCAGAGGTACTTCTTCAGCACTGGCTTCCATAGCCTTGTGTAGATGTCAGCAACGGCCTCGTCAAAGTTTGCAGTGACCATTCTCTTCATCTCCATGAGTGGGATCTTGAAGACAGACAGCTCAAGGACATAGTTGACGATGATCAGCGAAAAAGCCAGGTATGATGTCGAGCCTGTGGAATCAGGTAATGAGGTACGGGGTATGTCAAACGCAAATGCATTGATAAAGGTGAAATAGCCAGTCCAGAGAAAGAAAACCATCACAATCGATACAATGTTTTTCAAGTTACTCCAGAGCACTGCACGGTTAGCTCCAACGAGTTGTAGGATTCCCACCTGTCCTTGTTCAGCCTGTGTGTATCTATGGATGATGTGGTTATCGTATACTCTCAGCAGGTTTGCCATTATCACGAGGCCTATCCCAATCGACTCAAGATCCAGTTTCATGTCCCTTAGGGACGTGGTGTTTGATCCAAGGACTAAACTGACCACGGCAAAGAGCGGTCTGCCGATGACATTGGCTGCTATAATCACACCACAGATCAATATTAGTGAGAAGACCCACAACATGAGGATGAAAACGATAACACGTACGCCAAACATCGGTGGTCTGTAAACAACTGTATATTGGTTTGTCGTTGTAACCTCATCCTCTGATTCGTCGAAATCGTCAAACTTTGGCTCCTCCTTGGGCACGTTTCTCTTCAAAGGAACATCATCCTTAGTCACTGGCACGAAGAGCTGACGCACGTACTTCCTTGAGACGGTATCGTGACGTGGAGCCCTGACGAAATACCCATCTGGAACGAACACCGCTTGAACAGGGGTGGTTCTGAATGCCTCTGTTGCCTCAGAGTCGGTCTTTGGAGACGTGTAGTCTGCGGGAGCATTGATAAACCAAGAAATGAGGTTTCTATACCTTATATGACCCCTTTCCTTAGGATCAGCTTTGCCCAGTATGAAGCTCGAGAGTCTCATCTGCGCACTGGCAGCACCAAACGCCCTAAACCAATACTGTCTGACATACTTCTTGATGACTGCATCATCCTTCGATATGATGAAGATCTCAAGCGGCGTGAGGAACGATGACAGTACAGTGACATCCACAGGCAACACCTTCACGTTAAGCAAGCCCAGCCCACGAGTCAACGCACCAACCCCAATCAGGATGAAAAGCATGTAGACCAGTATGCTCAGAGCTATACGGCTTATTTGGAACCTGAAGGGCCTGACAAGCGCTTCGTGTAACAGCCTCGTATTCGGATCATCTGGTGACCTTATAAAGAACAGCACTCCAGGACGTAGGATGTATTGGCGAACCATCCCAATGAAAAGGGCAAACAGACACATATACGTGGTCCCTATGCCCCAGTAGATCAGTGCATTGAAATAGACCTCGGTGACAGCCACGGACTCCATTACGCTCAGTTACTGGGTTCTTTTCCAGCGTTGATGATTTCTTCCCTGCCCTTCCTGGTCAACTGGGAACGGTTTCCTGCCTGGAGAGGGCGTTGAGCTCCCACTGAGTTTTTTTGGGGGGTCCCCGACGGTACGCGGACGGCTACGCGGATGGCTCAGCCTACAACGAACAATTGTAGAGGTATTGGATATGGAATAGTGATTTAAACAGAGTAGAACAACTGATGGTGGTTGTATATTACGACTCTGTGTAGTAATAGGTCTAATTGGTATATTATTGGGCCTTTTTGTCTTCATCTTTTGGGTCCAGTTTAGCCTCCTTGGCTTCTTTGGTTTGCTCAGTCTCTGGTTCCTTCGTAAGCTCATCGGCAACGTCATCGAGGATGATCTTGTCTTTAACAGGGATCTTCACGCCGGTGTCTTCCACCTGCTTGGTTTCTGTTTCAATCAGCTCCTCTTGTTCCTTAAGAAGATCCAGTCTCTTCTTGTTGGTGATGTCGCTATCGACAGCAGCCTCCACCACATGGTGAACCTCTTCTGGCATGGAACTCAAGACGGCCTGGAGAGCATCGTAAATGGTTTCCTGAGAGTTCAGACTGCCATAGGTGTATGCGTTGGACAACACCAGCAGCGTTGCGGGAATCTTCTCCTTCAAGGTCAAGTCAAGCCACATCTTGAGATGGTGGTTCAAATCAGCAGTGGCTATTCCATTGATCTTGATACCTCTTGAGGCACAAGCAGCTTGTAGCTCTGGAGCATTCAAGGAGTCAACACCCTCGTACTCAATGGCTCTATCGTCTTGTTTAATCTTCAAGAGCTTGTATCTGATTCTAAATCTGAGCATCTCATTGGTACCGATTGGCTGTAAGTTCAAGTACTTGGACATTGCAACAAGTTGAGCTCTTTGAAGGTTGTCCAGCACAGTATCGTCTTTAAACAATCTGGCCACTTTCATGGTTTGTTCTTTACTTGGCTGTTCAATACCGAGGGTCAGTTTTGTAATGAAGTCCTTAAACTCTGCACTTTGTTCATCTGTGACGGTACTTGGCAAGCGCATCTTGACGGTCTCTCTGAGCAAACTAGACACCTTTTCTCTGGTTGCACGAAGTGATTTGGTTTTCTTCTCCTTATCACTTGTCGACTCATAAGTGGATGGTAACAGATTTGGGAATAACTTCAAAGCTATAGGTAGAAGCAACTCCGCAAACGGTACAATGACAAACATTGAAAACGGAACCAATCTGACAATATCCTGGATGGTTCTCTCCAATTGTCTATTCTCTCTTCTTGTCAATTCGTACCCAGCAGCAGACTTGAGAACCAACTTGAAGGAAACCTTCATCTCGTACCCCAATAGTTTGGTACCATCCCAGTAGTGGTTTGCCTCATGCTTAACCTTTTCCCATAGTGTGAGCTTCACTGCTGGCTTCACTGCTGGCTTCACTGCTGGCTTCGCCTCAGCAAGCTTCACCGATGCCTGCTTTTGTTCACTGTCGGCTTTCTGCTGGTTGGACAGCCTATACGAGGAATGGATCTGTCTCTGGATCAGAACAGTTGAGCACCTCGTTGGAGCCTGACTGCGTACGCAGACAGCAAGGGAGAGCAGACGGTGTCTGGCAATAACTGACTGCATCTGGAAGGCGCAAAAGAACAAGTAAAGACACAGCCAATTGTTCTTGAGATTCTTTGAAGGGGCAGAATAACCTCAAACAACAACGTTCTTAATTATAAAAGGCGAAGAGAACACGAATTTGCAATGGATTTGTCGAAATGGTTGAAGAAACCCTTCTCGGATCCATTTTAGGTCATCGAGTCTTTTCCCTTTTGGCAGTGAGGGTCGATGCGTTTTCCCGGATGGGAATTGCCGAAATCGGCAGCATTTTCGTGAAAATGGGCGTTTCGCCAAAATCATTTTCACGAAAAGCTTCACGAAAAATTGCGCGAAAAGTTGCGCGAAAAAAAAGTTTTCCTGCCAACGGAAAACACGCACAATTGCGCAGAAACACCGTTGGGGTTTAACATCCGTACACCACCACGGCTCCTCTTTGGTTGTTTTTCCTCGTTTTGTGCTTTCCTTCTTCCGCACTTGTTCGACAAGCTCTTGTTCTGAGATTTACGCTGAGAGAACTGATATTTACGCCTACAGACCAAAGAGAAACCTCTGTGCATCAACAAAAAATTTCAGTTACCAAAACCACAGAGGAAAAAAAAAATTAGTAAGGCTTCACAGAACACAACAGAACACTGTCAAGGTCAACATTTTACCGTCGTCGGCTTCTTTTTAGACCTCTCTGTGTGCCTGTGCTTGTAATACTTTTCGAATAAAGCAACAAGAGCGGAAGAAACACAGTTAAATCCAGCATTTTCCGCTAGCTAAGGCTCTCTTTTTCTTTGTTTACTTTCATCCTGGCGGTACACTCTGTGAAGGCTTAATTACACAACATTGCATTTCATATACACAGCGGCTTCTTGTTCTATACTTCCACATATACATATCTGACACACATAAACACACTCTCAAATGGTGAAGAGAACAAGAGAGGACTCTATCGATGCTGAAAGAGATTCCAAGAAGACCGCACTGTCCAAGACAGATCTCATCGAGACCATTGCGTCCAACTTGGAGGAGGGCTCGAGCATGAGCGAGGAGTACTCATCGGATGATGATGAAGATGATCAGCAAGGAGGTAAAGAAGTACACAATGCTAACCAGGCCGGGTCAAAGAATACTAAGTCACTATCAGCTCAAGAGGTTCAGATTGCAAGAGAAACCGCGGAGCTGTTCAAGTCCAACATCTTCAAATTACAAATCGATGAGCTGATCAAAGAGGTGAGGCTTAAAGACAACAAAGTGGCCAAAATTGAGAAGTTCTTGCACAAACTCTACGATCTGATTCAGGAAGTTCCAGAGTTCAAGGAAAAGTCTATTGATCAAGTTGAATCTTGGTTTAGAGATAGAAAAACCACTGTCCCATTCAACGATCCCAAGCCAACAAATGTCAATTACAAGTTTGGGTATGGTAAACCAGAGAATGTCTCTATAGTGGGATCATTTGGTTTGAAAACAGCAATCCAATCCCCACGTGGGTTATCTGTTGATGTCAACGTTACAATGCCAGCAGACTTGTTCCAACAGAAGGATTATCTGAACTATAGAGCTCTTCATAAACGTGCATTCTACTTGGGTTATCTCACTGAGAATCTGAGAAAAATCTTTAAGAGAGAAAACTTGAATTTCATCAAACTGTCATATCATTATCTACACGGTGACTCATTAACACCAGTGCTCAAGATACGAGCCACTGATGATGATCTTAATTCTGAGTTGAACTTCAACAAGACCAAGTTCGCAATCAATATACTGGTTGGGTTCCCATTCGGAATCTTTGATTCAAAGAAACTTCTACCCAACAAGAACTGTATCAGAGTTCAAAAGGATGAAGAAATTGAACTACCAGCAACCCCGTTGTACAACTCGTCAATTTTGTCAATGACAACATATGATCACTACTTGAAGTTTTTGTACAAGACAAAGAAGAATGCGGAACAGTTCAAAGAAGCCTGTATCTTGGGGAGAATTTGGCTTCTTCAAAGAGGATTGGGAACATCCATTGAAGACGGTGGATTTGGCCACTTTGAATTTGCAGCTTTAACTGCAGCTTTGCTTAACGGTGGTGGTGAACAGGGTAATAAGATCCTTCTAAATGGATTCTCAAGCTACCAACTGTTTAAAGGTGTCATCAAATATCTTGCAACAGAAAATCTGAGCACTGATGGTTACCTGCAATTCCATTCAGACTCAGCAGATGTTAGCAAGTATATTAAAGGAGGGTTTAACACACCAACCTTGTTTGACAAAACTACAAAAATCAATTTGTTACATAGAGTGACCAGAAGCTCCTACGATCTTCTCGTCAACCATGCAAAGAAGACGTTGGTTCTTTTGAACGATGTTGTCAAGGATAGATTTGAACCATTGTTTTTAAAGAACTCTAACCAAGAGTACTTGAAATTCGATTACACTGTTGAACTTAATGTTAGCCCAGCCGAAGATGATTCGTTTGGCCCATTTGAGAAGATCACTAACTTGACGTATGAGAATTATATCTCTTTGAAGATTGCCAATGTGTTACGCTATGGAGTTGGAGAGAGACTTGTTGGCTTCAAGATTTCATGCGATAGAGTAAACGAATTTGAAATTTCTAAAAGAAAACCGCATTATTCACAAGATCTTCATATCAGGATTGGATTGGTCATTGACCCACAAGAAGCTGAGAAACTGGTCATCAAGGGACCTTCCGAGACTGAAGACAGTGTACAGTTCAGATCATTCTGGGGGCCAAAATCATCTCTTCGAAGATTTAAAGATGGAACTATTGTGCACTCTGTGATTTGGTCTACTGATTTCAAAAGCCCTGTTGTGTTAACCATTTTGAAGTATCTACTACAGAGACATGTCAAAGAAAACATTGTTTTGGAGAGTGAAATTGTTAGATTTAACGGATTGTTACCAATGCCAAATTTGCCATCTTCAACCAAACAATCCACACTTTCAACAGTTGCTTTTAACGGATTGCGTAACAGCTATGATGAGCTTTACAGAATCCTGATCAAATTGGAACTCCCATTAGCTATCAAATCCGTCTTGCCCGCATCACCGGGGTTGAGAATGACCTCACAACTACAACCGGTGCCATTTGCTGTTTCTTCAAAGGACTTTTATAACGACTTGGTTGTTCAGTTTGAAACCTCTGTGAAATGGCCTGATGAACTTTCTGCTTTAGAAAAGGTAAAGACAGCATTCTTACTAAAAATTCAAGAGATTCTATCGAAGGAGACAGCATACGAGTCACATTTGGAAAAAGATGATGAAACTGTTCCATACAACTTTGATATCACTACACTTAATATTTTAACCCCTGAAGGGTATGGGTTCAGAATTAGGATTTTGACCGAGAGAGATGAAGTACTATACCTCCGTGCCATTGAAAACTCATCTAAAGAAAAGAGACAAGCATTGGAGTCTATCTATTTGAAGTTCAACAGACGTTATCAAGGTTCTGTCACTCATACGAGAATCATCTCTTCTATCGCCCACCGTTTCCAGTACTATTCTCCAACTGTTCGTCTCTTCAAGAAATGGCTTGATGATCAACTCTTGTTGAGTCATTTCAGTGAGGAGTTGATCGAATTGATTGCATTGCAACCGTTTGTTGATCCATCACAGTATAATGTTCCAGCAAGTGTTTCTAATGGATTCTTGAGAATCTTGTTTTTCATTGCGCATTGGAATTGGAAGGAAGAGCCACTTATCATGGATATGAGCAAAACTCCTGATGGTGAGGATGACTCTGAGATTGTCTCCAAGTTATCTGACAAATTATCCGTGCAAGCTTACCAATCGATGAAGTCCAATTTCGATGTGCTACGGAAGCAAGACCCTCAAGGTATGAAGATACAATTCTTCGTTGCAACCAAGTCTGATGAGTCCGGAATCCTGTGGTCCCATGGTATTCCGCTACCGATTGCTGCAAGATTGACTGCTCTGTCAAAGGTTGCCGTCCAACTCATCAACAAGAGCGGATTAGGTGAGAAGTCAACTCGCCTGCTGTTCACTCCATCGTTGGGTGACTACGACTTTGTATTGAAGTTGAAGACTATTCCACTGGCAATAAGTTCTGGTGTCCTACCGAGCTCATCCTCTTTCAAGAACCTGATCGTGGATGCCCAGTCTTACCCTAAGGACATTGCAACCAAATTTGATCCTATCGCAATGCTGGTGAAGAACTTGTCATCCAAGCTACAAGGCGTGGTGATCTTCTCAACTCATACGCAGACTATTTCAGAGTCTGGTGAGAATATCATCACTGGGTTGTTTGTTCCATCAAAAATGACCCAGACCAAGTTCAAGGCTCAGATTGGTTACAACGTTAAACCAGTTCAAAAGGACGACGTCGTCATCAACAAGGATGCTATTTTCGCAGAGATCCTACAATACGCCGGTGATCTCGTCGTTGGCTTTGAGTCTAAGTGAATAGGAAAACATAGATAATTCATCAAAGGTAGAACATATCTTTAAACAGCTAATTGTTTGGCCATCTTGTAATAATTCTGTGTATACGTTGAACCGGAGTTGAAGAAAATCGCGGGCGACGTGGCAAGTAAATTTTCACCTCTCGAGCTGGATCATAATAAACAAAAGCATCTCAGCGGTTGATAGGGGGATCTCACCAGCAAAAAGATGAGTAAGAAGGGAGGACTGTTGTCACTTGATGCATTTTCCAAGACAGTTGAAGATGTTCGGATCAAAACACGTTCTGGTGGTTTGATCACGGTTGGTTGTATTATGATGTTGATCGTTTTAATTTCTAACGAGTGGTCAGCCTTCAACAAGATCGCCATAAGGCCTGAATTGGTTGTCGACAGGGACAGCAATGCCAAACTGGACATTAATCTCGATGTCACATTCCCGGACCTCCCTTGTGACATGATGTCTATGGATATCATGGATGTGAGCGGTGAATTGCAAGTTGATATTCAAAAGTATGGGTTTGTGAAGATCAGATTGGATCCAAAGGGGAACAAGATTGAAGAGAGTGAATTGATGATTGGAGATGACGAGAAGAAGAAGGATGTTCCTGATGATTGGTGTGGTCCATGTTATGGCGCTAGAGATCAGTCCAAGAACGAAGGTAAACCAAAGAGTGAGCAGGTTTGCTGTGATGACTGTGAGGCTGTTAGAAAGGCATATGCCGAGATTGGTTGGGCGTTCTTTGATGGAAAAGACATAACTCAATGTGAAGCCGAAGGGTATGTGAAGAAGATCAACGAGAGATGGGATGAAGGATGTAGAGTTGTTGGTAAGGCACAGTTGAACAGAATTGACGGAAACCTCCATTTTGCCCCAGGTGCCAGTTTCAGTGCTCCACAACGTCATGTCCACGACCTTTCGCTCTATAACAGAGACAGTGATCACTCCTTCAAGCACAAGATTAACCATTTCAGCTTTGGACCATCACTCGAACCTCTACACGCATCTGATGTCCAAGACCTATCGTCGCATCCATTGGACAACTTTGAGTCCAACATTGGAGCTAAGCAACACGTGTTTTCGTACTATCTCAAGGTGGTTCCAACTAGATACGAATACCTCAACGGTACTGTCTTGGATACGTACCAGTTCAGTGCAACTACACATGACCGTCCTTTAAGTGGAGGACGTGATGAGGATCACCCAAATACCGTCCATGCTAGAGGTGGTATCCCTGGAGTGTTCTTCAACTTTGAAATGAGCGCATTGAAGGTTATCAACAAGGAAACATACGGTACTACGTGGGCTGGATTCTTGCTCAACGCTGTCAGTGCCATTGGTGGTATCCTGACCGTTGGTGGGGTTCTCGATCGTACAGTGTACGCTGCGAACAGGGCACTCAAGGGCAAGAAGGAGAAATGACGTGGCTTCCAGTTTATCGCATTTACAGTTGATAGAAGTTCATATATGTTTACTTGACGATTATATATTTGACATTATGGGTATATCTCGCTCACCTGTAGACGTTGTGTTGAGAAGGGAGCTGTTATTGGCGAGATCTTCGAATAGCATCCAGTATAGTCATTCTCTCATGGCTCCAGCATCGTGATGGTCAAAACACATGTGACTGCTACAGCTGGCAAGAGTGATGTACAAACCTTTAGACGTCAGGGAAACGTCAAGGAAACGTCACAGTGGCACTACCTGATACCACAGCACTGGAGAGGAAGACGCGTTGTACCAGTGATTGCACCAACAGAGCGCAAGAGCCGGTTTGGTTAAGTTGCTACAGTGTGTGGATGTCCAACCAACAGCAACGCAACTGCCTGTGTGAAAGAGGAAGCTCCACGGTTGCTTGCGAGGCTCCGTCTCAACAGAACTACTGCACAGAGCAGCTCACTCTGCCGGCAGTCATGTCACCTTGCCTTCGACACAACATCTGGACGGAGTAGCGTATACGGATAATCATGAGGCATCTACAGCACACAACGTTACGCTAACCCGGGCTGTTGGCCACAGGACGAAATGGCGGGGGAACAGAGCCCACCACCAACAACAACAAATACGTCGTGGTGGCCGCTTCCAAGATGTCTGCTTCCCAGCAGCAAAGAACTTGCAAGCACGCCGGGTATGTTGCGCATTGCCGCAATTCTACGTGGCTTCTCGCTCTCCTGCAGGAACTTATCGTGATAAATTACCGCTTTGGGCTATTGGATATTACCCACCTTGGCCTCCACAGCGCACTGGTCTGTGATTAACGACAGGACCATTACGGGTATAAATAGCAGAGTTCTCCCCTTGTGGCGTTTTCTCCCTTCTTCGCTACTTGTTGTGGGTACACTCGTTTGAAGTCATTGACAGTAACAAACATCGCACAACAATCAAAGCACAATCTATCAGAGCACCAAGCCTTATCCACAACATTACAAGAATGAAGTTCACTGCCATTATCGCCGCTCTCTCTGCTGTTGCCATTGCACAGTCCAACTCCTCCAACGACACCAGCTCCTCCACTAACGGTGTTGCTGTCCAAGGTGTCTCCTACGGTGCTGCTGCCGGTGCTGCTGTTGCAGCCATGGCCTTCCTGCTCTAGATGCGCAGGAGGTATGTTTTCTACAGTTCTACGCCTTTGACTGAACTCCGGGATATGGGCATTCCAGCCTGTTTACCGTCTAATATAACTACTTGTTTCAATAGTGAAGAGTGTAGGATTACTGTGGAGCTTGGGAAAGCGTGTACTGTTGCTATTGTAGTTGATGGTATGCGGCCAAGGTCCTGAGACTCCCGTGTAGTGCTCTGGTTGCACGTTGCAAATTGTGTATGGTGTGGCTTTCACGCCGCCTGATAAGGGGATAAGCTGCTAATCGGGACCATGAACAGGATTGAGCCAATACAAAGCTACGGGTATTCCGTTACCGATCGCTGCTTGATAGCAATCATGGTATCCACCATGGCACCATCAATTCAACTGCGATGGGCCCTCACCCTAAATCCTTGACGGACCCTGTGCGCTCAACGTGTTGGTTGCGCACTTCTGCGAACCCAGCCCAACGGATATACAGTGGACTCACAATTTGCGCGATAACGCAAGGGCAACTTCCAGGGCAACTTCCAGGGCAACTTCCAGGCCAAAAACACGGCCAGAAAAGGAAACACACACGGCAGAATGAAGAACTTTGGGCCACTCCTAATTGGACAACGTTGCTACACACAGAAGTTGTGCCACCATGGCCAGTTGGCATGCATTTCGGCCAATCAAGTAGGCCTAACTCTACTCTGTTGCTCACGCCCACGCTCCCCAACTTGGCAGTTACAACTTGCGTATGCTTACTACTCACCGAAAGGGTATAATTCGCGAACTGCCCCCCGGCCCCGTCCGCCCAACAGGCACTCGGCCCCCCTAAGCTGGTTGTGTGTCCCATATCAAATACAAACATACCAAATTACGTAATGCGTACATATCTCCGGGAAAAAAACGTTCACCAGATGTGTCAACTTTGACCTTTTTTCTCGAGCGCGGAACTTTTGGTGCGCAAAAGCCACAAAAACACCCCCAATTGACCGTTTTGAAGCAAGCCCAGGATTTGTAGAAAAACAAACAAGTAAACAAATCAAAACAAACCACGGCGGCTCGAAGCTGGAGGTTATAATTATGTCATTGAAGACGATTCTTATAACGTATCTCATTGGTGGGCTGACTCTGCCACCGCTGGCTATTGCGCTAGCGCTATATCTGGCGTGGCGGTTAGCGCCTGAGTACACAGAAGCCGGTGATGACGTTGATCTCTCTGACATTGACAGCAAAGTGGATCCTTCGTTGAGCTTGACGGCGATTGAAGACGAGGCAAGCACCGGCGTGAAGGCGTATAAGGCTGGTTGGATCACCGTTACAAGGGAGTACCACACGGTAGTGAACAATGCTTCAGACAAACAGATTGACTCCAAGGATAACTCGTCCAAAAGCGCCTACACGGCTCTGTACAAGTTGGTGAAGAAGTCGAAAAATGACAAGGATGAGGACCAACCACCCACTCAAAGCGCATCCTCAACAACTACAAACAGCTCAACGCCTGTGGCAAAGAAGTCTGTAATGAAGAAGAATAGGTTTTTTGGTGTGTTGAGACACGGGAACTTGTTTTTATACAAGAATGAAGACCAAAAAGATGTTCAACACGTTATCGTGCTTGCAAACAATATTGTCACGATATGGCCAAGAGGCTTGCCTGATGGTCAATTGTTTACTAAAAGATCGGCAATTTGTATTCTGAAACCAACTCTACGGCGTCAATCTGATTTACCACCAAAGTCATCCGCGGCGTCACTCAATGAAGCCGCAATGGAATCAAACAAGTCGTCAACCATTGATATCTTGGAGAATGGTTCCTTGCCCAATAAGAAAACCGGATTCTTCATCTATTGCGATACAAATTTCCAAAAGGAAGATTGGTACTTTGAGTTGATTAAAGCGACAAAGAAAGATTCACAGGCACCAGCTTTACCCTCAGAGCTTGATCAGTATAACCCTTCCATTTATGCCAATACGTTGCACTTCAAAACAGCAGATATGATGTCATTGATTCAAACTTTACATTCATCTGAGGGCCAACTGCATACAAGATGGTTGAATGCGATAATTGGAAGATTACATTTAGCGTTGAAAGATACGGATGTGTTTGAGAAGTATGTCGAAGCCAAATTACTCAAAAAACTTTCCAAGATCAACAGACCTGATTTCTTGGATGAGTTTCAAGTGAAGAAAATTGAGATTGGCGATTCTGCTCCATTCATCAGTTTTCCAAAATTGCAATCTCTAAACCCAGATGGTTCTTTAAGGGTATCTTGTAAATTTACATACACAGGTAAGATGTCTCTTAAAATTGCAACAAAGGCGAATATTCCAAATTTTTCCACTTTCCAAAAAAGAGATTTGAATATCCTCCTTGCTGTTACAATTAACCGAATCGATGGGCCTTTTGTTATTTGCATGAAACCACCCCCTTCCAGCAGACTTTGGTACACTTTTGAATCACAACCAGATATCGATTTGACTATTGAGCCGGTTGTTTCACAACGTCAATTAACATACGGTCTTGTCACAAACGCCATCGAAAAGAAGTTCAAAGATGCTATAAGAGAGTCATTAGTAGAGCCATTTTGGGATGACATTTCTATTTTCAACACTTCCGATGAGTTTTATAGAGGCGGTATATGGAACCAAGAGGGAAGACCAACTAAAACCACACCTGAGAATGACAATGACGGTGGTGATGATGAGGATGTTGAAAGCATGAGGGGTGACTCCGAACAAGAGGGCCTAACATCTGTAACTGAGGCCAACTTCAACTCGAATAATGCCCTATCTAAAGACTATTCCCCAAATGAAGATCATTCCTTGAGATCAAGATCCAGTCAAAACTTTAGCAAACGATCCACTCTCAATACAATCCATGATTTGAAGAGCCGGAAATCTGAGGCTTCTATTGGAACTTCACACGAACAATTCCTTGCAGATGGTTCCTATGTATCAAAGAGTGTTACAAGTCAAGAGAGCCTTGACTCTGAAGTACAGGAAAAGTCTAAAACCACCATGCAAGTACTTTCGGCAGAAACGTCTGCTGGTAAAAAGGTTATATCTAACGGTATGAAGAAGATTGGCAAATGGTACAGTGAAAAAAGCCGCGGTTCTTCTAGCAATGTGTCAAAGAATTCAAAGGATTATACCCCTCCAGAGATGATTTCCAGAAGACGAGCCCCATCTAGTGGTGATAATCAACCATCAAGAAAGACGAGTTTGACTGATATCAAATCAGCAGGGCAAACGGATGTACATCATAAAGTTGCACCACAGGCACATGCTTTCCCAGCGCAATACATGTATGGATTGGAAACACAAACACCAGATACAGATTCTGATCAGACGAGACGTTCTTTACCTTCAAGGATCCCCGAGATGTCCATGCCTCACTCAGTAGACACTAGCTCTCCTATGAGTCCTTCTAGACCTAGAAGAAAGCCAGTGTCTGCTGACACAGCCATTGAAATGTTAGCGACTGAAAAAGATGCTGGAAATTTTACTAGGGCAGCCACTGAGAAACTTGATAAAACAACATTGAGTAATGTTGCTGTAGCTGTGACTGGCGTTACAGCTCAAGACGAAACTACAAGTTTTAGCTCACTTGATGTGGCTTCATTACCAGAAGAAGCTCCTCCATATTCAGCACCTACTGTTAATGTACCGGCGCTCCCTCCTAGAGAACATGATTCTGGAAACACGCCTGTGCCACCTCCGTCTCTTCCACCGAGAGATGAGGTCATAACGTCCTCGCCAATTGCCCCTCAACTACCTCCACGAAATACTCCTCCTGTACCAGTGGAAGTAGAGCAAGAATCAACTCTCCTGAATGCCACTTCTACTATAGTCCCAATTGGCTCTGATTCAGAAAAGGAGACAGACAATTTGAAAGCCAACACTACAATCGATTCATAAAATGCATATACTTTTATTGCCTTTTTTCTGAAGTTTCTTGTAGCTATCACCAAAATGCCATCCACCCAATATACATTTGACAAAGATTCTCTACAGAGGTTGCCTGTTGAATCAAGAATCCTGTTTGTCCATCAACACTCATAGGTATTCCTTCCTTGTCCAAGATGCCTCTGATCTTCCTTCTGATGGTGGATAGAGCAGCTTGGGGCGTATTTCGATTCCGTCTTTTCTGTGACCAATCCATTATAGGATCGTGCAAGAATGACTCAAGGATATTCATCAACGGTGTCTCGTTTGCTCTGATCAAGCGCAAAGTAACTTCACAAGACTTTCTAAACGTCCCTTCAACCCCAGTAATACCGAATGCATCAACCATATTGTGAGTGAGTCTGAATGGAACACGTTCAGGAACCGATAGTTCAAGACCCTTTTCAAACAAACAGTCAAAATCAACATGAAGCACGCCGCCGTCTTTCTCGTTTAGAAGAATGTTCTCACCATGACGATCTCCGAGACCAAGCATGTAACCAACCATTGACATCACTGCAGTAGTTTGAGTATAGTTATTTCTAGCCTCATACCAAGACGATGGATCAGGGAAATTTTCAATGAACCAGGCATATAGTACTGGGGGGTATTTGGCAATGATCTCGGTCTGGAATTTCTCTGCTTTTTCTTCAATATCACAATCCATGTCAAGAACTTTCCTGATATGTGGAACATCCAGCGCAACGTTAATGTTTGCATAATGGACCTTGAGAATATCACGCATAGTTCTGCTATTCTCAACCCATTCAATTATACCATAATTCTCATTTAATGGGATAACAGCATAAGTCTTAATGTGTAGCTTTCTTTGTTCAGAGTCATAGTTTTTCTTCAATAGATGATCCACTCGTGAAGTGAATTCCATTAGTTTAGCATCCTTTCTCAGATCGTCGTTGGGCTTACACAGTATACCATAAATAAGACCATCCGATCCTCTCAGAAAAAGGTGTTTTGGCTGCTGCATAGATGACAAGACATCGACCCTATTTTCAAATTTGGCAATAGTTACCCTCGAAGAGCTTGGAAATGCGTTGTGATTTTTAATAGCTTGAACTGAGAGAGGAAGAGTGATATCAAAGTTGGTCTTAACAGGAACAACTAGTGGTGATGGTGTCACACTGTAGTCAAATTCAAAATCATCCCTTAAGGATAGCGTTCCTTTGCGTGGAGCTTTTCTCTTAGATACGGCCATAAGCTGATTAAAGAGTTTCTTTGACTTCTCCAGTATCTGTGTATTCTCTCCTGAGCGGGCCTTGTCATGCTTAGACGCACCAAACATATCTAGGATCACTTTCCCCTTCCTCTCTCTTTCCTTTTGGACAGACTTGTACTGAGCTAGTACTGACCAAAGTGCATGTGAAGGATATTCATTAACAACAAACTGTGAGATTATGATCAATAATTGAGCAGTTTTACTATGTGAATGAAGGATACGTGACAACACCTGCGACAATACTGTGTACCAATAGTATGCAGGAAATTTCTCAGAGTATTTGTGTATCTCTTCTAACATCCCGGTAATATTCTTTTTTCTGTCGTTCAAAGCTGTCACTTTCATTGAGTCAGATAGCTCTACTGGAACTTCACTAATGTTTTCAGCAAAATCCAGCCAAACAGTCACCACTTTAGGCAATGCCTCATACAAATACTTCGTACCACATAACAAAGACTTCAGATAAAAACTTATTGTTTTCCGTTCAAGCTCACCAGATATATCCTTAGGATCTATTGATTGTCCAGATTTGCTCTTCAGTTCAAGTAGCTTATTATAAAACTTCCCCAGTGTATAATATGGCTTCTCCCAAGCCGGATCAATTTTGATGGCACGAGTGTACTCCTCAATAATCTTACTTGAACTGCTGTTATTGGATAGATCGAGCCATTCAGTATATTTTAACTGCACTTTAGCTTGTCTCCTTGGATCTGATAGCGTCTTTAGTTTCAAATCTTCCATTAAAGCTAATGCTCGAGACTGATCTCCTTGTGCCCAAAGAATCTTAGCGTACTCTAAGTCAGTGGCGACGCTCTTTAATCCAATAGCTTGAATGACAGCAGGTGTTGCAAGGTCCAATCTATTGTTCTTTCGAGCTGACTTGGAAGAGTTAAGCCACAACTCACCAATGTCAGTTACTGTCAAATCGCTTACGCAGGAATCTGCTGCTCTTCTGATAGAAGAAATTGTCCAATTAGACCTGAAATCATTGCCTGTGTGTAGCCTCCGCATATTCAAAAGTGTCTTGACTTTAGAGAAGTTTGTATGTGAAGATTTGACTATGTTCTGAACATCAGTGACTGAATGAAGAAGAACAAACTGTGATCTGTTTTTTCTTAAGGATGCACGTCTGTCCAGTCCAAGATCAGATCCCAAGAGAAGGAAGGCATTATTGAAATCTTCCAACAAAGCACTACCCAAATTGCCAGGGTTCAACAGTACCTTCCCGAGGTGGTAATATACCAAGTTGCTGGAATCAGTAATTTCTCTGTGTAGCTCAATATAAGATATCCATTTCCTCAAGAATTCCTTATTTCCAGACAAGATAGACGCTTCTAAACCAATATCAAGCCAATCCTTTTTAATTACCTTGGATTCAACAGTTAGTAGGGAATCTAATTTGTTTAAGGCATCTTCATAAAGGTTGTGGTCAAAGAGTGACTTCAATAAACGAGTATCAGGATCAAGAACTAAAGGTTGAAGATCAACCTTACCCAATGTATTAAGACAATCTTGCGCCATTTTCCAGTTGTCACTGTACTCAAGTTCAGTTATTCTATCTTCCAAAGTCTTATCGGAGAATGTTTTCAGTACACCATCCAAGGCGTCATAGTCTCCAATGCTGGCATACATGTTCTGCAATTGACCAAAGAAGGACGACCCAAACTCATTGATAGTATCTGAACGGTAACATTGTTCCAAATAAAGAACGGCCCTTTCATAAGAGTTTGCCTGGTATGATCTTTTTGCCATTAATTGTTGTGGAATACTCTCTAAGAGTTTGGCAACTGTTGAGATCCAAGGGTCTGTCTTCTTCACACCTTTCCTCTTGAGAAATTGCTTCCTTGCGAAAACCCACTTTCTGAAATAATCCAAAAGATTGAAAACAGTTTCGTATGACATTCTCAAGTTATCAGCAGCCATGTGATGGACTGATTCAATATCCGTTTCCAGTACTGTCATAATTTCCAATCGGACATCAGTCATCAAAATCTCATCAGAAATCACAGCATGTAGGGCAGCGTATGGAAGTAAAAAGTTACAGAAAGATATGTTCTGCTCCTTCACCAAAGACGAGCACGTTGTGAAGATCTTTGAAACGACGGGTTGGGTTCCACGTTTCAGCAAGTCCAGTGTCAGATGTCGGAGCCACTTACTGTGGTCCCACGTCACATCAAAGATTGGATACTTCAGTGGAGTATACTTGCTCACGGAAGCAGTGTATTTGGAAGAAACGAGCGGTGTTAAAGTTGATTGGGAAACATCACTGAATTGAGACCAAAGTATGTACTCCGGACTAGTGACATCTGGGTTCCTCACATCAAACCTTGTAGAGTCGAGCCCACTTAGTTTAAGAAATTCTTGCATAGCGTACGCTAAAAAGACTTGTTTTGTTGGGTCTTCAGAAGCCCAAAATGATGGGACCAAGTAGTCATTCAAAAACGTCAGCAGGAACTTGATAGTTTCTCCATGATGTGTAAAATCAGATGCAAGAATGATTTGGTCCTTCTTCTTTTCAACCTCAAATTTTGCAGGGTCCAAGGCGCCAATTTGTCCTAAACATTGCGAGCATTTAATAGTAACATTGTCATCTGTCTTGAACTTGTTCAGAATATCCAATAAAGCACCCAGAAGATTTGATACCATTGGAGCAAAGGAAGGCTTCAAAAGATACGTATTGTAAAATTCCTGATTGTACTCGTTCAAGAAACGGCCAAGGTCAACAAGTGCTTGACATACAACAAACTTGTTGTCATGCTTGCATCTTCTAGTGATATCATTCAGCAGTGCATGAGGTTTGTCTGTCTTCCTTATTGCATTAAAAATTTTAGAATACATTTCCGCAAGATCATCATTATCAGCTAATGAGTAAAACGTGTAAAGATGTTTCTCTTTGAAAGAATTGGATTTCTCTAGGAAAACACCAATAAGTTTTCTGGCCTCCAGCTTACATCTATGATCAAATAACTGCCATTTCTGTATGACTGTAGCAATAGATTGGTCAAGCAAAGTCACCAAATGGGCCTCCTCCAAGTGCTGAACCAGAACTTTCCAACATTTCAATGCTGCTTCCTTCAATAGGGGACTATCGAGCTTTGATTGTAAAGAAGTGTAGATTTGAGGTAGAGCAGAAACAATGACTGGACCTGATATTTGAACCAGGAGTTCAATTGCACGAAATGACTTGAGCTTTTCATCATATGGTTGAAACCCTTTAGTATCACGAATAGCGTCAGTGAATAAATTGACAATACCAAGTGTATTCTTTTGGAAAAATCTTGAAACACGCTCTTCTGAAGACACTTCAGGCGTTGCCAGCTGTAGCACAAACCTAATTGACTTCATGATTAATTCATCACTCTTACCATCAGCACCATGAATCTTCAGAAGTTCCCAAATCGGCCCTAATGGAGATCCAATGATTGCACTCAGAGAAGTTTTAGATATCTCGGGACATGCATTCGATAAAATCCCAATGATCTTACCTTCAGATGGGTCTGAAAGAGATGTCAATAAAAATGCCAGAATTTGCGACTTATTCGTGAGCACTAGTTCTAATTTTGTTTTTCCTTCACGACTAGCAGCGATCTCAGCAATAATGTCTCTCTGATAGTAGGTCAACAGATATGGTATAGTATATGAATGATACCTCCAAAGAATTTGATTGAGAGGAACACCAAGCAAGTCAGAGATTCTTTGTGCAACAGCCGGTTTTGTAGCCATTTGGCGAGCAATGTTCACACTACAGCTGGGAAGCACAAGAGATAGAAGTTTCCATGGAGTCTTCTCCTTCATGGCTGAAATCATTTCAATTTCATGAAAGGCCATTGAAGACTTAAAAGAACTTTGTGAGTTCAAAAATCCAACCAGTTTCAACAGTATGGAATGAATTCCTAGACTCTCTGTAGATATTGCCAGCTGACCCCAGACCATTACTGTAGATTCAACCAGATATGGATACGATTCAAGGTCAAATGAATTCGCAATTTTCATGATGTGACCAGTGCAACTCTCATAAAGATTGTGCTTTGATTTGATGTAAAAAGGTATTGATTTCACGGCAAGTATTCTGGTATTCCTATGCGGTGAAGACAATAAACGTCTCCAAAATACAAATGATTGACATGTTGGTGTGATGTTTGGTGGTTGAAAATGTGCAAAAAACTTGTGCATCGATTCCAAAGCAGCCATTTCAAGAATACTGTCATTTTCTGGTATGGAACTAAGTAATCCAAGAAGCATAGTCCATGACTTCTCAACGTTACTCTTTGACAACATATTTGGTCTGTCATAGTCAATGACTTCAAACAGTTTCAGAGAACAACAAACAGAGCAGGCTCGTAGATCAGGTATATATGAATCAGTAGCTTTACACACAAAGTCGCCAAGAGATAGAATGCATCTGTATAAATCTGTTCTCGAAAGATCCTCTAGTTGTTTCAGTGAGTTGATCCATGACGAAAGTGAGGTGGCACCTGTTTGAAGTAATAATTGATCCACTGGAGAATTTGACTGATCTTGCTGTAACTTTGCTAATATCTCTAGACGAATTTGATCAAGGAGTTGGTCGTCGAGTGCATTGCTAACCGAGGGCAATTCAACTGAAGGATTCACAGCAAACTCTATCAGGTTGATAACTTGACAAAGAGTGTTATCACCCAGTGATGTAATACGGTTTTTCAACGCCGGTAAGTCAAAAGAGAACTTCAAAAATTCAACGTTATCCTCGTCCAAGCACCGCCCCAGTACTTTCATTAGGGAATAGGCAATGTTGGACCTTAAACGAGGTTGAGATGAAACTATTTGAGGTTGTAGAGAGTTCTCACAGAATGCTAGGAAATATTTGAGTCTCGAAACAGTAATATAGTCTTCATCCATGCAGTAGTTTAACAAGCTTATGACCATATGAGATTTGATGCTGTCCATCGAAGCTGACTGTAGAGGATTATCCTGTGCTGATAAGACAAACTCCATTTTTCGAGCTGCAGTTTCAAAGACTTGGTCAAAAGACGGATCAATCATCATTTTCTTCATCATCTCCGTATCTACCATCAAAGAAAACAGATTCGTACATATTGCGAGTAACCCACAGAGCTTCACACTGGATAACTGTTTGAACAGACTCGAAACAAAAGATTCCAGCGTCTCTGTGAAGAACTCACGAACTTGAGCTTTATAAGATGAAGATTGTAGCTTTGTGGTTGTGAGATAAACCACCGTTATCATAGCTGATTTCAAGCTTCTCAAGATCTTCTCGTTCCCAGTATCCAAGGAGTGCATCAGCGTGGTAAGTATCCACCTGTACGTTGGTGTACTTTGTGTTGTATGGTGTAATAGTTGAGGGTTCTTTTCACAGATCGTTTCGATAGCCTTTAAGCATTTGCAAACAAGCTCTTCCTGTGCTGATGCTATATGACAAAGTTAGAATGGGTCTTATAGAATTTCAATCGAAACAAAGAAACATACCTGCTGCTGGTTGATTGTCGGAGACTCCATGTGTCAGTATAAGATCAAGCATCTTGATCTGCGTCTCATCGGATTCATCATCGAATGAGACGCCACCAATAGCAGAATCCACTAACTTCTTGAGCGCTTCCACTGTTTGGTTCATGAGACAGCGTCACCTTGCCGACTTCTTAGCAGCCGCCCTGTTATTCAAAGCTTTAGGGTTGTCTGCCGTGATGGGCAAAGTCAACAACAGCAGAAGAACGCCTTCTGTTTTCGTTTTCGATTTCGATTTCGATTTCGATTTCGATTTCGTGATGCACGCGTCAATAAACAAAACACCTAATCACGGCAATGTATACGATGCACTGGCAGGTTAAATTGGCATAAAATTAAAGAGGTTGTGTAAACTATGCATTGAAGGATGGCGTATAAACTGTGATAACACGACAACAAACGAGTGGATGGGTGGTATGAAATATGTAGACGATATAGAATGTTAGACGGATTGTTCCTTTCGCACTGATTTTCCTATCTCAGCTGAGCATCATAATTAACTGGACGCCTAAGAGGTGAGGACTGTTAGTATGCCCCGAGGTTCCAGAGCCAATGGCAGGCAGATGGTACTTACTTGAACAACAAGATATGTGGTTCTGGCGCATGTGTTTCGTAATGTTCCCAGCCTAAGGATTGTGTAATTCCAAGACCACGCCATTCGTCTTCCAGAAGAATACGAAGTGTGCCTGTTTCGCTGTTGAAGTAGTCCGAAGGGATCACCTTAAGCATCGGCTTTGGTAGCATCACATGGCTAATTCATCCGTCTGGTTAGCTGTCTTGTCCATGAGCAAAGTTGCAAATAACACTTACCGGTACTCAAATTCATCATCAGAATATCTGTCCAGTGGGTTGTTAGTAAATGGATTACGGGACGAAACAAAGCGCTGCTGAGCTAACGATATACACACCTTGGGGAGTAATGGATATTATCCTGGAATTCCAGGACTCTCGCACGTTCAGCATCCGTTAGCTGACGACCTCTAAAGCTCATTGTCTCACAGGCACAGCGAAATCGACACCACAGTAAATGAGCGAGTCGGTTGTGTTCTTCAAAACCAATGGTAAACAAACAAAAATCCATTCAACTCTTTTTGCGTCGCGTCCTACGGGCTTGTCGAGATCTCGAGCTTCGTTTTGTGGTGCATACCGCTTTTTATAGAACCCGACCCCAAATATCTTTGATGGAGTTCCTGGTTCGACCCTGCACATTCCCTTTTTACCTCTGGGTTGCTGTTTTTATTTTGTTGGCATTTTTTTGTCCGCTTCGGTGCGTCTTCGTTTGTAGTGAGAGGCCCATGTACCCAAGAGCCGTTTCATGTTGCAAGTCAACTCGAATCTCAAAGCCTCAAATTTTGAGCTGAAGTTGTGATTTTTCGGTGGAAATTTGCTTTCATCCAGCTCGGTGCCTCCTTGTCGTTGAGGATCCTGTTGCTTACACTGGAAAGACTCTTCTGTCTCCCGTTGTGACTGTGTGTGGGTGTGTTAGTGCCTTGCTGTGTCTCAGGCTCCTGGTGAAGATCATCTTCTGCATAGCTGCCAAAAGAATTGGTTTCCCTTCAACACTCCAGATTTAACCAATTGCTGATTCTCACACATAAAGTCCATCAAGGATATGTCTTCGTCACACACTAGGGTTGGTGTTAAACCAGTCATCCCTTCAAAATCGTCAGCACGGGACAACGGCGAACTCATTCTGGGATATACACAGGCAGGATATAGCAATGTGCTGGTTTCAATAACAAACTTACAATACCGTGAAAAGTCCAAAAAAGCTTTCCAACTCTCAAAGAACTCTTCGAGTCTAAAAGTCCCTAGTCCATCAGCACAGGATGTTAACATATATTCAGGTCCCCATGTCGAAAGTACCATTGGTCTTATTGCCTCATGGATCGAATTGGAACACGAAAACGATTCGATAGCAGAATTCTCCAGGCAGGTGTTGATGCACGAATTGGAGTATGCAAAGTTCATTGGCTTGAAACATATCATAATCGCACCTCCAAAGGACTTGCTGCGGCTCTCCCAGTTTTCTAATATCATACAAGATATCCTACAATTCACATCTGAATCCTTGATCACTATCTCAGTATCACTACCTATATGCGAAGAACTCAAAGAGAATTCAATTGACCCCCTAGGAACATGGGATATGTGGAACTCGATTAGAACTTCTGTGGACTACAACGACCGGTTAAAATTGTCGCTTGCGCTTGCCAAAGGCTCTATACCATTAGAAGTTGTTTACAGGTGGTACTCAGAACCAGTATCGTGTTTGTTAATGTCATCTTCGGTCTTTCTGATAAATAACAAAGGTTATCCAGTTCTCTCCAAATCAAATCAACGAATTCTGGAAACATTCAAAAACAAATCACCACTATTGCTCTTACATGGATTAGAAAAAGCACCACAAACCGTTGAACATTCTGGGTACATGCAATATCTCAAATATATAACGGTGAAAAATCATCAAACATTGTCAAAAATCGATGAGTTTGGCATGTCTCATAACGATGTTTTGCTGCCTCCCTTGCAGCCACTTCATCAAAACTTGGACAATTTCACATATTCTGTTTTTGAGTGTGATACCGTAAAATATGATCTCTATGGGAAGGCTATCTTTTCAGCTTTGAATGACCTTTCCCAGCTTACTAAGATCAATATTGCCATCGCCGGTGCAGGAAAAGGTGGGCTGGTTGATTGTGTATTTAACATCATTACAAAACTCGAGATACAAAACAAATGTGTTGTAACAGCAATCGAGAAGAACTCATCGGCGGTGATAAGTTTGGAACAACGCAATATCATGAACTGGGGATCATCAATTCAAATAATACATACCGATATGAGATCTTGGACTCCCAAAGAAAGTTACAATATTATCATCTCTGAACTTTTAGGGAGTTTTGGATGCAATGAGTTGTCGCCGGAGTGTCTTAAACCATTGGAACAGTACCTAGATCGAGAACATGGAATATTTATACCACAAGAATATACCTCCCACTTAATACCAGTTTCAAGCCCCAAACTATACGCAAAGCTACAATCTCTTGGTAACCCAGACGCCTTCCATAAACAATACGTCTGCAAGTTGCACGAATATTCTCCTTGCTGTCATAAGGCGAATGATCTGTGGACCTTCTCTCATCCTCTAAAAACTGACCTCACAAAAAGAAGTATAACAACATTCAGGATACATGCTAAAACTACAATCCACGGGCTCGCAGGATACTTCAGTGCAAGGTTGTACAAGGATATCATCATCTCGACTAAGCCAGATGAGCATACGCAAGATCTAATTTCTTGGTTCCCATTCTATTTCCCCCTTGAAATACCTTTGTATGTAACTGATGATACAGAGTTGGAAGTATCCATGATCCGTGGTCATAGTGAAGGTAGAACTTGGTACTCATGGTCATTAGAATGTTTCATGTATCTTATTGTTCCAAGTGAAGACCGGGAAGAGTTACAGGTTCGTATCAGGACAAACGGCACTAAAATTCACAATCATAAAGGCAGAGCATATGCAATCGAAGAATCGATAATATCTTAATTAGTGGCAAGCCAAAGTTTACCTAATCATGAATTAGCCAGGATTACTTTGAACAAGACATTGTTGCCTTGGACATTGGAATCTGCAAGAGAATTTTTTAGTGACTTCCGCATTGTAGTAAATGTTTTGATTGATAGTAGTGAAGCTTTTGTTTGAAAGGGTATTAAATCTCACGTAACAAAGTTAATAGCAAAAAAAAGGAGTAAATCAGCTATAGCAGGGTTGCCAGTGTTCTAACAACTAGTTTTGCCATTGAAAGAACCTTAGTTTAACAGTGATCACCGGTTTAGATCACATTCATCGTACTACGGAACAGCTGGCTCGATGTTTACAACATATGCAAAGCTTCTCCTTAGTGGCACGATAATACTTCCTTTACATAACACGCTTATTGTCCCTACGTACACTGCATCAGATCTGTTTGTTGTACTGTTGGTTTGTCCTTTGAATTAGGAGAGCATGTGCACGTTGAGTCAATTAAACTCAGGAACCATCTACCCGTGCAGCAGTGCTCTTGTCTATCCTGAAAAATTTTCCTTATATAGTTTAACTTTGATGTAATTGACATTTGTCCAGGTTTCATTTTTGGAAAGGAGAAACTTTATCAGAAAAGTAACATGTTTTTTATAAATTAAAAGGAATAAAGCGGCCCTAACCATCTGAAAATTGAATAATCATGCAGGAGTTTTTCCGATATGCCTGTGCATAATGGTCACCCGGAAAAAAAGGTGGTCAGATTTTGTCGCCTTTCAGGAAGGCTGAACTGACATGCCTGCTTGCGGAAAAACATTTCTTATTGACGAAAGGCAAGGACACGGAAAATTTGAATGTACGACTCATGAACCAACATGTACATGGGGCGGTAACCTTTTTCGGTACTGGACAAATCCTGTTTGTTAACACAATTGCGTCAATTGTCCACTCTCCTATATTCTGAATCGAAGACTAATGGCATCATGTCCGCTGTCCTGAAGTCAAGGGCCTCAGGTGCAGATCGCTGAAGGGTTGGCAGATTAAATTACGACAAACCATTCCCTAGTAATAGCAAAGTTGATAATGATCTATTTTGTTACTGATCACACGGAGTTTCAATCCGTGAATTTGTTAGAAGCGCCACTCGAAGACTGAATTTCCTCGAGCGGTTGGCTTACAGATCTGTGACCAAAAAAGGCACAGTGTATCTCGAACGTCGAAAATCGATAATTTTGTTCTAAATTGTAGATGTTGTGGCGCTCTTGTTATTCAAATTTGCTCATTTTGGAAGCTGGTCACAGCAGTAGTTTCTTTTTCGCTAAGCTTTCAGACACTGACTATCCCTCCATTGGTTCCACCCAACATCTCATATTTCGCGCACCTCGCCTGAATCTCAGTGAGTGTATGTTCCTATCAAATATGGTCTCTTAATTAAACTTTAGACTCGCCGGAAAAATAAGGCTTGAGTTATTGACAGCAAATACTTGTGCACTGCATATATCACCAGATCTAGCTGCATCTGTGGCTAGTGAAGTTCTCTCTATGTTGAAGTGGTTTATTCCTGATGTAGTTAAACGTCATTTAGACTTCTTGATACGTGGCTTTCGTTTCACTTTAACTCGAGGCGAACAATCTGTGCTTGCAATAATAACAAGGAAAAAGGCTAATCAAGGATATACTCTTTTATGTTTACACTCTCTATTCTCTTTTACTCTAGAGGCAGTATGTAGTACCAGTCACGTAGACTGAAGTGACATTTATAGTTGGATGCATTGTTGGCTCGACTCCAGAGTTCACTCATTATGGTGATAAAAGTTCCCACTGTGTTTACACAATGGAGTATTGATATAGTTGAATAGTTTCATGTCCAATGTGCGATGGAAACTAATTGTCTAGTACTTGGCTTAATCCCACCTTAGTCGAAGCTTAAGGCGTTGCAACACCCAATTGGCACTATCCGTATTTTTCGGTCCTTCCGCACTTGTATTGCATGAGGTTGGGGATTAACTGGAATAGTACAAGATAGAGTTGAAGTTATGAAACGTGTTAAGGCAGAAACCGTGGCGCTGGCTATAACAAGCCGCTGTTTGTTGCTTCTAGAATGTCCCATTATATCCATTATATACAACACAACGCATAATCCAGGTAACTCTACTAGTCCAGTTAATTGTTGTTTATCCCCATAAGTTAACATTCGTTTGAGAAAGTCTAAAACTTAGTTCTCTGCTGTTAAGGGTACATCTGTTCAAACCTTCATAGGTCATTTAGCCAGCCTGGCCATGGTTGGAATATATCTTGACGCAAAATGTTGACTGAGCTTTCTCCCTGTCCGATGTGTAGAATTGTCCTGTTACAGCCTCGACCATGTACCTAAGGAGGTCTTTTAAATTAATTAATCACGGTTAACAGAATGGCATGTGAGTATTAATATACATCTGCTCATGATTGAACGCTTTTGATCAGCATAAGTCCTCTGTTTTGATCTGGATACGAGACGTGATCATCAAGACGAATACTGAAAATAGCCGAGACTCAAGGAGCTATGTTTATCCGAAGTGATATCCCACTAGTGGGAATTATCTGAGAGGAGTATGCAGCATAGAAGAGGGGTAAACACCTGTGCAACGGAGAGTGCTAGGAGGCGCAAATCAATTTATAGTCACTAAGAAATGTATAGTTGCCCCTCATCCAAAGAGATTTGATATGTACCCTTCATTACGAACGATGAACCCCCTGTCTGTCGAAGCGCACACAGAGCCTACCAATATACTTAAGAGGCAAAATAGACATGTACAAACCATTTTTTGCGGTAAACTGTACGAGATAGCTACATATTTACGCATCCGGAAACCGTGAAATGTTATGCCCAGCTAACCGGTAGGCTAAGAATCCAGTGCCACGGAAAAATTTTGCAATCGAAAAAGAAATGACTGATTTCTCGAGCTAGATGAAGCTTTGTTGCAGATCATTGATTAGATTCAAATCTGTTGATTCAAGTCTGTCGATGATCTGATATAGCCAATAGTTCACTCAAGTATTGAAGAAATAATCCAAACAAAAGCTTTGGGAAGTGAGAGTCCGGCGTTTGAATTAATCTTGTGGACTATCCGATTGCCCTTCTACATTCTGCGTAGTACATTCGCGATTACGCGATCGGCTCTAACTTTTGTATAGGTGTTCATTACAAACCTCGAATCTCCTCAATTGGAAGCTTGTGAATCATAACCAAGCTAATTAACTCATCGACTGGAAACCCCTCATATACCTATTCATCAAAATGGTATATATACTTACCAACCCTATAATGTCAGTTGCATTTGAGTAATTGTTCTCGAATACACTCCAAAGGCACTGTAATCGTGTAAGCGAAACCAGCGTTAAAAATAATATCTTGTTCCAGAATTCATATTCCAAGACTTGGATGCACTGTCAAAACTTTTAGTGACGAGGTAGCTCCTACTTACTGTGACATCTCCCTTTGGAATTGCTGAGCTCATTAAAGGTCCCTGGTGAACTAATTGAGCTTTCCGACGATCTGAGGACTGGAATCTAACACCAGTCTGGATGCGGACTGTCGATAAAGCTGACCTAGCAATTGTTACAAAACATTCCACATCTCAACAATTGAGGTTTTTAATAGTGAATGGTTTGTGAATGCTATAGAACACTCTGTTTACACTTATTAAACTCGTAGAGTATTGCCAATAAACTGGGTCATGAATTTTAGAGATGACCTTTTGTCTCTACCGTTCAACAGAGACCCGTAAAGTGAGCGGGGCGAGACAGAAAAAAAAACATGTTGAGAGAACTTCCATGAGATATGGATATGACTCAATCTAGCAGCGCAGTAATGCATTTTGTGCTGATCATCTGGCCATTTCAAATGGATTGTATAGAGAGTCCACGATTGGTTTAACCCTTGACGCTAACAAAGTCACGATCTTTATTTTATTCAAACTTTGTATGTCGCAGCATTGCAAACTTAGAACAAGCAACCATCCGTGGAAACTTGGGTTGAAAAGGCCAACAAATACGGGAACAACGCAGGGCGATCCGAAAATGTCCCAATTTTAAGGAAAATGTCCTGTCTTCAAAGGTGTGGCCTCATCGGACAAAATCCATGTTGGAAAAGGGCTGATATACGCAACATTATGTCTGGACATGCAATGTGTCGTCTGTTTAAAATTTCACGGCAAAATTTGGAACGACAACAAAGACGTGCTGCAAGTCGAAATTTGTGACGAGGGTGTTTGAGATGATCTGGGAAATGGTATTTAAAAGGGAGCAACCACCCCTTACTAGTAGGAAAAGAAAGGCCTGTTATTCTGTATAATTATCAATCCACTACAAGGATCTGAAAGTGTTCTCAAGCATCTCAACACTCAACTCACACTCTGTTTATAATAATGGCTGCAAGTTTTGAAGACATCACCAACTTTGACTGGAACAACCTCTCTGAGCAGCGTCTCAAACAAGAAACCGAATCTGAATGGTTTGATAAGTTGATCAACACAGAAACCGCAGCTTCTTCTGTGTCAACCACCACAGCCACTTCACCATTGGAGTTCTCCTCTTTGTTTGACATTGAAGAGGATGTTAGTGGGAAGAGCATGTTTTCGTCAACAGCAACATCATTGGACAACACACCAGTGATCAAGGCGGAGGACATGGTGCTCCCAGTCCCACAGCTAGACATGCTTGAGGATAATGCTAGCTTTACAAGAAACAACTCCATATCCTCGATGTGTTCACTTGGTTCCGAAGAAGAACAATCAACGAATTCAACTACGGTGGCAAGTGCCACGGAAACAACAGCTACAAAGGCATCCAAGCCAAAGAAGAAAAGAGCCCCAAGAAAGAGACTCACAGCTCATCAGAAGCAGGCACATAACAAAATTGAAAAGCGTTACAGAATCAACATCAATGCTAAGATTGCCGGGTTGCAACAGATTATTCCATGTCTCCGTACTGAAAAGACAGCCTTCGAGATTGGCGACGGCCAGAAGCCAGACGAAACCGTTGATGTACCGCGTTTGAATAAGAGTATGATTTTGGAAAAGGCTACTGGTTATATCCTTCAGTTACAGGAGAACGAAAAGAAGATGCAAGAAGAATTGATCCAATTGAGAAGTGAGATCTTGAAGCTTGGAGGCACAGTCCCAAGTATGTGAAGGGTACGTGGTTATTGGTGTGTGTATGTGTGTTTTTTTCGTTGACGAAGTGCTCACCTTTTTCTTCCATCTTTGGTATTATGGTTTGTTGTTTCAATTCAATTTTGGGTGTGAATAGCCCCTTTGTTATGTGTTCACGGTTTAATGTATAGAGTTTTTTAAGTCTTAGAGTTTACCTCCAATTGTAATTGACTGTAAAGACCAATAGTACTACACTATGTGCTAGGTTTCAATGCTCGTTGTGAATGAGTTGGATATGCCTTTTGGGGGACAGCTGTCTGTCTGTCTGTTGACTTGAAGCACATGGTCGCTGTATTTGATCTAATTGATTCGCCGCCTACACAAGCCTTGAAAGTACCAAATTTCACACTGCTCTATGAATAAAGTTTGAACTCCTTGCGCCTTATTACATCAAGGTAGTTTTGTTGAATGCTAATAAGAATTCCACGTGCGGTAGTTGAAGTAGATAAACATACAGCCAGACAAAATTAGTGTCAAAAAATTCTAGATCTTGACACGGCTACCATATGTAGAAGGTTCGATTTCCTAAAAATAATCAATTCGGCAATCTTTTGAGGTACTGGGGATGGATGAGTAGTGTACAGTGTAGCAATTTGATTCATTGCTTGAATTGCAGTTAACTTTAATCCTCCCAACCATGGTGGATCGGTACACCCGCAAAGCAAGGTGTAAGTTGCCTATATCCCGAACATGAAGCAAAAATTGGCTTTGCTATATGCGAATTAGAGGGGTTTCCTAACTTTGGAGCAAGGTTAACACCAATACATGTTCATGTATAATCTGGGCATTAACTTCTGTATAAAATTACACACCTTTTTGGTTTTAGTTACCTGACTCCTTATCAAACCTCATGATTTCATTGCTTGGCTTCAGATCTTTCTGAATATCTCTCACAGCTTTCGCAATCACATGTGTAAATCTTTGCTGTGGTTAATGCAGTTGAAGTGCAGAAAAATAAGACAACCACTAAATAAGGTTGGCACAAAAATTACCGCTGTTGCAGTACCTTTTGTTGTATCAATCAAGTGTCGATCGCTCTGGAGGGGCCCTCCACCCTCCAAAGAAAAACCCACCAAAGTTCTGGCCAACTAGCTTAATTAAATGCACCAGTCGTAGATCCAATCCATGAGGAATACACATCAAGGGAGCAAATTTGGAATCCTATAGAACTCTAACACATGGTTTCAAATTGTCCCAAGAAAGAAGGGGGGAAAAAAAGAAAAGAGAGCTGAGGCTGCAGAACCGTGGGTATCAAATATATGTAGCTGCAAAAAAAATTAAGTCAATGGGTTGGGTGAGAGTTGAACAGGCCGTATCCGCGATGTTCTATTGTTTTCCAAAAGTTCCTTGAATACTGAATGAAATTACAAAGGCCTTCAAAGTTGAGATTTGACTTTTGAATTAGGACCGAACACATGTATAAAGTTGCTTTTAAATTATGATCGTCAAATTACGAAACCCAAACTTACAACATTTGACATAGCACATGCCTTATTGTTCAAGCAAATCGGCCTTAAGACGATGTACAAATTGCAATCATTTGGCACTTGATGTTCAACAGTGTATGATTCAAGCAGTTGATAAAATAACTGAATAATATATCCTTCTATTTGTTCTGGGTTCAGTTGAGGAGATAATCCAGTCTCGTTATTCACTAAATATCCATTGGCGAAGCAATCATTTAGATTCCATCAGCGATAAACAAAACACACTGTGTATCTTGTTTGTGTCCTCCTCCCCCCCCCTTAATAAAAATTGCGAGGAGTTCTGGAGTTAGGAACAACCTCCACCAAGGATCAATTTCACAACTCTATGTGGGAAAGAACCTTAAAATACAGAGCTTATTGTGATTTTAAGGGAGGAAGAACATCTAGGGCGTGTGGATTATGTAACTTATCAGGTGCAAGCATGTAAGGTTAATCATAACCTGATAACTACTTGATCTACATTTACTGTACTGTTGCTTCTGTTCTTTTCAATTGTCCAGTGGAAGCTTTGGGGACTTTTGTTATCGGGATGTCTTCTAGGATTCGATTTGGTCCGTTTTGGTTGTACCGAATAGATTATCCAAATATAACCTGGAGATACCCCCCCCCGAATACCATGATACATAACAATAAGGTATGATCTGCAAAATGTATGGGCTTATCTCGATGTATAGCTCATGCACTCCATAGTCGGCCAACACATGCTTCCAACTGTGAAGGTACTGTTTTATAATTTATTTCCGAAACCGATAGCGATCTTGTTCAATGACTATCTCAAAATCTACACCAAAGCTCAATCGCTCTAATTGTATGGTCCATGCTATTTTTGACGATGTATTCCTTGCTGTTATTACCGTAGCCATACTCAGGTTTGTCAACGATGTAGTGAAGTGGACGGATCCTTGGATACTACCTACTCCCAGTCACTCAGCGTCTGTTATTCATGAATATCAGATTTCACGATGGATTCACTCAACATGCCTTATTAAGACCCGTTCCTTGGATCCGTATTAGATAGTCTATTTGAAGTTTATGCTAACAGTTCAACTGCAACAAACAGATATTATGTTTCTCCAAAAAGCGGGTGTCCTTTTCACAGTTGGTCCAGTTTGTTTGAACACTCTATTGCAGGGGTTGTTGTTCATAGTTCAACTACAAACCAATTTTGACACTTATTGAATTGGCAAATAATATCAGTATATGATAGTGACAAAGAGAGCATAGTGATGGGCACCTTTGCTGTAGTTGCATTATATATTTATTCTTGGCCTAATCTTATACCCTTGAATTGAACAAATAGATCACATACTTGCATTCAATTATACATGTCCGATGTCTAGTACTGAGAGAGATTCAATGTGGTTTTATTATGGCGTTTACTGTGGTGGCGTACAATGGCAATATTGCTAGTGTGGAATTGGTCGGCATAGACCGCCTCGGGAAGGGAGCGTAAAGCTTAAAGTTGTCTATGAAGAAACTACTAAAAGAGTACGGAAACAAAAATTCTATATCAACCTCTCCATCATTCCACAGTTCCCAGTTCAGTCAACGGTAAGTTGGCCGTTTTTAAATACCGAGCGTATGAGTCTGTTGGACTCGCTTTTGTTTTGATGGCTAATATAACAACCATTCAAATCTCTATGCAACTCTGCAATTAGCCTCTGAAAAGCAGCTGCATGGTCCATGTATCTATTTATCCGGTACATTATTTCAGCCCTGCAGGCGTTTACCTTTATGCTTGTATCCGGAAGAATACCTACATAATATCGCATAGTGAAAGAATAAACTATGCTCTACTGTATCCTTTGATATGAGGGGGTTTAAGTTTTCAAAGAGTAGTAGAATACACAAATAGCTTGGGGTATTAATTGCTAAATATAAACTCAGGAAATAGGTCGTCTGTTGTAAACCTTCAATCCAAAAGGAAGTTCAGCTCAGCTGGTAAATCATCTGGGTTGCCACATGCCTCTGCATAAGTGACGCCATTAAGTCTGTCCTCTATATACTTTTCAAACTCATCAACTGTGCAACTATATCCTGGACCGGAACTTATTGATGTGATTGGAATAACTGCATCGTTGTGTTTCACCCTGACATAGCTTTCGTTAGAACATTGAAGTTTCTCGAAAATTAATCTTGAACCCATAGGGTTGATATTGGAAACTTTCCACAAGTGATTGAAACTTTGATGATCCAATGGCAGCTCTCCATCATAAATGCCTAGTGTTGAAACAATAAAGAATATGTCGGTGTCATGAGCAAATGTCATTGTTAAGTTTCGAGTATCATCTTTGAAAAGGTCAATGACAGCATTAACGAATACTGATCCAACAGGGACACTTAGATTATAACCCGGTCCCTTGTGGTAATAATAATCCACATCATTCGCGTATGATCTTGCAAGTAGCTCGTCCGTTGTGAATATCTCACAAATGGCTGATTTTCCTGCGGTAGTTAGATCAAAACCACAGTAGTTAAATAGAGCCTCCACTTCCTTTGTTGTTAAGTTCAAACCTGGAGTCTCTTTGTTTAGCCTCTTTGCAGTGGTTTTCAAATAATCATCTGATAAAGTGTCGATTAGATCGTCGTTCAAAGTCTTGTTGTAGTTTCTGCAAGAAGTAATTGGTGTTAAGGAATTTGCACCCAAATTTTCATCGTCTTCATCAATGATAACTAACGATGAGTTGTCAATCTTCTTGCCCAAGAAACCTTCAGCAAATTTTCTAGCAGAAACCACAACTCTCTCCTGTGAGGCTGTGTAAAAAACAAGATCATCAGCATCATCACTTACCAAGTGATCATAAGTGTTTCTAAAGGCTTCACCAAATTTGTACATGTCACCAAGACCGGCATAAGGGCCTTTAAAGGTCTCATCATCATATCTCTCCGGATCAAGACCGCTGAAATCATAACTTGGCAAGAATGATAGTGGACCATTGAGATCATCAGTGATGTTGTATCTTATTCTTTTCAGACCTTTTTCAATAGATTCACCTTTGCTTTTTGTTGGGTAACGTTCACCATGACGAGCAATAAAAACCACCTGTTCCAATTCACATCCATAAGGAACGTCAGGATCAATTCCATGACCTGGTTGTTGAACATAGGGAGACGCAGTTCCTAGGAAGCGTAGGACATTAAACTGATCCAATGCCTGTTGATCATATGGTTTGCTGTTGAAGTCGATAGGGAAAGCACATGCGGCTGCAGCAAACAAGACAACTGGCGACAAAAACATCATTTCCAAATTTCTATTTGAAGTAGAGATGACACGAGATGATTCTCCTTAAATTTGCAGGAAAAATACTTCGACGATACCCTATATATATACCCTTCTTTGTAGCGTCGATCAACAGGGCAGATGTGAGGTTAAGATCACCACGAGCACATGGCCCACGTTTTCAGTAATTAGAAGTGTAATGCGAGTGCACAAGCGGGATAAATGCAGATGCGTTGATATACGTATGCTCCTAGTTGATATCCTATGAGAAGCTGGACTGTTCATAAACATGTGCCATTTTGTGCCCTCTTAGAAAGTCCGGGAGACGGCAAAAAGGTAGTGATTTCTTTAGAGGAGAACGCACTCCTTGTGTATGTCTTACTGAGAAGCGACAAGACATTTGATGAGGATGTTGCGCGCACCGTTGACATAGCGGTCGACAAACAGGTTGCACAAGGCACAGCGGAATGTGCGGTTGGCCAGAGACAGTGTGTCTTTTATCGTCCCGCAGCCAGTGCATACCTTGCACGTGTACTCTTCAGTCACTCGCGAGAGGCGTGTCCGCTTGACTTGACATTTGAAGGCCAAACGCTGGTGGATTAGGGAGAAACAACATGAACTGGAGGACAAGATGCGACAATTTACGAGTGTGTTTTGGGTAGATGTCGATGAACTCAGCAATGTATTTCGCGGTTGCATGCGTGCCCGGACGAGGTGGGAAAGACACAAGCCCTCCAGCTGCGTGAACGACTGGTGGTGAGTAGATGGTCTACACTGGCTCATGATGATGAGAACGTCTGGTCTCTTCTGGACTAGATGGTATACAATACGAGCGAGATAAGGAGCTTGCTAAGTGTCTGTTGTATGCTTCGTAAAACTTTCCCAACTGGAAGGGCTTGAATTTCTAGGGCTGAATTGCCCATATTGGACACTTTTGCTGTCATTTTGCTGTGCCTTTTCGTGCCCCGACAGCAGTTTCACATTGAGCGCAAAAGCCTACAAAAGTCTACAAACGGAAGGACACCCTTTTGGGGCAACAGTTGTAAATCCTCCCTTTCAGAGCAAAGCGTACAGTAAAGCTTGGCTCATCTTGGACCTGTACGCTTGTAGAGAATGCCACAACTGTACACCATTGTTTGTCGAGTGACACATCCGTATAGATGCAGTCTACAAAGAACAGGCTACCAAATCATCCTCATTCGATTACAATAAGGGGGTATTAAAAATAATATAACACGTTTAAAATAGACGAAGCAAAACTAGTCCGCTTAGATCAAGAACATAGCGACACCAGCAGCGATGGCACCAGCAGCCTTCAATTGAGCACCAGCACCGGTCTGAGTCTCGATAGTAGCAGTGGTAGCTTGGACTTGACCGTCAGTGATTTGGGAAACAACCTCAAGAGTGGTCTCCTCAGCAGCCTCAGTAGCAGTGGTGGCTTGGACTTGACCGTCAGTGATTTGGGAAACAACCTCAACAGTAGCAGCAGTGGTCTCCTCAGCAGCCTCAGTGGCGGTGGTGGCTTGGACTTGGCCATCGGTGATTTGGGAAACAACCTCAACGGAAGCCTCGGTACCGGTGGTGGCTTGGATTTGACCATCACTGATTTGAGAAACAGCTTGAGCGAGAGCGACGGAGGCAAGGGTAGCGAAAGTAAGGAATTGCATCTTTGATTCTGTTGTTTGATGAAAGAAAGAAGGGAGGGAAAGGGGGTAAAAGGTCAAATGAAACTGCCAAACTAGAGGGCAATCTTGATTATTTATACCTTTTTTGTAAATGGCGCATAGCTTCAAAAGAAGCGAGCAGCCTTTGGAACACAACAGGTGGAGGAAGGAAAATTAGGTGATTCCATAAAAAAAAGTTTTTCACCTCACCCCGGCAACAAGAATACTTAAAACTGTGGATCTGAATTCTAGACCACGACCAACTCTTTGAGGGTAAATATAGCAATAAGGGGGAAAGTGTAGGAAAATCCATCCACAGAGAACTGCGAAACTTGTGTTCATTCCTGAGAATCAAAGGAATACTTATGATCACTGGCCTAGCTACTGAACCTCAACAGTTGACACAATTCAAAGGGACGCTTGATGTGTTCCATGCTTGTCTTCTTTCCAGTTGGCTCAAGACTCCATTGTACCACACATCCCCTGACGTTATTTGTCATTCCCCCCTCTTTGCAACGCTACTTTGTTTACGTCCAATGAATGTACGTTGAAGCACCTTTGTGCCGTAGAGTTCACTTTGGCCCGCAGGAATCTTTGCCAATTTCGTGCTCGATCGAGAGTGTTTTAAGCAACGAGTGGTGATTGCACGCCATTCTTCGCTAAAACAGGGAGTAAAAAATTTTAAACTATTGGTTAAAGCCACAAGACTGCTGATTCCTTAGCGTATTACCCACCCAAACCTCCCATCCCATTGACCAATCATACACGGGAACGGCGACGCAAGGCAATTGGATCATTTCCCGAAAAGGGTTAAAAGTGACCGAGTTAGGGGAAATGGCGTATACCAACAAATAATCTCACACAAGGTGCAACAATTTGGCCCACACCATCCGCCTGCCATGGAAGGGGTTTGTTTATCCATTTGTTTACCAAAACATGGACGTCACAACACCGGCACGCGGTTCAACTATGATGACCTCGATACAGATGGTATTCCAAACAACAGAGAATGTGTGTCTAATAGACAAATAAATAAATATAAAACAGATACCCCAAACTCCTATATACGACACATGAAAAGTCCACCGCCACGGCAGCTGAGTTGCCGGAAGTTCACAAGCATTGGTCGCGTGCTGTATGTCTTGTTTGCTTTAAACCGCCTCCCGTGCACACGTTCCGACAGCGGAGCCTTTTCAGAATTAGGTCTTCAATCCTTACCGACAAGGATAGAAAGAATAGCATCCAAGATCTGACGTTTCTTTGACGCTGGATGCTCAAGCTTTCTCTGTTCGAGCATAGCTGTGTACTCTCGCTCGTGATCTTCAATCTCTTTCAACCCGGTAATGAGATCAACTTCCGCCGGGTTTCTCCATTTGGTTCTCTTGATCACTTTCCAAAAGATAAACAGCCCAAAATCAACAAAGATGATGAGGTAGTTGAATAGAAAGTCCTCGTAGTTCCAGTTTCCCTTGGTGAAAACGCTATATCCGTTGACCCACATCATGATAAATGCGGATGCAAACCCGAGCAGTGCGGTATAAGGCTGGAACCAACTCTTAAAGGTAAACCCGTTTCTGTCTATGCCTTGTGCGTTTACAGCTTTCAAGAAGAAGACGTAGGTAATGGACATGACACAAAAGTTGAACAGCTGACAACCAGTGATTAAGTTAATGAGCCAATCCAACACAACTGCGGATCCGTTGTTCAGCTGCAAGAAAGAGATGAAGGCCCACGAAAGAGATGCTAACACCGCAAGAATTGGAACACCTGATTTGTTGCAGTATGTAAAGATCCATGGGGCCTTGTGATCAAGTGCCAATCCATAAAGCGTACGACTAGAACAGTACGTGTATGCGTTACCTGCACTAAAGGCAGAAGCGACAAGAGCACCATTCACGATGTCTGGAAGAACATTGATTCCCATATTGTTCATAGCGATGACATATGGTGAAGCACCGGCACCTGGTAATCCATCGCTAATGGCAGCATCCAACTGTGGGGAATTGTATGGAACAAGAACACCGACACAGATACACCCACCAAGGAAGAGAAATGTCAATCTGTAAAAGATTTGTTTAAAGGCTCTTGGTAACGTTGATGATCTTGGAAGCACAGTTTCGCCTGCAACCATTGAGAGGTAGTCTGGACCTGCAATGGTGAACGAAGCTCTGATTAAACATTGCAAGAATGCTCTAAAATAACCTAATGAACCGGATGATAGATACGTTGTAAAGGATCCTGGGTCCCTCCAATATCTGAAACCAAATGCATCGTGTTGTGGGTTACCGCCAACCATGGTGATAAACGTGAAAAGCATGAGTCCAACGGCCAACAGAATCTTACCAATAGCAAGCCAAAATTCGGTTTCTCCATATATCTTCACTGCAAATATAGAAATGAGGAAGTACATGAGTGTTTGGATAGAGAGGGTTATAGCTGCGGAATAGTCATCTCTCCAGTAGTGAATAATTCTGTTCACGGCAACGATTTCAAAGGGAATCTGAACGCACTCTAAGAACCAGAAATTCCAACCACCCATGAATTCAAAGGCATCGTCACAACAACGGCCAGCCATTCTAATAAAAGGTGAACTAATTGGTAGATAGCAAACCATTTCAGCGGTGCTCACCGTGATACACAAAATGGGGATGCACCAAAGTGCAAATGCAATCAACAAATTACCTGGACCCATTTGCAAACCGTTACCAATGGCGACGAAAAGAGCTGTACCAATGACACCAGATATACCAATGAGTTGAACATGTCTGTTCTTCAATCTTCTCTGCGTCTGCGAAACAAGCGTCGACGTGTCGGAAATTGACTTTGTTTCCTGGTTTGGCTCGTAGTATTTGGAGCTACCACTTTTCCCAACATCATACATTTCAATGTTTATAACCGACTCGTTGTCGTTCTCCTTCGGGAACATGTGAGGATCCTGGGGGACATATATCGATGCTGTGTCAAGGGTCAGTGACTTTGGTGGGGGCAAAGGTATAAAGATGTCCTTAAAGCTTTGGACCCAATGCATGGTTAAAACTCGTGTGTGTGTGTCTTCTTCTTTATTGGCGTCTAGCAACTACAACAGTGTTAGGTGCTTCGAACGATACAACGAGTACAAATAATGAAGAAGGAGAGAAGAATGGAAAAAAAAACTTGCAGTTTTATTATGGGGTTATACCTGGAGTAAATTGCATATGCAACCCTCTCAGGGCTTTAACCACTGCCTCGGACAAACGTCAAACTCGGACGGTGTGGGTGAAATTTTAGCGAGTGGTACGGGTGTATGTTCTTGTTTCTGCATCTTTAGCCTGTGTTCACTGTTTAGCGTTGCGACCAACGTCACTGTACTTAGCCCTCATATCAATAAACTGTGCACTTTAGGCTTCAGCCTATGAGAGTTCGACTAACACTCTGCTCCCTGTCATGCACTTGTCCTTAAGAGCGAAGGGGTAAGATGGATGCAGCCGGAACGTAGAGAAGCACTTGTTCATCGTCGCAGCAACTGACCTGCGCTCGAGGTTAACATGGTCGAAAGGTCTTTGAGCACCTTACAACCTGTCGAATTTACAAGGCGCCTACCGGGTATAGCTAGGGTGGCATGTGCATCTATGGACTAAAGGGATAAACATACCATGAGAGGGAGCCCCCAAGTCACAGCTGGTGAACGCTGGAGTGTTTTATACGCATCATTGAACAAAGCAAGCTGGATTAAGGACAAGAAATGTCCGACTATGAGGGTCATCCGTTTCGTTGATACTATGATTGTTTTCATTGACGAGATGAAGGGAAAGAAACGGAACAAGTCCTCCAAGATAGTAAACGTCGTCACGGTTACAACTTTTACTGGGCATATATTTTGGTTTGCACACACTTTCAGAGAAGTGAAGTAGAAATTTCTTTTTGGAGAAAGTTTTTGTTCGGCTTTAACAGCTGGAAAAAATTTAGGAAAAATCGATGAGCTGCATGCGGAGTTGATCGTTATTTCGAAACAAGGCTACAAATCTATCTTCCTATACAGATGTATTAAGGACTCTATAATAGTATATTGTGTGTAGGAGTATATGAGCTAATGAAGAGAAGGATATGGGGTGCCGGAAGCTCTAAAAAGGTTACAAATTGTTTAGCGTATAGCGTTCAATATGCATAGAGTAAAACCAATTAAACAGAGACCCAAAAATAAACGAGTGAAGTGTCTCCTTCACACACACCAAAACCAACCCGAATTAAAAGAAAATGTCATGTATGTACATATAATGCTCGAAGATGATTCAATGATCTTCGATATCAAAGAAGAGGGTGGAGTCTACCCCTTAGTTGATAAATAAAACCAGAAAAAAAAAACAGCCCAAACCCAGGGTATGCCATAACCAGGAATAAAAAGAAAAACGAAATCGAGATCGAGACGTCTCCAAAGTCCTAAAAGTGTTAAACCAAAGAGCAGTTGCTCCGATTACAATGTCCAATCACCAACAGTGATACCAGTTCCAACCATTTCGGAAGCCTGTCCTGAAAGAATCGCTCTTCTTTTCAAGGCCCTGATTGAATTTACCTTTTTCTTCAAAGGTCCAGCCACTCTAGACATGGATGGTTCGAATCTAACTGGAAATGTTGAAACGTCTGGGAAAGCCAAGTTGTGTCTCTCGTCGTGTCTGTATTGTAGGAATTTTTGCTTTAAAGGTTGGTTTGAGTCACCATGTTGTTCTGAAGAGAGATTGTTGTAATCCAAGAAATCTTCAACACTCAACTGCTCTTGGGATGGCTGTTCTTTAACCGGTACTGAGGATTCCTCGGTGACATTGGACTCAAGGTCATTCAACTTGTTGTTCTCCTCGATGATCTTTTGGAAGTTCTCCTCAATCGTCTTGAGGTCTGAGAAACTGCCCATCACTGACGACACTGGTGTAATTGGTGTGTTCTCCGAAGAGTCTGAAAGAACGTCATCAGAATCGGATGTATAGTGATCAGAGAACAGGTCGTCATTGAGTAACAAGCTTGAATGAGAAACACAAGCATGGTTGTCCTCCTTCGGAGTTGGACGCTTGTCAAAGTTCAAGAATCTAGTTGTGCTGGTGGCGTTAACGAGATCTGTTTCGTAGTCAGAAAGTGCGGAGTGATACTGATCATCCTCATCTGAACTGAAGACATCATTACCATCCTCTCCAAGACCAGTTGGATATCCGTACACACTCTCAATACCATCTTCTGGTTGACGTTCCAATTTACGTCTCTTGAAGTTGACATTGTTATAGGTGTTTTCATCCTCCCCAATGGTGGTGATGGATCTAAGAACCGGCTTCTTAATTGTTTCTTGGAATTGTTTAGCTTTGGTTGTCATAACACGAGCACGAGTGGACTTACGAGTAACAGGAGCCATCTTTGAACTGGTAAATAGGTTCTGTTGTTGTAGCAATAGATTTAAGGGGATAGAGACAACAAAAAAGTTCCCAATGCTCATCTTTTTATGTCATTGGTTCCTAAATTTTTTTTTTGCTTCTGCAAAAATTTTTGATATGCGGCATGCATGAAAAAAAAAAGAAACAAAAAAAAACTATGCATGAATCTGTACACTTTGGTACACACACTAGCAGACCTCTGCCTAGCAGTTTAGAAGGAGGGCTGGGAAGAGTTAGGTGGGGCATCGTTCTGTAGGCAGGAAAACAACTCCTTTTAGAAAAAGATTGCTGCAGAGAGTGCCCAGTAGCGGGCACGGAAATTACAGTATACAGGCTCTAGGGGCGTCGAAAAAATAAAAGAGAATTAAGAGTGGTTGACAAAATGATGACGGAGCCAATCAACGGCATCATTTGGTAAGCTCGAAAACGATCTTGCATCGAAATGATCTCCCGTGTCCACCCTTTTCCCACCGTCGGTTTTAACAGGTTAATGTAGAATTGTTTATGATGAAGTACTCGTAAAATTAGAATTGTGTCATGCTATACAAACTTCGTATCAGCGACTATGGCTGTTTTATCCTAAAACTCTGAGCCCCTGAATTCAGTCCAGTTTGTGTTTTCCGGTCCAACACGTTACCTGGAACGTCAACTTCGAGGACCAATGCTCCCCTACATGTGGGCAATTCTATCTGTACAAAGAAATGAGAATGGCTTTAGCCAGGTGCTTATTTCTGGTGGTGTTTGTTTTTCCTAAGATTTTTGGTTGTCCAGGAGCTGAGAACAAGTTGCTAAGGTGAAATTTGTGTCTCATTGCAGGCTGGTTTGGGCAGCTACAATTACATCAGATCGGCACGATGACTTTCTGTCATAAATTGATAGACTTACGATCAAGATTCAAGTTTGCTATCTCGCTCTGATACGGACATAATTTACTGAGTGATTTGGTCCCGTCAAAGCCCCTGATTTCTGCTCTGTCGTTGTCCTCTCTCCTCCCTCATTATAGTTTTTGATAGATTTCCTGAGGAAACTGACGATCGGGGCCTCTTCTCTTCGCTGCCTGTACGACGTACATATTTTGCTGAGTTGCCCAGATCAAAGTTAGCTAGTGCATCAGACGTTCTATCGATCCGTAAAGCTAATAGCTATAGCACTTCGGCAACTAAAGCATTCACAAGTTGAAAACATATGCACACCTGATTCTGTGCTATACGAGGACATTTTGAGAGAACATCCAATTCCAAAGACACAAGTTCTGGCTGATTGGCAGCCAATCAATTGCCAATGTCAAACACCTCCAAACTAATTTTGCACAGAGATGAGTAGTGATACCAAGAGGCCTCAGACAAAATAAAATTCCATTCGCAGCTGTATCCAGTGGAGAGACAGCTCCCGCAGAGCAATTGACGTTCTGTGTAGAGCAATCTTGTCATATGTACGATTCTGTTCTCAATCAATGTGTTTGGCTCAAAGGTTTTGGCGATCCTATCCTCCACCCCCTATAGATGTTGCATCTGGTTTCGTGGAGTGATCAGAGATGGGGTGCAGCCAAATGTATGGGAATCCAGACTGTATGTGTCAGAGTTGAAAAAAAACGCCTTATGGTGGTCCCAATCTAATATGCCGTGTTTGGTAGATATGTAGCCCCTGAAAGCTGTTCATCATACTTCTAAATCCAAAGTATCATATGATATTTATGATACGTCCTATCGAAACTCTAAATTGATCTCAAGTCTGCTTTGATGAACATTGCAGCGCTAGCTCTGCCAACAGTAATGCACATCGTAAGCAACGTGTCTGTAGTGTATTATGAAGAAGTAACTTAATCCCTCTATAAGTCAAATTATGAAGTGAAGAGTTGGCAGACATAAAGAGCAAGGGGCTAGAAAAACACCCATATGTATGTAATATGCAGACAAAGGTTGTTCAAGTGCGTTGATTTTATCAAACACATGAAATGCTGTCCTATCTCATGGTGCGTTCTGCTCATCAGCTAATTATTAAGTGGGGAGTCAAGAATATCAATGTTGTATAGGCAATCGCTTTTACAGTTAATTTATCTGCTAACTAAAACGTGTGTAATTGGTATTATCGTGGATTATGACAAGCAATCGTACAGTTCTTACAATTCAAGGGTTATCTACTGTTCATTTGCAAGTTCATGTAGCCGAAAGCACTCCCTATCCTCAGGAATTTATGTCTCTTCTATCACATTGCATGTCAAAATCTAGGATCTATATGGGTTGTACCCGCCTTGTTATCAGAAGATCTTTGCTGCCTTGTCATTTGTTTGAGATCATGACAGGATTTACAAGTGCATACTGCCATCAATTGAGGCGTACCATTAATCCTGAGTTCTGCAATGCTGTTTCTACCTCGAGCTTCAATCATTGCATCCTGGTGGGATTTGCGAGGTACATGGTGCACTTTCCGTCATAATCAGCAAACATGTCCCTACCAGAGTTCTTGTGTCCAACTTTACCAAATAGGGAACTCTTATGCTATGATGAATTGAAGTACTACGGATGATCAGGATGTCGGTTTACCTTCAGTAACATATTTAGGTGTAAAATTAAATGATACACCGTTATAATTAAATTGGTTAATAATGCAAATGTTCAAAAATCCCCTAAAGTGTATAGATATACGATTTAAACAATTTCAATCTCATGATTCACGGTGAAAATTCCATTGGATGGGCTAAGAGGTACTCCAAATGAGATTCGATGAATTGACACAACTCAGCTCTTGTAATTTCGTTGAAGTATTTCAAAGAGAGATTCAAATCGCATAACATGAACTTCATTCTCTTGTACTGGACAAGTTCAAAATCAAACTTGTATGGGAGGAAGTTCCCAACATCAGAATACATTCTAAAGTCCTGGCCATTGCTGTTTTTCAACTTCTCCTCCTTGTGTAACAGGAAAGGATCAAGTTTCGGATAGTTGGCGTGGACAGTGAACACTTTGGCACGGTCCTTGTCAAATTCCTCCCAATTAGGATTCTGTGAATTGGCGATTGCCTCAAACATCTCATAATCCTCTGTTGGATCACGTTGTCCCATGGCGACACCGTTGAAATTGCCCGTGCCAGTATCCACCCATCCAAAGGTCTTGATATTCGAATGAACTTGATAGTAGCTCTCATCTTGGTTGATCGCTGCAATGACAAAGGTATCCTTGTCACCTTCACCGTCTGCACCTTGTGAGATCAATGGGTAGAAGAACTCCGGTCCAAAAAGGTTATAAAATAGTGCTAAGCACAACGTCTTGACGTGATCACTTTTCCGTATTAAAATTTGACCAGATTCAGTGGAAAGTTCTGGGAATGCACCTTGTAACTCGTGGAACGGAACTGCTTCTGGATCAGTGACAACCTCTGGTTTTGGTAATGGCCATTCACGAGTGTTTACTCTCACTGTTTCGTTAACTTGAATGCCCATTATCTCATAAAGATAAGGTGAGGTTGTTCTTTCCCAATAATCTGGCCAACTGACAAACCCCTTTGACAAGAATGGCTCTGAGTTGAACATCTTATCTGGGTTAGAAACCAACACGTTATCACTGTCCAAAAACAGAGTATTATCAAAACTGGACGCTAACAGTGCCAATGACTTGTACTGATAACCTTTGAAGGGGATATCTTTCATGATCTCTGTTCCCAGCACATTTTGCAGCAGCACGCATGAGCCACCTAATGCTGGTAGTATCTCTTCACAAAAGTCATATTCGTACTCTTCGGACGTTGGGATGATCAACTCCACCGGCAACTTACAACCAAAGGACCTCATAGACTTGATGCTCAATAACGATAACCATGAGAATCTGCCACCTCCAATCATCACAATACCTGTGCCTTTATACAGTCCCTTAGGAAACTTTGTCGGTAAGGATTCAGAGACGGATTTGTGAATACTTTGTAGACGCGCTACTTCCTCGTGATCCATCGCCAGGTAGGAGAGCAATTCCTTCTTCGACCAGAAACTCGACTTATGGTCAGATGCACGTTTTTCCAGCTCCAGCTTGGGTATCTCTGATTTCTTTGAGTATAAAGATCTAATCAAGTTGCTATAGAACTCCTGCGACTGGGCCTGCTTCTTAGACGTCGTCATCAGCGCACCACCAGTCTTCTTCAAATGTTCGGCGACAGCCTCTGGCAACGAATCGGAATCTGCCTTCACCAGCTGCTCCACTATCACGTTGTTATCATCCGAGTAGAAATATTCACCAAGAAACTGCTGAAAGTTCTCCGCTACCTTGTCGAACTTCGCAGAGCTTGACCTTTGAAAGATCGCCGACGTGAGATAGCCCAGCGACACCACAAATGCCAGCAGCATCAACAGCCTTCTGTGGCGAGGAGAGCCAATGCCTTTGAACATGATCCTCTTGAAGTTATCGCCACGGAGTGTGTGCACTGGTCGGTTTATCCTACTTTTGGTGTAGTTGGTCTCTGTCTGTGTGTTGTTTTTTCCTCCTTCCTGTGCTCACACACGCTTCTAGAACCCTGTATGTCCTCTCGTTAGCCTCTGTATTTAAAGGGTCGCTCCTGCACGATACACAGGGAAACAATGAGCGTGGACTGGGATTTTAAAGGGAGTCTGCTTCCACCCAATCACAACGTTCAAAAGGGAACTTTGGCTGAAATGGAAGTTATGTGGGAGCTTCCCTTCGTGTCGGTACGATGGTGGTGCTTGAAAGGGGAAAAAACGCGTCACCAACTCTGACGTCCGCTTCTTTGGCTCAATGCGCTTAGCAAAGTCTGAACAGGAAAAGTTTTCGTTCTCACGATAACGGGGGAAGGGACAGATTTTATACGCAGCTAAAAAATAGGGGAGAGTATAAACTACGCAGTGGTTTGTAGAGAGGATAATGCGTGAACATTGAAGATTGGAAGCTATGTAATATAGGGAGTTAGTACTTGATTCCATCATAGGAATGTCTTCCAGGAGGCCCACCTTGCCATGTAACAACAGACATGTATCAGAGTCATTAAATCAGTTTTTTTGTTTGAGTAATCACCGAAGTAGTTAAACGTTCTAAGACAGTGTGAATATAAAAGATCATCATGAAAGCAAGGGACTGTTGTTGAAGTGGGCAAGAAAAGAGTCTCTCTGGATGATTGAGAGATGTTAACATACGCCTTAACCATTGTTAGTACAACGTCGATGAAGAAACACAGACAATATCGAAATCTCCTCCTTTGTTTACACCTGACAGTTTTGTTCTTGTAAAAGTCAGCAAAGCGACCTATCATCAATTTCAATCCACCAACACCTTCAAAAATGTACACAGAAGATGCGACTACCATTACTGGTGATGGATCAAACACCTATGACCGCCCGGTCGAAACAGTTTTCCTCATCCAAAATGTAAAGTATAAAAGGCGGAAACGATACAGGGGGATAACTTACTGTTCATTGTTAGTACAATGTTCGCACCAAAAAGGGCGGTGGTGTTCGATCTTGCAATTTCCATTCTGGTTCTCCTAATATGCTCATACAAGGCTGAAACTTAACGATATAATGCAATTGTCGACATACAGTCATTCAGTTGGAACAATTGGTTGATTAGTGCAAATAATCATAGCAGTGGTGAATAGGAGAAAGAGAAATTTAAAATCACATAAACGACCCACGTATACGACAGTTACTTACCTTGACACACATCTTGGAAGCTTAAAGCCTACAACTGCATTGCTTTTTCCTCCTCGCCTCGTTGTTCTCGTCTCTGTTGATGTTTTGCAAAGTGGAAGAGAAAAAGAAGGATAGGAAGAAAAAAGTTTTTCTAGCGTCGACGACTGGAACGCGGAAAGTCAGAATGGAAGCTTATGTAATGTTTATGTAATTGTTTAGGGCAAAAAGCCGACGGCGGTGGTGTCAACGAATGCTCCTACAACCTGCGATTTCTGCCCAAGGATTTGTTACAAGTGAGGGCATTCACCGGTGAGTTAGAACAGGAGGCTGACGGTTCCTTGATTGCCTTCCATTTAACCCTGTTGTTTCTTCCTTATGAAACTCGGATATCCGCTCCACCAGGCCACCACTAACACCTCTGCGATGCTTCGGTTGCCATCCCCACTGGAGGAGAACATGGAGTCCTTCTAGAGACCGTAGCACACTGTCAAAAAATACGTTGCACCGGATATAGAACTGTGGATATAAACCCCAGTACTGTTTTCCCATCCTTATGCCCATGGGTTCCCACATTGTGCCTCGCCTATCCATATATGGAAAGCTGCAAGCCTTGATGATGGTTCGTAGGCATCATCGCCTTGACGTATAACTCTGCGGTTACGTATAACAAGCCCAAAGCCAACCGCAGTGGGGCTATGGACTCGGTTTTAGCACTGATGGATGCGGCAAAGGGAAGCATACCAAGACATAAAGACGAGAATTGTAAAGATCTTCACATTTCAAAAGAACACAGCTAAAAGAACACAGCTAAAAGAACACAGCTAAAAGAAAACAGCTAAAAGACAACAGCTAAAAGACAAGTACGAGGCTCCATATAGATTAGAGGGGTGATAAATATCAGGGAATCCTCCAAACTCACAAACTCATACACAAGCAACGCCAATACATTCCCCTGTTTCCCCAGTCAAGTCGTGCTACTGAGATAAACAGCGTCAGGATGTCCCATAGTAACGTGTCCCCTCGTTGACCAGAGTAGAACCCCTCCATAAGCGTTTGGCACTACGCACTTCAAAACTGAAAAGTTCCCTGGCATTATAGAGGGGATAGCACTACTGGACAGCTCTACCATTGCGCAATTTATGAATGAAAGACCATCCACCATCCACTGACGAATAGTCTCCTTTTGTCATGTAGCTACAAAACATCGCATCCACCAAGCTTTTCTTTTGAGACTCCACACACTTTGGTTACAACTCGCCACCGATCTGAGTCTATGTTCAAGGTGTGGTTCGCCTCAGCTCAGATTATCGGTAACCGGGCACAGATCACTAGACCTCAACTGGGGGGAGTGTGTTTATTAAGCGTACTAGGACTGATTGTAGGGGTTGTGTGTTTGGCAAGCGGAGAACAACTCAAAGCGTACCATGTTTGGACGCTCCACTCCACCCCTAACCTTAGATACGCCATTGGCCCACGCCCGTACCATCACCCCATTCACCATGATCTGCTGTTTCTCCAAGTGGTGTTCAAACCACACGGCAGCGCTCAATTGCTTGTGTGGTTGTTGGTCCTCGGACTCCACCACGTCCTCAGTGCCTGTGATCGTGAAGAACCCACACTGTCGGAAAAAAGAAACCAACAAAAGGTATAACGAGCATGGAGTATGCCATAAACTTCAGTACATGATGTTGCATGTAATTAATCCACAACTATCATGCTGGTGATGCCAGATTTTGGGAAGTGGGTAAAGGAAGCATGCAAAAATTACAGAGCCAAGGAAGAAAAATGTGACGAACTCCCTTCCCCAGCGCCCCCATCCCCCCAATAGCCTAATTTTGATGAGGGTTGTGTAAAAGTGGGACACGGAGAGGAGAAATTGGTTTCTGCGTGTCAGCCTGTCAGCCGCTAGCGGACGTGGGAACACGAAATCAAAACGTCATAAGGGCCCGATTCCAGAATTACGCACACAACTCACACACATCGTGGGGGGCAAAAGACAGACCTTGCAGAGTATCTTGTGCTCTGTCAAGTAATAAATTTTAGTTAATTATGATGTGATCTTGTGTCCATTGGCACACTCGGCACTCCGTACTGCACAGATGGTGTGTGCTTCCCGTGCGTATATACGACGAAAAGAAACGCATGATGCACTTTTGTAGTTCATAGCCATATACACACACTCAGCGTGATAATTCCAACCAGACTCACCACCACGCCATAGAACACACTGCCTACAGGATGATCCGATGTACACAACTGTTTTAGCCCCGTTACTCAGACCGAAACGCAATCGAGCTTGATCTCTATAAATACACCACCACTGCCGCGCTCAGCACCCGTGATAGACAACATCATGAAAACCTCACGGTTGCTCATCTAGATCGTTCTTCACTGACCTTCTCCAATATTTTTTGTTCTGTGAGCTTCCACCCCTCAGGAACAAAACTCCTCTCTACTTTCGCTCTGCCTGTGCTTCTTCTCTCTCTCCTCTTCTTATCAAGATTCAGATCATCACTCGGGCGTTTTCTAGGCGGTGAACTGCATACGTCGACGGGCTGGGAGGGAAAACTGCACCTGCTGGATAAGACTGATACGGTTCTCTCTTGACACTTTTCTCCATTAAGGTGTTCCCCTAAAAAAGCAGCAAGGTACACAGTGCAAATATATAAAGAAGCAACCATTTTCACTCTTGAGGTACCTTGGAGTTACAGCAACAACACACACACACACACACACCAGCTCTGCGTGTATTTTCAACATCTCTCATCTTAAACGCTGCAAATCATGTCTGCTGTTTGCAGTACCAAGCCTCGGTTAGACCAGCCACGGACCGTGGCACAACTATCACCAAGGTCGAAGAGACGACTGTACACGCACCATGTCTTTGAAGAGGATATCCCACAACTGGAGAGTCTGTTCAAGCGTGGTATTGAACAGACGGGCTGTAGAAGCCTGAAGAAGCTCAAATCAAACTCTGATGAATCACAGCACAGCAAGAACTACGTCTATAACGAACCACCAGTTCCATCATCATTATTTGTACGTGCACATCCACACAGGGCTAATCAATCACACCAACGACAACAGCCCCTGGTACAGAGAGTCATCAAGAATCAGTATAGCGTTGCTCAATCGAATGATCTACTGGCTCGAGTGAAAAACATAAACATGATGAGAGCTGAGATGAAGTGCAACATGGATCTTTATGCACACGAATTGGTACACCACCTGGATGATGCCATTCCGACACAGCTGGATATGTCAAGGGATGCTTTAGAGTCAATAATCATCAACAACAGATGACTTCTTATCGTGTATTCCTTTCTTTTGTAATCACGTAAATCGCTCCAGTAGAAGTTTGGCCTCCAGCGCAATGCTTCCCAGCATATCCGTACTACTGTCGAGTATACCGGATCCATTGGAGGATGACTCACGTTTATCTGAAGGTGCATGCCATCTCTTGATTATAATCACCTTCTTGTTGGATTCTGTAGTTTCATAACACCACCAACCATTCTTCGTACGTATCAACCTTTCAGAATGCTCTGGATCGTGTTGAAACATGTTGGCCAGCTCCCTATGCACGATGATCGATTGCATTCTCGAATTCTCCAAGTCATCAGGATGTTTAACGTCATAGTGTTCATCGTCTTTATCAACACTCAAGATCATTGGCAAATTCGTATCTAGACGACGTTTCAAAGTGTCGAAAAGTATATAATGTAGGTGACGTTTCTTTGCAACCACATTTGAAGCGTGTGATCTGTTCCCCCGTGTAAACTGCACCAAATCCTTTGCCAGTTGCGAATAGAACTGTAGCTCGTTCAATGTGTTCACGTTGAATTCAAAGATTAGTATGATCAATTTTCCCTCTGATTTAAATATGACAATTCTATACAATTTCTCGTCATTGCAATCTTCAAATTGAAGATATACGTTTTTGTAAGTTATAGCTTCCCCCAATGACCCAATAAGGAAAGGTGTCTCCGAGGTTGTCTTGTCGCTGACAACATCTGTAATCGCTGGTTCAACTCCCTTCCCCCAGGGGAGATAGCCGTTCAAATATTCAACTCCTTGACTCATGGCTTTAATACCTGTGTTCACACCAGCAGTTATACCTGCAATACTGGAGACATCGTTTATTGTGGACAACACCATCTTGAAAGGATCGTAAATGGTCTCATCTGAATGAGCGATTGCTTTATTCAATTGGGAATCCTGTGTAATAATGTTGCTTGAGGTCAGGCTTTCACTTGTGATACCATAGTGCACCAATTCCTCTAGCCAGTGTAACAGTCTTACTTTCGAACATGTTTGTAGCTTCTTTGAATGCTCGTAGATGAGTCCAAACTCATCAACGTTGTCCACTTGAGGGTCCCAAACAAGGAAGTCCTTAAAACCATATTTCTCCCTCAAAACATCAACATTCGAAGAAACCTCAGAATCAAACCTCAACTGTGATCTTCTATATGAATCCGTAAGCTTCAATATGCCTTCTCCGTTCATATGTAAGTCTAGTTGAGTTGTCCAAATGTGCCACCATTTGGTCAGGAATCTTGTGCATTCATCCCTCGACATACTCTCCCAAAGGCTCTGAATCGTACCATGGTGCAGCCTGAAATGATCATACCCTCTATATATAAGCTGGTGTAGATAGTTCACAGGTGCAATGTCGAATTTCCGATACTCAACACCATCGTCATCCTCGACCCTGGTGCACTCGATCTGTAATATGCAGTGATAGCGGGACTCCAACACCGTATACAGAACATATCCATCTTCCAGAGCAACATGGTTCAGCTGAGCCCCCTGTGTGTAATTGTCACAGAACTGGAAGATCCCCTGCATCAGCCCAACCTTCCTCGTCTTCGTGTTGACATCAACGTCACTGGGGATGAACACCACTATTTGTTGATCCGAGTCCTCTTCGCTATGCGACAAAGAAGGGTCATATATCGCAAACAACTTTACGCTGGCAGGTGTAACTGTGGCATCAGTACGTGTTGAGAAAATCTCCATTGGATACTCAGCTCCTCTATCGCTAGCACACCAGCAACATCAACATCATCAACATCAACAACAACATCCTTGAGCAAAATGCGTGCGAGGGCATATGAGCCCTGTGCAGTGGTGTTTGGGTGTCTTGTCCAGTGTGCCTTCCCGCTCTGTGCGTTATGTGCCCTGGTACCAAAAAAATTCCCAACGCCGAAGGAGGAAAACGGTGACGATCAACGTTTGTTGTTAAGTTAGATTCGCCCAATAAGACAGCACAGTTCTCTCGATCAACAGCTTGAAACATGGTGCTTGCCGACTTGGGACTCAGAATCAACACTGCTGTGTCGAGTGCGATCAAGTCCAGCGATGTGGACAGCGCCATCGATGTGATGCTGAAGGAAATTTGCAATGCTCTGTTGGAATCCGATGTTAACTTCAAGCTTGTTGCGAAGCTGCGTAACGATATCCGTGCCAAGTTGAACTCCGATGAGAGTGTGAATGCGCAGCAGAAGAAGAAGATCATTCAGAAAGTTGTTTTTGACGAGCTGTGCGCTCTCGTTGATACCGGAGCTGAACCATACAAGCCAAAGAAGGGCAAGAGAAACGTTATCATGTTTGTCGGTTTGCAAGGTGCTGGTAAGACTACGTCGTGTACGAAGCTAGCTGTGTATTACAAGAGAAGAGGGTTCAAGGTTGGTCTTGTGTGTGCCGATACGTTTAGAGCTGGTGCATTCGACCAGTTGAAGCAGAACGCTGCTAAGGCCAATGTTCCTTACTACGGTTCGTATACAGAGACGAACCCTGTGATTGTTGCCAAAGAAGGTGTTGAGAAATTCAAAAAGGAGAAATTCGACATTATCATTGTGGATACTTCTGGTAGACATAGACAAGAGGAGGACTTGTTCCAAGAGATGATTGAGATTGGTGAAGCTGTGCATCCAAATCAGACCATTATGGTTCTCGATGCCTCCATTGGTCAAGCTGCAGAGGCACAATCCAAGGCCTTTAAGGAGAGTTCTGATTTTGGTTCCATTATTTTGACAAAGATGGATGGACACGCCAAAGGTGGTGGTGCTATCTCTGCTGTTGCTGCCACGCACACACCAATCGTCTTTATCGGTACTGGTGAACATACCCAAGATTTCGAAAGCTTCAACCCAAAGTCGTTCATCTCAAAGCTCTTGGGTATCGGAGATATCCAGGGCCTTATCGAGAAGGTTCAGTCCTTGGACATTGATCATAAGGATACCATAAAGAACATCCAGGAGGGTAAGTTTACCATTTCCAATTATCAACAACAGATCCAAGGTATATTGAAACTTGGACCAATTTCACAGATTGCGAACATGGTTCCCGGTCTGGGCCAGATGATGAATGGTATAAACGACAATGAGGCACAGAACGGGTTCAAGAAACTCATGTGTGTTCTCGACTCCATGACCAAAGAAGAGCTGGAATCAGACGGCAAGATATTCATCGAACAACCGTCCAGAATCGTCAGGGTCGCCCGCGGTGCGGCTCTCCCAGTACACGAGGTTGAGATGATCCTCACACAGGTGAATATGATGAGTGGAATGGCACAGCAGTCTAAGAACATGAAAGACAGTGGGATGGCTGGCATGGGTGGTAACCCATCCCAACCGCAGATGCAAAAGATGATGAGACAGATGCAGTCCAACCCTGGCATGATGGCCAACGCCATGAGAAACATGCAAAACATCCCAGGCATGGGCGACATGATGAAGAGCATGATGGGAGGCCAAGGTGCTGGTGCGGGCGGAATGCCAGATATGAACCAGATGATGAAGGCCATGCAAGGCATGGGACTTGGTGGTGGTGCACCGGGTGCACCTGCTGGAGGAATGCCAGACATGTCTGCTATGATGAACAACCCAATGATGAAGCAGATGATGAAGAACATGGGGATGTAAACTATCTGTCTCTCCATCTCTCATTGTATGGGAGCACACCTCTGTCTTTCCATCTCCCATCATATAGGAGCACACGTCTGTCTCTTGCTCTCTCACTGTATGGGAGCACACCTCTGTCTCTCCATCTCCCATCATATAGGAGCACACGTCTATACCGTAATCAACACCATAATGAAGTACACCTCGTAGCTTACGTAAGCACCCGCCTCTGCTCTCCCGGCCCTCGGAGCTAACGGTTACGTAATCCAGTCGGGGAATTTGTCGTTGTGGAAGCGCTTCCAGGGCTCATCGGCCAGACGGCCCTTCGTCGACTAAAAAAACAAACCAATACACAAAAACACACCGCAAAAACACAGCGCAAAGGGTTCACACGACTTGGAAACCGAGGTTGCAAGGAGTTGGCTGGCTGTGTGATTAGAGCAATTTGCAACTATGGAGACCACACCAACAACGAAGCCTGGCGGGAGAGGCGACAACGGCTCCTCGAGTCCCACGAAGAGTGGCAGAGTGTCATATAGCCCCAACAAGTCATCGTCGTCTACCCGGGTGATTGAGTCTCTCCATAGGCAGATTGACGAGCTCAAGCTTGAGTTGCTGGACACGAAGAGCAGGAACGAAGAGTTGAAGAAGAAGAATGAGATTGTGCAGAAGCGCCGTGATCAGCTGGTTGAGCAGTTGTCGAATGCCAAGCACGACAACGAGGTTGTCAGCTCGATGCTCGACAGGAAAGAGAGACGAGTGGCGGATTTGGAGGAGCAGTTGCAGAATGTAAGCTCTTGTGCGGATGACTATAAGTGGAAGTTCAAGAATCTGGAGACACGTTGCGACAAGCTGCGAGAGAACGAATCGCGTGCTGTGTCGGAGCTCGAGCGGATCAAGATTGCATACGACATTATAGTGACCAGCCAGAAGGAGTACAGAAGCCACTACGATGCGCAGGTGAAAGAGTTGAAGAGGAAGCTCGAGGATTACATAAGTGACAAGGACACGATGCTACAGAAGAACATCTCGTTGATCAACAAGAGCGATGCCACCATCTTTAGATCTATAAAGGCCATCACTCTGAGATCTCGGGAAATAGAGGAGAGGTATGTCAAGCGAGATCAGATCTTGGCTGAAAGTCTTGCCAAACTACGCAACTCCGTCTCTTTGAATACACAGGATATACAGGTGATATTGAAGTCCTCGAAGGACTTGTTTGAAGAGGTTTGTCACAAACTGAACATTGACAAGAAGACGTTGATGGAATCCTATCTACATGACTGCGAAGATCACATAAACCCATTCGAAGAACAAGAGGAGGCTCAGAGTATAGAACCTTCACAGGAAGGGGAACATTTGAGCTCAGAGAGAGAAAGCTCTCCAGTGCAAAAGATCAAAGAGGAGCCTATTGTTGTCAAGAAAAGGGGTGAACGTACAGTATCAGTTGAAACTGCAGAAGAAAGAATACGCAAACTCAGCAAAGACTTGAACAATAGAATTCCATCGTCTGATCGTGTAACACCTCTGGATCCACACGCTAAAACGAGACATAGACGCAATGGAACATCGCCGACCGATGACAATAACGCTGGCTCCTCTTCAAATTCTCGAAGATCGTCTGCTTTGTTTGATGGTGTATCATCAAACTTCACAGTTGCAACCGATGTATCCCGTAAGACTTCTTCCTCAAGAAATCCTTCGTCGCATTCGAGAAACGCCTCAAATGTTGACAACTTTGAGGAACTGTCCAAGAAGAAGAAAAGAAGACGTAGAAGAAAGAAGGGATCAAAGAAAACTGACACCGATGGTGAAAAGGAAGGAGAGGAGGATCTATCAGGGTTGGAATCTAACTGAGCATATAGCATTAAATCTCGTTGATTTTAGAAGACAAGGGCCAACTATTAAAACTTTGTATAAACTGCAATGGTACAATCTTCAAATCCTAAAGCTAAGATCTTGCTTGTAATGATATTGATATCTCGCCTCGTAATTGCGCTTCTAATAGATTCTGGAACTTCAACAGAATCGACGATTCTCAAAACGTTTGGTTTTATTGTGCTCTTCTTTAAAGGTTTATCAGAATCTTGTAAACTACCAATGGTATTCAAATCACCAGTGATCATACCTTTAGGTTTTGTAAATTTAGCACTGTATTGCAACTCTCCATTGTGATACTCCATGAACTTAGTTGTCCCGTTCCATGAAGACAATATGTATTTGTTATCAATGTTTACAATTCCACCTATCTTACCAAAATGGTCAAGCTTGACAACTCTTGAATGATGTGTGGCCAGATCTTGGAAAACGACATGAGATGAGATTGAAGTTGACGCCACCATGTTGTTAGTCTCATCGTAACATAGCGAAAGAACAGGATTTGGGAAATGCTCGCCTGTGATGCTTAAGATTTGAACCTTTGAAGGCTCAAATGACAGTTGTAACGTGGCAACATGGCCTGACTCGAATCCAACAGCCAATTGGTCATTTTCCAAAAAGAGAAGCCTCATGATAATTCCAAACTTATCCACTCTATTGCCATCGTCATCGTCAGCTCTTTTCAACTTGAACTCTGGAATGTTGATGCCATTTTCAGCAGCAATTTGAAATACATCAACACCCTGGAAGATTCTCCTGAGTCTATTCTCATTGGGTGTTTCATCGCCGAGAAATGCGATATCGTAAACATCAAACTTACCAGATTCAAGGGTATTGGGACTCACAATGAGACTCCCACGGTGATCCACATTGCAGAAATTGAGTGCATTCTCTGGTAAATCATAAACCTCCTCCAGGGAGAAGTTCCCCATGCTGTTGAACAGTCTCCAGAACTTTATACAGTTATCACGTCCATGCGAATAAACCAATCCAAACAGCCTATCATCAATCGTGCCAGTCTTCAACCCCAGCTGCTCTATCGACAGTATCGATCCCTGATGTCCTCTCCACGACTTGATAGGTCGACGTGTCGTCAAGTCCCACAGTGTCAAGTTACCCTTCTCATCGCCGGAAAGCAGAAAGGGCTTCAGCAAAGCTGAAGACGACTCCACGCCGTCTCGAAGTAGCCTTCTCGTACATCCAAGAGGCACTCTAACAAAACAGAGCGATGTGATAGGTTCAGTATGCTTCCTCAGTGTGAAATCAGGAAACTTGGTGTCATCTTCTAACAACGCCATGCTCAGCAGTTCCACCGAGCCTCCGCAATGAATGTTAGTGGTAGAATGAAAGAGGGAGCTAGAGCCTAAATCCGGTTGGAAAATGCCCGCCTGCCGTTCTGTGTGCCGCCTTTGTCCCCCTGCCCGGAATAACTTTGCCTTGCAGCGCGGATTAAAGCCCACAACGGCCGCTTGGAACTGTCACACCTGCGTGAAACATAATTGATGTGAAATTGTTAGAACAAAAGTATTAAAAGGAACACCCTTTTTCACCCTCTCGGTGCTGGATATACAGTTTTAAAAGGGATTAACATCGTCTAATTCTTGGACTTTTGTTTTGCTGTTTTTCCACCTTTCACCTGCTTTCTCTTCCTTGCTTCCTCTTCCCATTGGCTCATAAACTATTGCAAGGGGAGAAATGAGACTTTTCACTAAATTCTTTTTCGGAACAGCTCTTGCGGCCACTGGCTCGTCTGTAATTGCTAGGAACTATGTCTATGTTGGTGACTATCACGAGGTTTCTCCGTTTGACTTTAAAAGGCTTTCTTGGTCTGGTAAATTGAGATACCTTTTCTTCAATTCTCGTGATAACGCTGCAAAAGATGGAGCTTTGAGAGCTGCCAATCCAAACAATAACCAAACCTCGTTCGACTACTTTGAGAAGGAACTGGACCCAGCAACTTCAAAGTGTTTGCTTGAGAAGTACAAGACCAATGATGAAATGTTGGGTGCCATGCAAAAAGCACTCTTCTTGGGACCAACACTGTGGCCTCATAGATTTTTAATTGGAGCTTACTTGCATTCCAAGACACCAGGAAATGACAGGATTACTGGGTTTGCTAAGTTGGAGCCATCTTTGAAAGACATTGATCCTAAGGAACTACCACGCGGTTTCATGAATGCGCCACTCCTGCCAAATTTTCCCAAGCTCAATTATATCTGGAATAAGGACGATATCACGAAGTACGACAAACCTTTCGAGAAAGGCTCAATCATCTTTGGTATGTTCACCATGGGAGAACATGGCAATCGTCCTAACGGGGGTTATTTCAACTTTTTGTTTGGATCTGACTACTTCCCATTCACCACGGTCCATAGAGCTGAGTATTTCACAAAGCAAAACTTGGCTGGAGATCCAGTGTTGGTCATTAGACTCACAAACGCCAGTCAATTTACAGAGCCTAACAGTCCGATGTTCGTTGACAAGACCAATGGATTGCATGAATTCATGACAAGAACTATTGTCTTGGGTATGACTAGGGGAATGTAATAGGAATTAAATTCTCGTATGCGTAGCATTGAATATGGCTGTCTGTTGGGTTAGAAGTATGTAAATTGAGTAATTCACACCAACCCCTCACTCCGGTTGGATAAACACCTCTTAGTGAAGACCATTATCAGGAAACTAATTTATAGTGATATGCACGCAATAATCTAAGCTATAATGTCGAGCCCCAAAATATCTGACTACGATAATAAACGTGTGTTTCTGGCAAAGGTTAACAGCTCAGCACCTATCGATAATTTGTTACAATTAAGCCAATACCGAGTTCTCATAAGCTAATAACGAAGATCAAGAAGGTCCTGTGTCTTCAAAGCCTACAACAAGGAAGCATTTCCTGGAATAGACGAACTGATTGGTAATCGGGGCTAAAACTGCTCAGCTATTGAGATATTTTTAAAAATGCTTGCTGAATCAGAAATGTGGGAACTCCAATTGAGGATCAATTTGATTAAATATTGTTAGAATCGTGGGTTTGAAGATTATATGGCTTCCGCCTTCTTCATTTCATGTCGATCAGTCGCGTGCAGCATTTGATCTAACATTCTTGAGGTCATCTCTTTCCACCATATGGTGAAGCTTACTCACAGAAAGACATAAATACCTGTATTTTAACTAGACAGATAATTTTACAGTATTTTCAATGATCATAATAGTTTATTCATCTTAAAAGTAGTATCATTAATACTAAAAACAAGTATTTTTTGAAAACTATACAGGTCTATTTTGTTTCAAGAAAATTAGTAAGTGAAAGATGTCAACTTATTTACTAGAAATTATATTATTTTGCGTATTAACTACAAATTCTTCAGTAGAATACTCACCATTAATATTCTGAACAATAAATTGAACAAAACTTTGAGTTTGCTGTTAGATCATCTAATCTTAACCACTAGTATGGCATTGATAGCTTTATATGTAATGCGATATCTGCACCGAACTCATAATATTGGCTGGCAACGAAAAACACCTGGACACCTAATGCCGATTATAAGTAGATAGTGTAGCCAGTAAGTAGAAGAACGGATTAATATCCAACATTGGAGGGCATGAAAGTAGGGTCTCTGATGTACTCTCACTATGCTGTAGTCTCTTATATGTAATGCGTGAATTGTGTGATAAAACTTTCACTGAGGGTTCGTTGTACCGTATGGCCAACTTCGGGTGATATCTCGCACTATATTTAACTGGGGTGCCACTTCTGTACTCGAAGTAATCAATAGTTGTCCTCAGATGACGCATTGGTCGAAAAGACACGAAATAGTCATCGAACTGGTGTGGTAACAAAGGACTAAGAACCATTTATTCCACATTGTATCGCTGTCTACCGTCCTACGGAGAGTGGCATTGGGGTTCAGCTCCAGTCAATTCCATTGTTTACTGACATTACACAGTAGTTCGCCTGTAGATTCAACGAAGGATTCAATTAAGCATACAAGCATCGAACATTTCACACTCATTTAGACCCATACTTGTCGATCGAGGCCTTTCAATTGAAGTCTAACTTGCATCCGAGGTTTCACCACCACAGGACCTGTGCATGTAAACGAAACAGCATTTGCAACAGTGCCTCCAATAAAAATTAGCATCCGAGACAGTCGAATGGACAATGTCAAACACAGAACAATATCAATCAGTGTTCATTGTGCCTTGTCTTTTATGCCATCCGTCTAGATTGGTTCCACATGCTGCAGGATGTTAGGGTTCAGGACACCCAGACTAGGCCTTACACCCACGAGCCACCTGTGTTTTGAGCTTTACGGTGTATAGAGAGAAGAGAAGCAAAACATTGAGAATGTGTTATGCAGTACACACCTCCTTTGTACAAGGCGTGTTCCTGATGTCCACACTCTCGCATCCTTTTAACCTTATACAGGTATCCTGAGCATCAGTTTAAGATTACGAGAACACATCTCTCAACTCAAGGAGCAGACAGCTTTTTTCAATTGGGGTGTACAGCTTGTTCCCTCTCACAGGATATCTTGCCATCGTGATGTTCAGTACGCTGCCAATTTGAAACACAACGTTGTCAAGTTTTATCGCAACGGGCGTCGTAGACTCCAAACGAACCTACGCTACAATGCCTCATGGCTGATGTGCTTTCGCCATTGACAAACCCTAATCCATAAACAACTTATGGTCTACCCCACAATGTGCCAATGTCATCAGATAGTACCAATTGCACCGATTTGTTGTACATGTCGAGATCCAAATGTGGGGTTCCCTTATGTTTATTCATGCTGCTTTAGCCAACGTTTATTTTTTGGGCTCAAGTTTGGAAACCCCGGACCCCGGCAATAGTTTACAGAATTAGGCATGAAAACCATGGGGTAGGCAGCGGGCACTAAGCAGAAACCATAATTTGGGTTAAAGTTTAAGTTGGAATCCGATTGTCGGTAATTGACAAGATTGATCTTGTACAAGGATTTACACACATGCCCCGGGATCAAGATTGTATTCGGTTTGAGACTTTGCCAACCATTGAATGATGCAACATGTGTTAAAACCAACAGCTATTGAAGTGAACTTTTCTCCCCTAGAGTTTGACTCTTGGGAACGATACCTAGCGGTACTTTAGAAGGCAACGTGTTTACGAATGTGCTATCCTTACAGTTTTTGTTGATTCAACAAGGATGCCGTAGTGGACGTACAGAGCTTTGAAATGTCGGTTGTTGAGTGAGCGGTGTCGGCTAACGCAGCACTGTTGAATTAGAAAACCCTCGGTGTTTTTTCTTTCTTTTTCCCCTTTTTTTTTCTTCGTACGTCAACGGTGCGGACTGCGAAGATCAGCCTGGATGGTCAAGGAATTCGTGGCACAACTCACTAAAGTTCCAACTCCTCGAAGTCCGATTGAAGGGAAACCAGCTGAATAATTCTAGGAGTTCGAAGGACGACCGGACGCCGATCCCTGCACAAGAGATGCCTTTCTATATGTCGCTATAAAACTTTCACCTCATTATTAATTCAAACTCCTCCTAGCTTGGACTACACTTTACGAGTGCTTGTCCTTTTAAGTTTTGATCACCAGGACCTTTCCAGAAGAGACCGAGCAGTTAAGTGGCGAAGCGTGGGGACGCACACAAACACCAGCCATATACCATGGGATGTGAAGTTACATTTGCTTACAATTACCTAAGACCTGATTAATTCCCTCAGTTTCAATCCGTCTTATCTAGTCGATCTATCCCTTAGCAGCGATTTTTAGAATCGCCCTGCAACCCAAGCGTTAGCCTCTGAATTAATTGTCGCACTCCTGCAGTTGCACAGGAATTAGTAGGAGTACAGCATAAGCAATTTCAAAGCCAATTCACCGGTTTTCGGCTTATTTTCCCAGCCCAATGATTGGACTGAGCAGCCCCGGACTCCGCAGAATTGACACGAAACACAGTGAACCGAAGTGAATTTTATGTGAAAACAGCGATAAAACTTCTCACAGCTGAAACAAGATCTTCCGGTCGTGTAGTTTTTCAGCAGTTATTGCGTCTGTCTTGGTTTAAACCTGGGGACAGGGTTGAAGGGAGAGTTGACATCAACACAGATGGAGGGGCAGAGTTACCCCAAGTTGTATGTGGGAATTGATGCTTCCACACAATAGAATCGAAAACACCGTAGACAACAGGATCACCTCGGCCATTTGCAAAGGCACTGAAGCCTATGCACATACGTCAGCAACGTATACATAAGTGGCATCAAGTTATACTGTTGGTTTTTCCCCCTTGAGTTCTATTCAAGGCATCAACGAAAAACGAACTTCGGAACTGGGAAAGCTGTTGTCCCTCATATTTAATACGCACGCGCATTGTACGCTGCAGCTAATACACGTAGGCTCTTTCCTTGATTTCCAATGCCCGTGAACGCTCTCCTTTTGTTTGGGGCCAGCAGGGTTACCTTGCTGCCTTCTTGCGCTTCTCTGTGTGCATGCGTGTGTAATATGTATGCCACTGGGCGTTTTCCCTCCTTTTACCTAGACAGAACTATATAAACAATCGCAATGTACGCTGTCGACTTTAACTACGTAGATGGCCCGAAACCTTCGTTGGCCTTCATTTTTACCAGCTTTATCCTTAATTTGTTCCTACCGTCATTTCAAACAAGACAAACATACAATAGAAAGAGCACGAAGAAGAGAGAAGGAAGCAATATACACACAGATGAACCAGTAACGATGTTTAAAGTACACAAACCATCCACAGCACACACGTCTCCGCCGACTACAGCGAGTGTGGACGTTTTACTCAACTCCTTAGATTTTGAAAATGCACTCCCGAAGCCAAAGATATTGAAATCGTGTATACGGTGCCGGAAGCATAAGACCAAATGTGATGCATTCGAAAGACAGCCCAATGCTTGTTCAAGCTGTGCAAAGAGAGGCGTTCAGTGTAAGATCGACTATGTGCTGCCACCACAGAGATCCGACAATCTGAAAAATTTGGTTCAGAGCGTGAACGAGATTAAAAAGGAGTTTGGCAAGCTGGAGTCAGGTTATTCGCAGCTTTTCAAGGTTTTGGGGATTCAAGTTGAAAGCTTTGACAGCTGGAAAAGCCAGAAACTGGCGAACAATGAGGGAGAAGAAGAAGAAGCAGTTGACGATTTATCGCTGATTAAACTGCCAAATGGCTCATTTATATCGCTTCATCTCGTATCAAGCGACAAGTTGTTATTCAACAACATGCTCATATCGATAAACGAGTTGCACGCGAAAATCTCTCAATTGGTCTCTGAAATGACCACCTTGAACTCAATATTCGTATTCCAGGAGAAGACCGGGTATGATTCCGATTCTAGCACCGCATCATCTGCACCATCACCACACTCGCCAGTGGTGAAACAGGAGGGGCATTCACCTGGGGAAATCCCTAAACCAGGAGATGACAAGCTGAAGCTTTTTGACCTGGATTTATCTCCGGAGTCGCTCTTCAACTCTAACCGGCTGATGTTGGTGATTCTGCTGGACTATTTCTATCCGTCTGAGAATAAGAACTGCTCAAGTTTACTGCTGAGAAATTTCTTGGATTCCTTCTACACGGTGATTGAGTCCTCGTCAAAGTCGTTGACCTCATCGACCTACTCCACACACGTGCTCACTTCGATAACTTCTACCCCTTCGCACTTCAGCAAACAGCAGATGGCTGAACATGTCGGGGTGGAGATATTTAACGGAGACGATTTTCTACGCAGAGTTGTTGAGATTCTGGGAATGAATGCCCTTTTAAACGGGGATTTCGACTCGTTATCCCACTTCATCAAGTTTGTCGAGCTCAACGTATGCTCCAACAGAAAGAAGCTGCACTTGGATAGAAGCGGTCATATGAGATTCTTTTCCATGTCCCTATATCTGCAGAATGTTTTCCAAAGATCTGACGACCAGCTCATCCAACGTAAGAGGTACAGATCCATCTCAAAGAACTATGAACTGTTGGAGGACCTACTCTGTGCATTGAACAAGTCTGAAGAGGAGAACGAAGCGTACTTGAAAAAACTCTACAAGAAATTTCTGGTGAAGTTTGCACCTGTGTGGAACTTCTCAAGCAGAGACCAACCATGGTTGATCCAATGGTTTAACGAATTACGAGTGATACTTGCGATGTCCCTAATACCATCTTTCCCAGAGTTTAAAACGGTGCTATCACAGTACATGGGTTATCAAGATCCAAACAAGTCATTGTCACTGCTCATTGAGAACTATAGTTCTCAAAGACCGTGTGATTTATCACAGTTTACACTCTGTTGTCCTCAAATGGCCCAGATGGCCAATTTGGCACTTTGTAAAGAACAAACTGGAGCTCACAATACGATTGATATCCAGATGATTTTGGAACAAGTTGATTGGAGGAAGGACAGCACGGATGATGTGTTAAAGAAGATTGGCATTCTTTGAGTCTCATTGAGGCCTTTCTTTTATATCTATTTTATTTCCTATTTAACGATCTTCTTTTTTATTCTCTATTTAACGATCCTCTTTTTTATTATTATTATGATGTTATTTATATTATTATGACTACTTTGTGAAGAGCAATGTCAGATTAACTGTGTGAAACTCATCCTTACCCTCACTCGTGTCCAGTGTAATTAATTAATTTTATTCGACAACAATGATCAACACGCTCACATTCCAACTCTTTTGCGCTTGAGCTCTTCAACAACCAGGAAGATGATGATGGTGTTTGGACCCAGTCTGACGAAACTTGGTAACCAACCTCTAAACATGAAACCTGGACCTTCATTCTGCAATGCATGTGTGAGGATTTGAACAACACTTTCACCGGAACCACTGGAGTTCATAATTCTCGTCTTCAACACATCAGCTGGAGAACAAATGGTGGTAGCAACGAGACCAGAGATTAAAGATGCGGAAAAGAACGTTGCAAATGAATCCTTGTTCATATGCAAATGCTTAATGAGTTGATCCTTGGCGATGTCGTAAGTGACAACCTGGGAGGATGTCATGAGGACACCTCTAAACAAGTTTGTACCCAAGCCACGGAACAGAGCAGATGCACCTTCTTCTCTGATGATTCTGTAAACACCATCAAATGCATTTCTATAGTTACGTCTCTCACCCTTTGGCAAACCTGTATCGTTCTGCATACGGATGTTGACGATATCAGAAGGATTACCAACCATACCACCAACACCACCACTGAACATGGAGATTGGTAATAGATAGGACATCGAGCTTTGCTTATCAGCAGGGACATAATTGTCCTTCAAGTATTCATAGACACCAAATCTCGTCAGCGAGTAGGTGGCCTGTCTGAGCAAGCCCGCAGACAACCCAGAATAGATCCCAGTTATACCATCATGCTTCAAAATAGATCCAGCCATTTGAAACAGAGTTGGCTTAGGAATAGGGGCAGTTTGGAGACGGACTTTCGCAAGATCCAGCGGGTGCGTACAGATACAAGCAACACCACCACCGAAACCTCCATACCAAAATGGCCATTTTTCACGCGGCTTTGTCGATGCTCTAGAATCAAGGGTTTGGGTATTAGCCGTAGAGCTAGCCAAAGCACTGGTCTTGTGTGACGACATGGTGATGAATATAGCACTCTTGTTCTTGTGCAATGGACAGGATCAGAGGTCAATTATAAGCAGCAAAAGACGAGACTGAAACACCTTTTAAGGATGGAAAAGAGTGGACAAAAGAGACAAAAAAAAATTGTGTCTGCTGGTGCGCTTCTTCGTACATCGATGCCCACTTTTGACGGTCGAAGGACAGAGTGAAAAAAAAAAGAAACAGAAAAAAGCAAAAGAAAGCGAAAACATCGGGCTCGGCTTTCCGTTCTTGCTCTGTCAATTGTGTTGCGTTGTTGGAAAAACCGTTGAGATGAGGTCGACCGGGGAGAATCGGGCGCAGATCGTTTACACCCACCGGCCCACAGAATGTTACAGTTCTTGGGCGGTACGTAAATGCCCGTCTTTGTGTCACACATAATTCTTTTGTTTACATTTATTATTGAAAATGTTTACTTATCCTCTCCACATAGAGTGAGGCCAAATATCACCGCTTATACAGATAAGGATGTGTTTTCCGTGTTACGGCTATTCTTGGTCCCATGTTGATGTCTAGATGCTCTCGGGCAATGTCGCGGATGATGTTTGCACGCTCAGTAGGGCTCAGCCTACGACGGCCTTTGAGTGTTCTAAGGACGTTTGGGTCTCCGAGGTGTTTGGCGATGATACTCTCACCACGATCCTTTGCATCCATCCACGGGTTCAGTACAATCTCTGGGATCCTGCTGTTGAGCCCCTCGATCTCACCAGAGTAGAAGCATTGGCCAGATGCATAGCTCTTCGTTACAAGTTTCTCCAACTTGATTGGTTTTTTTGGATTGTGCGGTGGTTTAACGCTATTGTCTGACCCGCCCAACCACTGTTTCTTTGCGCTCGAGCAAGAGTTGTGTACCTTGGTCGTTGCACCTTCAGGCTTTAGCCAATTCACAAACAGTTCACTCGGTTTGCCCAATTGACTCGTCCATTTCTTCTTGTTCCTAACTACGGTCTTGTACATTTTGTCAAGAAATCTGTCATCGATGGCCACATGCCATTTGACACTCTTTAGGATATCAAGATCTGATCTGGAGCAGCTCAAAAGAGCATGGATGATTTGTTTATACGCTTCTTGTGTATCCTTAACTTTGCCTTGGAAGGAGCTCTTTAAGATACAGACCCCTTCTATATAGAGTTGAATTTCAAAAGAATCTGATAATGAAGGATGGAATTCAACAAGACAAGGCAAAGGATTGAAAACGGAGACAACTTCCTTGATTTTCTCTTTATAATCATCAGCAGGCTTGATAAGTTTACCTTCGTGGACCGTCTCTGGTGGCAAAGTTCTCAATTGGATGTACTTTTTGAACTTCTTCCCATTTCTAATGCGTCCAAAGAGCTCGTCAAGGGAAATCAATTCTTCTTCACTATAATCATCCTTCTGTGAAAAGATATTGAGCAGATCCTTAGAGTTCAGAAGAAACATCTTCAAAACAGCATCAGTCATTGCACCCTTGATGTCATCACACGGAGCACTCTGCATAACTAGTTTATTATTAACTGTTAGCTTCACTGAAACTCCAGGTCCACCAGATACCAGAAAGAAATCTGCTTCAGCACAGGGAAATATATCATTAATGATGGAATCAGGCTGCGAATGACATCTTCTCCACACAGTTCCATTTGACGGAATCTTCTTCAGTCGCTTTTCGAATTCTGGTCTTATACCAACAAGTTGTTTGTTACTTGGTAACACTCCGAGAGCTGTTTCAATTGTCTCCTTCTCAAATACCAGCAAAAGTTGCCTTATCCATTTCCTAATGGAACCAGCTTCCAAGCTTTGATCTCTTTCTAATGCATTCAAATAGCAGTTGAAGTAAACAGCACTGCTCTCAATGTTTGTGGGTGTTTTTAAACCAATGGCTTTCCACAAATCAAGACCAATGACCCACCGGTGTAAATTCTCCTTCGAAGTGATTGTGCTCGTCAAGTGCTTTAGACGGTTGTCTTTGGCAAAATCCGGGAAATCTGCTTGGAGAAGATTATAAACAGTTACTCTCAAATCCGTGGATGGGATGAGGTTTAAGTTGAAGGGAGGCAGGAATTTCCCATCACAGGAGGAAACTAGTTCTGACCAGGATCTTAAAATCTCCGGGTCCCCTAATTTTGGAATACATATATCCTTGACATCAGCGCTTACAACCGAAGTGGAGCAGTTGCTAATCAGTCTTAATGACTTTGCACTAAGTGGACTTGGAATCGTTCCACCAAGACTTGAAGAGGTACACTTTATTGCAAACTTGTTGAAGTTCGTAAGCATCTCCTGTGTGATGTTGTTTCCACTTTATGCATAACAGTCGACAATAATCAACATTTGACCCGTTATATATAATTATACAACGAAGGTATAGTTCTCTCAACAATGCAACAGATGAAGCCATACTTGATACACTACTGACTTGGACAACCTATATATTTTGAAACCAAAGCAAAACTATACTATGTTGTTCTCATAATGGTGATCCGATTGATCTACAAATATGGTAATTTTTGATGTGCAATTGCCGTGAAATTCAACGTTTCATGGAAATGTTCATCTACAACTTTACAGGAGCTTTGAAGTCTGAGAACTGTTTCATTAATTCATACAATACGTACATATGCCTTGTTCATTTCATTCAGTGTTCGCCAGAAGGGTCTGCACGTGTTTCATCTTGGCGAACACAGCATCCAAGTACTTCGAATCCACTTTAAAGTATCCCTTGACACCGATCAAGCGATCCAAGTCCTTTCTATCCAGATGAAATACCTTCAGACAACATTCCATCTTCCCTGAAATGATGGATTTAGCCTGGACTTTCATCAATTCTGTTCCTTCAACCGTAAAGTAAACATCTGGTGAACCATTAGAGGAATCAACTTTCAAAACGGTGACGAGAGGATAGAAAAGATTGGCTAAAGCTGTTGTAGGCTCTCTTGCCAGTGTAAATATCCATCTCTCATCTGTAGTTTGGTGCTCTTCGTAGATCACTGTTAAAGGAGCAGTGTGAAGCCAGATAAAATTCTTAAAATGCTCACTTTGTCTTGCCCTCTTAATAGATCTCACAGCACGGTCCACAGCTCTAGCTGAAATTCTAGAGGAATTTTTTAAAGCCATCTTGAGTATTGAAGGCTCAATTAGGAAGATTCTCCTTACAGAATTTCTCCTTGACCTGGCCATATTTACGTCGTTTCTCGATTCAGCTATAGTAACATCACCAATTTTGATAGTTGTGGACCATAGCTTTGTCGAAGGTGAATGCTGATACTCAAACCGTGCAAGTTGCTTTCCAAAAAGCCAATCAACCACAGCTTCTGGATTAGTACCAGTCTCATACCAAAGGTCTGCAAACTTGATGTCCTCAGCTGTCGATTCCTCGGATATAGGCCCTTCTTTCTTTCTGGATATACTTTCCATGACAGACTCTGATATCTCGGTATCAGGGATAGGGACTGCTATTGTATCTGGATGTGCCATGGTTTCCAATACAGATGTATCCACTCGAAAGAAGTTGTCGTTCATAGGCGATACTCGTTTCCTTTGAGATGTGATATTGATAGATTCATATCGTTGTCTTTCTCTCCTCTTCAGAACATCTCCAAGTGGAATTCCAGGAAAGCACTTCATCTTATCAGTTATATTATTGTTGAAGAATGCTTTGATAAAAGTCTTTTCCAGATTTACAAGACTCTTCATGAGTGCAACGACACTGTCATAACCATGGGACGGGTCCTTTAACAAGGCACCGAAATACGACTCCATGAAATCAGCTTTCCGGCCACCAGAAAGGACAGTATTACTTGGTAGATTAAGGAGCCTATTTTGCATCTGTAAAAGCTCAAACCATTCTGAGAGCTTTTCATTAGAAGTCAGCTGACTTCTTAGTTGGTTCAGCAGCCCAGGATACTTCTCATGCTCAGGGTACATCTCATGCACTAGTTCCAGCACTATGAGATATATGGCTCCATCACCGATGCTCTCAAGCGTATGGTATGCTGTCTGGTCCCAGCTATTGGGGTCAAGAACCACCTTCTTCAAGACCGGGTCACATATCTGCGGGAGTATGATCTCTGCATTCAACGGTACCTTCGACGATCCACCAGAACTGGTGCCAATTGGTAGTGGGAATGCTGGTGACTTCCTCAGGTGTGAAGCACAAGAGAACCTCCGTACAGTATGGTGGAAGAGACAACAACGGAGGCTCATTGAACTCCTTACCACCAAGTGAGACATATTCCATGGCATAAACAAGCGTCGAGTTCTCGAAGAAGTAAAGGGCAACTACACTTCAACACCCAGACACCACCGGAATAACCTCGATACACCTCATTGGCTACAATCAACACTCTTTCAAATAAGAAAATGAACTATGCTCAGTTCACAGCTAAGCTCTTGATACATACATATTTATATACACAACCCACTCAGAGACGCTCATCTTCAGCTTCTGTGAGGTCACCATCGTCTAGCAGGTCAGCGTCTTCAACGTCTGTGTGTTGAGCTGGTTCTCTTCCGAGATCATCGTATGAGCCTGTATCTAGCGTAGTAGAATCCAACGACACAGATCTTCCAGAGACCCTCTCCTTAATGAGCTGGAAGATGCCTGTGATACCATTTATAACAGGGCTTCCGATTTGCTCAATCAATTGCACTGATGCGACGACAGCAAAACCAACCATGGAAGAAACCTTGTTAAGGAATGAAGAGTTGTCGAACTCGTACTCTTGATCTTCACCAAGCTTGATTTGACCGTATCTACCAACGTAGTGGTGGTATATGACGTACAAAACGACAGCAACACCAATGATTGGGATGACAATAACCAATGCCAAAGAAAGACCAGTGAGGCCTTTGTGCTTACGCTTGAATTCTTCCTCCTTACCTGGACATGCAACTGGCTCAATCTTGTCAAACTCATGACCACCTTTACACTTGGTCAATGGAATTCTTCTGTAGCCTGTTGGAAGCCAGTACTCATCAACACCAAGCTCTTGACAAACAGTTGAATGGTCTGGTGGAGTGTAACCAGGAACCAGTCTACATTCACCGTTACGGTCACGGAAGTAGTTGAAGTCACACTCATAGTCCTGTCTCGTACAAGCACATTCACGAACAACCTCATATGGCTTATCAAGCTTCTCACCAATGTAACACTCTTTTCCTGGAATCTTTCTGTAGTACTGGGACACATGGCCAAACAAACAGTCGTCAGCTTGATGTGGATGCTTTGGAGTCCAGAGGTCGAAATCATCATCATCTGGGTTAGCGAGGTCCAAGTTACACTTTCTCTTAAAGAGTTGTGAAAAGTCAATTTGGTAAACAGTAGACTTGTCACCCAGATTGGATGGTAGTCTGGTGAAGAGAAGGAACTTTCTGGAATCATCAGATGGGACAGTCGAGATATCTTGAACCTTTACTTTGTGCTCAGTGAATTGGTAGTCGTTCCATGTAGCACCTTCGTCAAGAGAGTAAGCAAGTGTATTAGTTGAGTCCTCAGCATTAACGAGAACAATAATCGAACCCTGATCACCATACTCCCACTGGTACACCCCCTTTTTGATTTCTTTCCATGTATTACCACCATCTCTTGTCATGAAAGTGTTACCGTCCAAGTAGAGACCAAGTTTGTCACCAACGTTACCAACACCAATCATCATACCCACAGCAGAACCAGAGGAGAATGTGTCTCTGTAATCAGCTCTCTCGGTGTAACCGTGCAAATGCAAGGAACAGTCGTTGATAGACTTACCAGAACAATCGTACTTTTTTCCATTTGAGTCAACAGATGGAGGTTGCATGAAGTCCCAGTCAGCACCATCGTTATGTGTGATCTTGGTCTTCAATTGTTTTTTGGCACCACGCTTAGCTTCAATTGGGTTTGCAACCGTGTTGATCACAGCAACACCTTCCAAATTCTCCAATTGTTCGAAATCAACGTAACCATACACGTCTCTGTTAACGTATTCATTGGACATGACATAAGAGGTACCGTTAGAATTGGACTTTAATAAGTGACCATACTCGGTACCGGAACGTTGGTTTGTTGTAACATGAAGGAAGATAGCCTGAGACATGGCTGACAAGACAGTGTACGCCTGTTGCTTGTCAACACGGATATTTGCTGGGAACAATGCGTCAGTCCAGTCTCTACCATTCACAGACACATGTGCCTTCAAAGAGCCATCGGCCTCGGCAGTTGCAGCAACCAAGTAATCATCTTCCTGAACAAATCCTATAACATCCTTCAATGGAGTATTTGATGTTTGGAAGAAATCCGTGGAGACGAGCATTTCAGCAGAGTGAGTGGTGTGCTCGTTATCCTCTCTGACACAGATGATGAGATTCTCATCAGTTGGCTCAAGCAAATGACCAATAAATTGACATGTGTTCACCTGTTCTTTCATCTTTTTGAATCTCTTACCGTAAGACAAGGTATAGTAGGTCACAGTTCTGCAAGTTCCTGTCAGAGAATCAGAGTCACAACCTTGCTGACCAATATAGATAAACCAGTTAGAATGCTTAGGGTGGAATTGCAAAGGAGTAACACCTGGAATGTAGTTTGCTGGAGTTCTGAAGAACTTCCAGTTATCAGCACGGTCGGTGGAGTAGATGATCTTGTGGTTTACAGAAAGCAAGTAGACGTGATCCGTGTTGTGTGGATTGACAAATATGTCAAGAATCTCCTCACCTGGTGCAATTTCTTCCCAAGAAGAACCTTGATCATGAGTAACATAAGCGACATTGTGTTCAGTGACGAGGACAATGGTTTCATCTCTGAGGTTAGAACCGGGAACACGTTCCAAATAAACGTATTTTCTAATCTTACCAGAGAAAGCAAACGAGGATGTCTTGACACGCCCATCATTGACACCTTCGTTAGACTTTTGCTTATCACCTTCACTCTCACCTGGATTGGTATCCGGCTCAGTTTCATCTGGTCTATCATCCTCATCGTAATCAATAGTCTTGTGTCCTCCTGATCCCGACTCTTCTTGATAGTTTGGACAAACCTTTTGATTAGTTCTAGACAAGTCGATACCCGTGGATGTGGAACAGACAGATCCTGGTCTCTTAGAATAAGCAGCAAAAGGTGTGTAGTACTGAGCATTATTGATACACTGCGCATCCTTTGCACTTTGGTCATTGGCAGCATTGGTTGCAGGGATACAGTTACCATTGGAGTCTCTCTTGAAGTTAACTGCACAGACGAAATCACTCTGTGTACAAGGACAAGCATCTTCCACTGCAACTGGTTCCTTGAAGTTGTTTGCAACTTTACAGTTAGCGTTACGGACTCTTCTCTTGAACTTCTGTTGATGCCCAAGGATACACATTGGCTCGTTGGAGTTGAGCGACTTAACGTACCAGTCCTCGAAATCACCATCTTCACACTTTCTGCTGTAAAGATCACTGAAGTCTAAAGAGTAGGTGTTGTATTGACCATTGACAGAGCCAACAAGCAAGAATTTGGAGGTTGTAGAATCTGGAGTTGTAGTCAAAGTCTTAGCCTTGACTGTAGCACCGAGACCAACCTGTTGCCAAGTTTGACCCATGTTGGACGAGTACTTGATGACATTGGTGTCAGACCCGTCTTCAACAGCTACAATAATAGAACCTTGATCACCGAATTCGAACAAATGAGCTCCAACCAACGTTCTTGACCATGATTTACCAGCATCCAAGGAGATGAAAGTATCACCTTCTTCGTATGATTTCAACGAATCTCCAGTGTTACCAACACCGAGCAAGATTCCTGGGGCTGGGGATGAGAAGTATTTACCAGGTGCGTTTGGATCAACTGAGGCTCTATGGACAAGAGAGTGGAGATGAAGATCACAGGAGCCAACACAGTTACCATCTGTGACTTGCATGTTTGACCAAGAAACACCTTGATCAAAGGAGATTTTGGACTTCACCACTGGGTTTGAGTTATTGTTGATGACGTCTTTACCGTTGGATACGGTGTTGGCTAAGACAATACCGTCGATGGACTCAACAAGTTCGTAATCGACAACACCTTGGGCGTCTCTATGGGTGAATTCCAGAGATTGGACAAAGTAGGAGCCGTTGAGTCCAGAGGAGAAGAATAGCTGGCCAACCTTATCAGTGTTTGCATATTTCACGTCGACAAAGATCGAATACTGGGTGCCTTCAACCACTGAGAAGGTTCCAGACAGTGGAGTCCCCGCTGGGAACTCCACTCTTTGCCAATTGCTTCCATCGTATGAGACATACACATATGTTGATTCAGAATCGCTGAGATGGGCTCCCAGTGCGACGAGAGAATGAGAGCCTGCACCGAGTTTGGACACATCGGTGATCATCCCACCTTGATAAGTGAGGTACTGTTTAGAAGCAAACCAGTCATCAGATTTCGCTAGAACGTTCGTAACAGAAGCACCTTCCCCTGGTATGATACATGTCACTGTGTTTGTATCCTTGGCCTCTGTGAATGGCGTGGCATCTGAAAAGATACATGAATAAGCAGTGGTCATAATTCTCATCTCATCAAAGTTATCTCTGGTGTAGTAGTATTGTCTTTGACAAATCTCAGAACCAGAGGCACAAGCGCCGGCAAAGAGCGCATAATCACTCCGTTTACCATGGAAAATGATTGGAGAGTGTTTGGAGCCCAACGACTCAACAGAGTCGGTGGCTGGCTTATGAGGAGTCGTGAACTTCTTCCATGTGACACCTTGGGACACAGTCTTGAAATGTGTTGTATCATCTGAGATCGCATAGGCGAAGCCATGCTTATATGGGTGCTCGATGAGGTACTTGATCTTCACACCTTCGAAGTCAACCTTCGAGAACTTTGCTCCGCCATCCTTGGACAGGTAGACATCACCGGCAGACTGGTCCAGGTACAAGACGTTCTAAGGACAAATGTTAGTAAACACAGGAGTAAACACAGGGTAAACACACACAGCGGTAAACACATCACACACGGCGCCCATGTGTGACGTGGCGAACGAGAAACATACATCCGTATCCTCAAAGTAGACGAGCTCTGGGGCACCGCTGAACTGGGTGGAGCTGATCTTTGGCTCAAAGATGGCGTTGACGCAGTGCAGCAGGAGTACTAATAGCGATATAGAGCACAGCTGCATTTTTCAGATATAATTGGAGACCTGTTGCTTTTCTCACCAGAATTCAGGAACTGTGTACTGCTGACGATATATAACACGGGATACTCCTTCTTGCTCTTCACTGTATACTCCCTGGAAAGATGATAGAGGGATTAGAAGGAAAGAGGGTGAAAAATTGTTCCAAGATGACGATGGAAAAACTGTGCAAGAGAGAAGAGACGTCCCCCAAACTTTCCCGAAACAGCTGGCCTAGTATCCTCCAGCTGGGAATAATTCACTGGGAATATGTGTCAACGGTGAAGACCACTGGACGCTGGTGGACAGCACACCCGAAAAGTCCGTCTAGCACGAGGACAATCGATGCTGTGGTGTGCTGGACAGAGGCCTCAGCAGCGTGACTTAATCCTCCAGAGAAGGTCCCTGCAGAATTTTATCGGGGGTAACACCTGGATTGGGGTGTACAGGAGGTCGGTGATAGTGGAGATGCCGGGGCTGTGGTGGGTGCGTGGTGTTAACACCTGGTCCGGTATGCTGTTGTTGTGGTGGTTACAGTGGTGGTTACAGTGGTGGTGTTCCACTCGTGTGAGTAGACGGTACATCGTGTGTTCCGGTGGGGTCTATCTGTGTGCTGTCAGCGAAGGGTGCACTAGGTGAAATGTTACTGGAGAGGGTGTAGTATTGTGAGTGCGTGGCTAGCACTGCTTCTTACGTATGCGATGCCGGGCTACGCTGCTACCTGCTGTTGGGACCTCTGTCCTTGAGATCTGTGCCGTCTGATTACTTATTGCTTGTATAGTGGAGTCTTTCACTTCCGGTGCTGGTCTCGTCTCTGTGCCTGTGCTCTCTGCGCTCACCATGGCTATGCCTTTCGCCTCTGCGCTCACCATGGCTATGTCTTTCGCCTCTGCGGTCATCATGTCTATGTCTCTCACCTCTGTGTCTCTCACCTCTGTGTCTCTCACCTCTGTGTCTCTCCTCTCTGCGCTCACCATCTCTGCGCTCACCATCTCTGGACCTATGCTCCCTACTGCGTGATCCATCCCTACGCTCTTTCAGCAGCCTCAGTCTCAGAGCCTGTTGTTGTCGTATCTTAACCATGGGGTCATCTCTGCTCATACTCAGTTCCTGTTGCTGAGACGGAATCGACGCTCCATGGTCTTGTAACTTATCAAACCCTTGTTTAAACTCTTTGACCTTGGCATTCACAATCAATTGATCGATCCTTTTCTTGCCCAATAGGTACTCGTCATCGCCATCACCACCGTCGGCTGCGCCCCCGCTGCCAACCTTAGACGTGTCGTACATCCATTCAACCCTGTCTTGAACCTTCTTGCCACCGTTGGCATGTTGTAACCCCCGAAGCTCAGCAAGCTCCCTCTGTTTACTAATCTCCTCTTGCCTCTCTTGAATCTTCTTACGCTCAGAAAGGGCCTCCTGCTCAGCTTCCCATACTTTCTTCTGGTTCTTCAACAAACCAGGATGCCACGACTTCTTGAGATTGAGATTACCAGGCGCCATCGTACTGTATCCACTTGTCAACGCTCTTACTCCGTTTCCTTGTTGAAAGAAGCTCTAAGCTTGCTCATCGGCTCCATTTGTGCCATCGGAATAAAATTAGCATCACATCCAAACACCAACAGACCATCTCGCAATCGCCTCGTGATAAGATGATCAACTTCTATGGGAAGATGATTTGACGGGCTCTACAGCAACAGAAATAGCAAAGTATACGACTGTATTGACATTATATAGATACAGACAGGTATAGTCGACATCTAAGCTGAAAAAAAAATAAACAAAAAAAAAAGAAAAACACAGTGATAAGAAGAAAAGGCCAGGGAAGGGTTGAACATACAGTACAATTCCTGAAGTACCCGGGAGTCTATTGATACACTTGCAAAGCTTATATCTATCAAACCGATGGGCACTACACCACGTAGCACAAGAGCCGATTCCACTCCCTGAACAGATATCCACCAGGGTCAGTTTAGAAACCGTGGATCTTGATGTTCTTCTTTGGAAGTGCCAACTGGGTTGTCAAGAACTCCATAACTTTGACTCTTTGATCTCCTTGCAATTGGATAACCTCACCAAGCTCATCGTCCTTGACAATGTTACCGTTACAGGCAAAGTCCTTCTTCAAAACCTTCAAGATTCTCTTCAAATCGTACTCATCTGGAACACCTTGGACTGTAGTTAACGTCTTACGACCGTTTCTCTGCTGAATACGGATGTGGATGTAGTTAGTTGGTTGAGTGTCGTCGTCACCAGTGTCGGCGAAAGGATCGAATGTGTTCAAGTTCTGAAGACTCATATAAATGTGACCGAGTTTGCACTGAAGAACTAATACTAGAACAACTAAACAAATACGTTGAAGTGTCTTCTAGGACAAGGGGAGCGGGAAGGAAGAGAGAACGAGAGAGAGAATTTTGCAGTCGAAGATGAGCCCAAGGAAAAAAAACAACAAACAAACACAGCACAAAGCAAACATCCGTACACCGGATGGTGCTTGTGGCAGGGTAATGGCATAAACTACGAAAGCGTTCTGAAACGAGGAAACTACCATATTTGGATATTTAATTTGGGTTTTCTCCCCTGCGCCGCCTACGATCGGTACACGGATTTTTGTCTCGAACCCCTCGGGAGAAACGATATTTCACTCAGATTTGTAGATTTAAAGGACAGGAGCGCTCAACATCGCTATTTTACACACAATTGACACGAACAAAAGAGCCTGATTCCCTTTGGCGTGTGCTAACAGTGAGTGCCCTTTAGCTGCTGTTTGATTGCCACACAATTGAATCATACCATGTGGCTTGAAGGGGCGCCCCTGGTGTTGATCACTCCGCTTAGTCCTCCGTTATATCCCCTTTAAAATTTCCCCCTTGGGAGTTATATGGTGATTCAATTGTGTACGATTTGGCAACAGGGGGAACGTACTAACAATAGAGAAGAGATGTCTAAAGTCATTTCTGATTCAGAGCTGGCAACGAGTGTTAAGAAGGCGACTTCTGTCGACGAGACTGCTCCGAAGAGAAAGCACGTCAGATGCTGTATCGTCTACACATGGGACCACAAGTCTGCGCGTGCGTTCTTCAACCAGCTGAAGTCTTTACCAATCCAAGGCGATGAGGTCCAGTTGTTCAAGGCCTTGATCACTTTACACAAGGTGCTGCAAGAAGGCCATCAATCGGCTTTGAAGGAGGCGATTAAAAACATGGACTGGATCGATAGTTTGGGTAGATCTGTCCACGGTGATGGATTCAAAGGGTATGGCCGATTGATCAAGGAGTACGTCATTTATCTCTTGAAGAAGTTGTCCTTCCACAGAAACCACAGGGGTTTCAACGGAACTTTTGAGTACGAAGAGTACGTCTCTCTAGTCACCGTGGAGAATCCAGATGAAGGCTATGAAGCAATCTTGGATTTGATGGCTTTACAGGATTCTTTGGACGATTTCCAAAGAATGATCTTTTCAAGCATCTCCCACGATAGAAAGTCTGAATGTAAGATCTCTGCTCTGGTTCCATTGGTTGCGGAGTCTTACGGTATCTACAAGTTTATCACTTCTATGCTGAGAGCGATTTATCGCTCAACAGGGTCGGACGATGCCCTCGAACCTCTAAGACAACGCTATGACTCACAACACTCAAGATTGTTTGAGTTCTACGCTGATTGTTCCTCTATCCGTTACTTGACATCTCTCATCACCATTCCAAGATTACCTGAAACACCACCAAATTTGTTCATCACTGATGACGATGATAACAGCAGCGTTGCAAGACCACAGTCTCGTCAAACTGTGGAAACGAATGAACCAACTCCGGAACCTTTATCTGCTCAGCCAACAATGGCACCGTTCCAACAGCCAATTGCAACACAACCAACAGGTGTTGACTTTTGGAATACTCAGCAAAACGTCTACGAAGCTGAACAGGCTCGTCTTGCAGAACAGTATCAGCAACAGGCTTTGGCTCAACAACAAGCTGCTGAACAGCAGAGAATGCTATTCGAAGAACAACAGAGACAACAAGCTGAACAACAGAGATTGGCTCAGGAGCAATTACTCAGAGAACAATTGCAAAATCAGGCACAAGGACGTGTTGCAGAGCTGGGACGTGATCTACTCACAATGAGACAACAGTATGAGAATGATCAATTGTTGTTGCAGCAATATGATCAAAGGGTTAAGGCATTGGAGCAGGAAATTGCCACAACCACGGAATCTGCAACTCAGCAGATTGGTTCAAAGGATGAACTCATCAACAACTTACAAGAACAGCTAACACTGTGGAAGAATAAGTACGATTCTCTGGCTAAATTGTACTCGCAATTGAGACAAGAACATTTGACGTTGTTGAACAAGTTTAAGAAACTTCAACAGAAGGCTGCTTCTGCACAGGAAGCTATAGAACGCCGTGAGAAGCTAGAAAAGGATCTAAAGTCAAAAAATGTTGAACTCGCCGGTCTTATTAGAGAACGTGATAGAGCTAGATTGGATTTGGAGAAATTCAAAGGTGGTAAAGACAACGAAGTTGATCAGTTGGAATTGAAAGTTAGAGACTTAACTCTGAAATTAGACGACGCTGAGAGATCCCAGTCTTCAAACTTGTCATCTATCTTTGCTCAACACAAGAAGGAAATTGATGAACTTCAAAGCAAGTTAGAGCAACAATCTCGTTCGATCCATCCAGATCTGGAACAGAAACTCAAGGAAAAGGAGGAAGAGATTGAAATCATGCAACAGACAATGGATGATGCATTGGAAGAACTTGCTGCTGCTCAAAATTCTAATGATGCAGCGATTAATGAACAAATTGATGACGTTTTAATTGATCATCTGACCAAGTTGACATCCCTTGTGGATGCTATCTTGGCTTCTGGTATCAAGCGTATCCAAGATGCACTTTATGAATTGGATTCTCCAATGCAAACTGGTAATCAAAACTCATCACCAGAGTATCTTTTATCCGTCATCGAAAAGGGCTCATCTGCTGCGACAGATTTCTGTACTTCTTTCAACGATTTCATCGCCGATGGTCCAAATGGCGATCATTCTGAAATCATTAGATCGCTCAACGAGTTTACCAGTTCCATCAACGATATTTTGATGAACGTTAAAGGTATCGTAAGGCTGGCAAAGTCCGATGCACAGGCTGATAAATTGGTTGAAACTGGTAGAGCTACTGCAGAGGTTTCTGAAGATTTCCTGATCTCTTTACTATCGGACGTATTAGAAGGAACCGATGAGGAGAAGACAGATGTTGTGATTAATGGAAATGTCAAAGTCCAAGAGAAGTTACAAATCTTGACAGACTTAGCCGATGATTTGGCTCCAAGATCCACTTTAAAGCACGTTTCTGGTGACTTGGGAGAAGTGGTTGATTCTGAATTGAACAACGCAGCAAATGCAATTGCGTCAGCAGCCACTCAACTTAGTGGGTTGTTATCGCAGCCACAGGATGCTTCAGTCTCGAAGATTGATTTCGATATCAACAAGGCTATTCTTTCTGCAGCTGTTGCTGTTACCAATGCCATTTCTATCTTGATCAATGCAGCTATCGATACTCAGAATGAAATCGTCGCCCAGAACAAGGGCTCAGGAACAAGAGCTCAGTTTTACAAAAAGCACAATAGATGGACCGAAGGTCTTATTTCAGCTGCTAAAGCCGTTGCTGCTTCAACAAAGATTTTGATTGAGACTGCAGATGGTGTTTTGAAGGCTAAGAACTCACACGAAGAGTTAATCGTGGCATCCAACGAAGTTGCTGCAGCCACAGCACAACTAGTTGCTGCTTCAAGAGTGAAGGCTACATTCATGTCAAAGACTCAAGATAAGCTGGAAAATGCCTCGAAGACTGTGACTTCAGCTTGTAGAACCTTGGTTACCCAAGTTCAAGATATCTTGGATAAGAGAGCAAACGGAGGATCCGATGAAGTTGATTACTCTAAACTCACAAACCATGAGAATAAGACAATGGAAATGGAACAACAAGTTGAAATTCTAAAATTGGAAAATGCATTGAATGCTGCTAGAAAGAGATTGGGAGAGATTAGAAAGTATGGTTACAGAGAAGGTGATAGCGATGAAGAGTAGGATATACCGGCTGTATACGTGATTATCGTCTTACTGATTCGATATATCTTGAAATCACATGTTCAACATAAACATATAAGTTATGAATGTAGTGTTTATTTTGATATTCTTATCATGCACCCGTCATGTACTAGTTATATGAGTTATCTTTTAAGTTTGGATCAATATTCTCATCAGGGTCGGCTAAAAAAATACTGAAATCACTATCAGATTGCATCACATCAACAATCCTATTGAAAGGGGTATCAATAGGAATCTCATACTGGCCCGCAGTTAATACGGAGGTCAACACTGAATGTGTGGCCATACTGCGACTCCAGTCGTTTCTTTCACCAGTGAGACCATCTTTGACGATTAAAAACCAAGAAACAAATGAGAGGCATGGGTTAAGTTTTCTTTGAATATTATATTCAGCAGCATATCTGCTCCAGCTCTCGTTTAGCTCCTCATTTTCGGCCCAAACCTTTGAAAGCACTGTTGAGAGTTCTCTTTGCGAGTCGGGCGCAAAGATGTCTTGCGTATAAAACGCACGGAACGCCATGAATCCATTGATTGTTCTTTTTGCCAGACTTTCTCTGCCTGTGTCTTCTTTAGACTTTCCAACGGATGAGACCACTCCTGTTAATCTTTTAACCCTTTTTTTGGGTGGGTAATTCTTGGGAATAGTTTGAAGAGATCTTAAATGGTCGAGAAGTTCTTGCAGGTATAGTGGAATAATGGGAGGATCAGGTAGCTCACTAACTGAAAACGTGATAAATTGTGTTGTCTGCACTTGGGAACACGAGGTCTCATTTTGAGGGACAACGTTCTTACTATGGGTATTTTCAGTAACATACTTACTTTGTCTTATACAAGATCTTTTGGAAGCTCTAAACTTTGAGAAGCTTCCTATTTTGTCTTTGAAAATGCATTTTGAGTTCAGCTGAGATCTCTTCCCCATGATCAAAGTCTTTGAAAAGTGGTAAAACCTATTTGGTCCTTCTTCAAAAAATTGGTCAACAGAAACATAAGGTTAAATTAGTTTATATCAAACAGCCAACAGCTCTTTTATTAATATACCCCCCGGTAGAGTCCTAGCATGTATAAGTGTAGCCTCAAAAACTTTCGCTTGGAATATCAGTTAAGTTCCGAAAATTTCCAATCCTATTTTTGCTAACTAGGCAATCCAGGACAATTGATAGATTCATTTTATAGCGTACAGGCAGTATTAGTCATTATGTATGCGTAGGCAAAGGTAATATAACACCAGTAATTATACTGGCCTGAATCATGCTGTTCAACAATATAATCCATTGACTCAATTACACAGGGTGCGGATTGTTAAGTTATATGTGTTTTCCTGGTGCATGAAAATCAGCAAGCTCAATCTACAAAAATGTCGGTAAATTTGATAGTCATCACACAGAGGTTTGTGTATACCTTAACGTGATCTCCTAGACTAGTAAACTAGAGTCCTACGGAGACAGAGAAAAGAATGCTACATACAGTCGAAGAAATACACACAATAATTTTATGATTTGTCAAATTAAGGTCTGAAATTGATCAGAAATGGGAACATATAATCATAGTAATAGCTAGTCATCTCAGTTTTCTACCAGTTCATGAATTGACTCTTCTCTCTAGCCAGTGATCAGTGTAATAAAAGTGATATTCCATTGAAAAAGTAATACATAGAAATAGTGATCTTTCATGGTGATGACTCATCTAAGAGATCACATAACTCATTTGAGACAAGGCCGCCTCGTTCTTTTCGTCTATTTTCAACAAATGTTAGAAAAAAAAGATCAAACAGAAATAAGATCATTTGACTTACCTCTTATTAGAAAGCCTAATGAAAAGGGTCAGTATGAGAAGATGGATGATTGTGTTGTTGTGAGTATAATATCAAAAACATACCAGTTCTTGATTTGAATCTTCGAAAGACCTGTTTCGCCCATCAGGGACAATAACATGGAATCACTGAGATATGGTCGGTCACAGTTTTTGGAGTACCTATCAAGGGGTTAGTTATCAGTGGGGTTTGACTCAAGAAGGATAAACTTACCATTGCTCAAGCACTGCGACTTTGGATCTTTCAAGTCTTTTGCGTTTCCCGATGAACGAACCATTTTTGTTCATCATGTCCTGAGTAACAATTTTAAACAGCATGGAATCAGAATCAGAAGTAGAACTAAGATGTCTTAAAAATCTGTTAGTTTCATCATTCAAGAACTTTGCCTCCTTTACAAGAAGCAACAATTTTCTTGCTTGGGCATCTACGTCAATGAAGTAATCCCTGTGCTCCTCTAATAAATCAGTTTGCTGGGATTGAACATCAATAAGTCGCTAGAACGTCAGTATGCGAAGAGCACATAGTCAAAAAAACATACTCACCTCCATGATTATTGACAGCTCATCGTTGAGATCTTCAGAGTGGAAATCTGGTGTCGTGCGTAGAAGATCCAACATTTGATTAAGGGACAATTTGATTGATTCAATACTAAAGCGTAGTTAGCAAAGCTAAAACTTGTTCTCAATCCTTTTTCATTACCCTGGTATAAGGATTGATTAAAGAACAACTTACTCCTGTAAGAGCTGTTCAGGATCTCTTCTTTTTGATCCGTCAGAAAGCAATGAGGTGATTGAACACTTATCCTGAATCGAAGAGTTTTCCATAACTGTTCTGTTTAAAGACAAAGAGAGGTTATTGAGAAATGGCAACCTGTTTCCGTTTCGAAGTTTGGAGATTACATCTTAAGTTGTAACTTCTAAGTTATATGTTCAAGTTGCAGATATCGCGCTAATGTATTTTCGATTGGTGCGTGGCCCAACGAAACTTACAGAACTGTGGTTCTTTTGGAATTTTGAGAGATATGAAAGCTACGATTATTATTATATCATTCAAATTAATAATGAAGTCTTGAACTTATACCTGATCAATACTTTTATATTTACAGATATTGTACTTTGGTAAATTGTCAATCTGTATAATAAGAATAAATTGTAGAATGATGTGCAATATAAGACTTTAACAAGTTCCAAGTTGCAAGTAAACTTGCAGCTTGTATGGGTTTTACAGTAATTAATCATTTATACCGTTAAATCCTAACACCATATGCTGCTCAGCGTCAGAGGCTCAAGCATGAAGCTGTGTAATAAACGTTGATATGACTCCGTTAGACCATGTCTCTGACTCATGGCTCATGATTCACATACCATAGTTTACTTTCAATCTATTACTTTTTTTTTCTTTCTTCGTTACTAGATGTCTTCACCCCTTCGCTATATACGATACGATTTTTTTCGTATTTCCGGAAGTTAAATACAGAAATGTAGTTTTCTGTTAACAAAATCATATGGGTTTTACGTATTAACTACAGTTTTTAATTATCCGGCACACAACAAGAATTTACAATTCGACTGACCGATATCCAACAAGCCTGGATCTAAAAAAAGTCATATGATACAATATACATGGTACATCATGTACAATCACTTTTGTATTTGGTAATAAGATAAATCTATGCTCTTGAAAGTAATGCTTTCGTATAAGATTTGTTTTAACTGCGTCACAAGTCTTAAACAACTGGAAGTTCTACATAATTCATGAAACATATGAAACAAAGTTCTGACTGTAAACAGTGGATAGCATGTAAAAACGACATATCTCGAAACCGGTTTGTTGCTCATTTGGTGAAAGCCATTTATCACTGAAATGAACCTTTGACTGATAACGAAGAATAAAGCTCATGTATTGGCTTCCAGACGGATGAGGACATTTGATTCATAAGATATGCAGGAACATTATTTTTACCAGCTGAGTATAGAATGAAATGAAAGAGGTGAGATGAAAACGGAGAACTGCGTTGTTCTCAAATACATGACTTCAAGGTACTGATAGCTGCAGATATTATGGATCACATAATTACCAACTCAAAAGATGACACATCAAAAGATGACACATCAAAAAATGACATATCAAAAAGACAAACGAAACAAAACCATGCGATGAAAAGGCTTAAACCGTGTATTTAAAGGGGATGATATCCTGTTTCAGTTGCTGATTCACTTTTTATTGTGTCCATAAGACAGTCATAGTTGAAAAATAAGCTAACTAACCATACCTTTCACAAATGTCGAAGCAACGTATGCTTGCAAAGGTCGTCTTAAATGATGCCAAACACACAATAAGTGCACTCTCTCAGGTTAAAGTTACACCTCCTGTTTTCACTCGAGAGTATAATGATATGGGTAACGGTAGAAGCGAGATCATTAAATCCTTGATTGATGACTTGGTGAAGGATATCTCACGTGTTAGTATCGGCATCCAAGCTTTACAAGTTAATTTGAACTTGGATGTGTCTCCAATTCAATTTTCTACAAGACCTGTTAGGAAGAAAACATTGTACAATACTTGGTATAAAGATAATTTTTCGAACTGTAAAGAGGAGCACCCAGAATGGGACGCTACTAGAATCACGAAGAAGCTTGTTCGCGATTGGAGGGAGTTCTCCGATGACGACAAGGAAGCTTTGGAGATCGAGTATGGTTTCAAAAGTAAGACCGAATAGTTTCCTTCTATCTGGTTGATTGATTTGATCTTTTTATTCTGGATTGATTTCACGTCTGTCCAATAGCCACTGTTTCGCTGGTGCATATCTACTGCCAATTCTGAGAATTGAATACTCAAAGAATAGTTCAGCTCATATTTGATTGTTGTTACTGGTACCATTGGGACCAAATAAATGTATACTTCACGGTCACGCACAAACGAGAAGGATTCTCGTATTTTGTATTGATGTTCAGGGTACATCCTGTCATCGTAATGTGTTGGTTATGTTAAGATTATAGATGTAACGCTATCGTTTTTAGTCAACATTCAGAATTTTTACGCTTCAACCCCCTTGGAACATTTTCAGAATCACTTAGATCTAAAGGTTCACTAGCGTCTGATTCCATCTCCTCCTCCAATCCGTCTCTTTGGGCCTCTGTATAGTACAGAACAGCACTTGGGAAGATATCATCTGCAAACAATCTTGCAAAATCGTCACCGTTGGGGAATTCCTTACCTGGTTTTCTCCCAGTCCAACGGAACCAACCAAAGAAGGATTTCATACCTGCTCTATAGTTCTTCTTCCCTAGTGTTGTCTTCTTATCAACAACTTTTGAAGGGTTAATTGAATCGTAAGACTTTGGCCAGATAATCTCAGTGTTCGTGGAAACAAGTCTTTCCGTCTCTTCGGGCATCTGACCATCTTCATCATCGCTAAGGCTACCTTTCTTTCTCTTCTGCTCTAGTATTTGCAACTCTTCAGGGTCAATCACCTCCTTCTGGAATCTCTTTGTAACTGTCTGGGCTGGGAAGTCGCCATCTTCACTCTGCTCAAATTCAAAAGTTATACTGAACGTTGTTGGATCAACTGATTCGTCAGTAGAGGTGGATGCATCCCAGGAAACATAGATGTCCTTGATCAATTCCAGGTATTTGAAGTCCTGTGCCCTAACGTAGTCGGCAAACTCTGGATGCTGTGAGAGCACAATGTGCCAGAACTTATCAATTGCCTTTGTATACTCCCGTCTCTTCTCGTAGATCTTGGACACTTTCTTGAGACGTGTGATCTCTATCGGTACACAGTTAGCTATGCGAATGCCCATGTTCTCATATAATTGTGTGAAACTTACCAATGGCTCGTTCAGTATCTTCGAGTTCTTGTTCAACCTCAGCAAGGCCACTGAGGGCCTTCTCCACAACCACACTGGCCTCGTGTTAGTACAATTGACTTCACATATCGCCGGCAGTGGACTCACGTATCCTCACTGTTCTCAGCCATTGCGTTGTCCGAGTTGGTGAGCTCTTTTGGTTATGTCTCATCGGTGCGTTCCCTCCGTATAAATTTTTCTTTCCATGCTTGTTCGCAGGGAATTCGGCTACAGCGATGAGCTACATCAAGCAATGATGAGCTCTATACGACAGTTCATGGGATGATATTACCAATTAACAACGCAAATAATCTCTATGTATACAACTATCATGTCTTTCTCCCTCTTCTTGTCATCTGTGGCATCTTGAAAGGAACCTTGAGGGAAGCAATCTTGTACGAAGAGGCTGCAGCCTTAGGGATACCAAACGCTTCAGCTTCAGCGACAGTGGCATTTTTAACAACGGCACCTAGAGCCTTGAACAGCCCAACCAGCCTTGAAGGTTTGAGCGAGAGTTCTTGTGCCAATGGCGTAACTTCGATAAGGAATCCGTTGATGTGGAAGATGGTGGCCAAGAGATAACACAACAGCTTATCCTCGTGGTGTGGATCAATGGTGAAGCCTCTATCCTTGGAACGTCCGAATTGACCAGGTCTTGAGATCGCAAACTTCTCCAAGATCCCATCCATGAGCACCTCTGGTGGGTTGTTCAACTGTGATGAAAGAGCATTCTTGTTTGAAATACGTCTGTTCTGGTACACACCCATGAGTAGAGAAGCGTAGTAGATGAGCTGCAATTTTTGCATTTGTGATTCATCGCTGATGGTGGAGAGCTGTGCCTTGAGGAATGGTGATTCTTGATATGGTAAGAGTTCCAATCTCTCTTTGAGTTCCTTCTCCTTGAGTATAGGACCCGCACGGATGAATTGTAACTCTCTCTTGGTGATGATATTCTCCACCGGGTAGATATCCTCCACAGATCTTGCGTCGACATTAGCAAGTGGCGTTGGTCTATCGTCCAACACAGTTTGATCGAGCTCCTTTCTGGTTGGCAATGAGACGGTACTCGTCTTGACAGAGTCGATGATATCAGCTTGAGAATCTGCAAGCTTCTCCGCGTCAATACGGTTTCTCTCCAGGTCAGAGATGGCCTTCTTAGCCTTCTTGGTACCAAAAGCTTCACCAAGCGCGTTTCTTTGCACGTTGAAACGCACATTGTTCTGTCTAACCTTAGGCCCTCTGATGCTCTTATGCGCCTTTGAAGTGATAGTGCCCAGGAGAACAGGAGCCTTGTACAATTCAACAGACTTCTTCACAGGATCGTACACCGCGATGGCATATTCGCTGGAGTCGCTGGCATCGTTCGATGGCTCGCCATCGTATTCCAACCGCTCATTCTCACCGTGGAATATCACACCTTGGTTCTTCTTGTTCTTGTAGAGATCGAATTTGGCATCAGCAGGGACAGTAAACCCGTTGAAAAAGGTGCCCACAGCTAGCGATTGAGCATCGTTATACTCTGACACCTCGAGATCAACGTGCTCGTCTCTTTTTCTCTTCTCTTGTACCATTTTTAAAGGTATTCTACCACCCAAAACAGAAGTCATGTTCTTTTCTACGAAAAGCGGAAAGTTTTGAGCAGACAAATTTTTTTTACGCGATGAGGGTCGGAATTCACAGCCCGGAAAAAATCTGGCCTCGGAACTCACACTCATGGCCTTCTTCTCTTCAATGTTGATGATGGTGAGTATCTGGCTCGCTTTCCTCAGCGTGGAACCCGTTAGACGAGCTCGTAGTGATGGAGCACCTTACGAAGAAGTCGTACTATGAGCTGCTCGGCGTTGAGCCCAGTGCGACGCTGGCTGAGATCAAAAAGGCGTATAAAGAGAGACTGCTTAATAGCCATCCGGACAAGACCCAAAGGACGACCAGAGATAACATCGTTGTGGAGCTGAAGACGGCGTATAGCGTGCTGTGCAATGACGAAGCCAGGCGAGAGTACGACGACGAGGTACAGCGGAGGTTCCAGAAAAGTGGTCTTATAAGCTCTGGCGAAGGGCTTGATGTTGTCACCTTGGACGATTTTGTATGCGATGTTGAGGCCGAGGGTGAGGACTCGATAGCAACGTTCAGGAAGGACTGTCCCAGATGTACTGCTCAGGACGGGTTTGTGCTGACTGACAATGACCTTGAAGACAATGGCACGCCCGATGGGATGGGTGGATACGAGATCATCCTCCAGTGTAGTGCATGTAGCCTATGGCTCAAAGTTCAATATTACGAAGACGAAGAGGAGGAATAACACGTTTAATAGACAGTGATCGTTAGAAATGAGGCCCAGGTGTGTCCAGATACTATGTACAATGCTTTATAGACCGACTCTATGCTTCTATTAGGTGGATGCCCTCACGTGTTCTTCAGCAAGAACAGCGCTGAGGGCCTCAGCCATGACCGGGAAGTCCGTCATCAGAGAGATGTGACCCAGTGGAGACGCCAGCTTAGCAACGACGGGGAAATCACGACGCTCTGGCATGAGCCATTTATGGTGGACAACACCATCACCTGGTCCGTAGTAGAAATCGTCGTAGTCTCCTTCGACGATTCCCTGTGGACCATCCACACGACACCCTCTCACTGTTGGAACCTCATTACCGTAAACTATAGCCAAAGGTGGATAATTCTTTGTCTCATCGTAAGCCAGTTCGTCCAAGAACTTCCTTGTGCGCTTCAAAGTTCTCTTGAGATAATCAAATGAGTCTTCAAATGACGTTTGATACGTCTCAGGCTCTGACCTCGACAGAGAAAGAGATCTCTTCATCTCACTGATCTCAAATATTGGAGACATTGGCGTCCTTGGACGCACGTTTTGATCATCCTTCGTGGCCTTTGTCTCTTCTTCCTTCTTACGGTCTCTGCCAACGAGAGGCGAGAGGTTATAATCAACCCATGACTGCGGATCAAAGTAGTCCAAATTGTAATGCTTGTGGGTCTTGCGATCGACGAAACAACGTCCATCTTGTGGGAGGAATACAAAACTTGATCTCATAAAGAAGTTGGCCTCAGCAGTAAGGATCTTTGAGCTGAACAAAACGCTATCACCAAACCGTATTGGGCCCAGGATATTTGGACACATTGCAGGAACACCAACGTAGATCAAACCTCTGAACAATGATGGATCTTTTTGCATTGCATGGTGAGCTATGAGACCACCCATTGAATGTGCAATGACTATAGCACCTTTCCTCTTGCCGTCACTCCCAGGTTTATTACAATCCAACCCCTTTAAGAATTCATACAGCTGCTCAGAGCTTATATCAGAGGATAGTCTCCAATCATAGCCAAAGGTATGAACCTTGGTTTTACCATTGGTCAGTTTGGCCTTCAGCTTCCTTGAGATGTCCACTGGACCAACATGTGTCATCATATCATCCGAGTAGATCTCCTCCTGAGCCTTAGCCTCATCCTCGTCAGTTGGTCCAATCAACAAGTTTATCTTTCTAATGTTGAAACCAGCACGCAAGGGAATCCACACCCTCTTGTTGGTCTTTCTATCCCGAAGAATGCTTCCTCTGTAGCCACCAAGAATCACAACTTCGCCTTCGATATCGTCCCAAACGGACGATTCGAGCCTCTTCTTCTCTTCCCTTGGCAATGATAAGTTAACAGATGGTGTCAACGCCCTCTTCATGGCTCTAAACCTGGAGCTGTCGATTCCATGGCTGTTCTTGTACAGATACGCCTCCTCCTCAGTGGAGACAGAGATCTGTCTCTTCAGCTTGTTTTTGATCTCCTCTCTCGTCAGCATCGCATCCAGCGGGTAGTCGTCAGCATCGTTATTCCCAATTATGGGCAGCGAGCCCTTGAGGTGCTTTATCGAGGGCAGATGCGACAGCGGGTTTCCTCCAAACGGCAGGCTGAAGTTGAACACCTTGTGCTCGTTCTTAAACGACTTGTTATCCAAGTCCTCGGTGGTGATCTCCTGTCCAGTGTGATTGATCTCGTACTGCTCATCATCCGACGCTGACTGCTCGTCATCACGCTCTTCAAGAGCCACTGCGGAGCCACCAATAATCGACGACGCGGTCTTCAGGCTCACACTGCTCTCCTGGTCGTCGTCAGCGTCGGGGACGAACTTCTGTTCGCTCCCCATGGAGAGCTGATCGAAGTTCTCCGACAGATCATCGCTGCCGTCCATGACGGCCTTCATATCTTCCAGCCTGTGGCTTCTGGTGACACCCATTTCACGCGTATTCGAGCACTGGCAACACTGGCAACAGGCAATAGGCAACAGGCAACAGGTAACACTGGCAACAGCCTCAACACGACGGAGCTATCACCAAACAACCGTGGCAAACCTGGTCCACGTCCCATTGCGGAAGAGAAGGTGATGGCCTCTGCGCCTGTGCGAGCGGTTGCGGATCTGCTGCAACGTCCCCGGGCCAAAACGCCCGCCCGCACCCGCACCCGCGATCCGAGGAAGTGGTGTCCGGGTGTTTTGCATGTGCTTCCCGGGCAGGGCAGGAGCGCGCCTTTGGTACAACGGCAGTTAGTGCGATGAGCACAAGGGCGTTCTTCACAGCGTGGTGGGCCACATTGGCTATGGCGGAAGCTCTGTTCTGTGGTGTTGATGTTGGCTCCAGCTCTGTCCGTGTGCAGTTGATTGACTCTGTGGGGAGGAGCCTCTACTCGACGAGCTGTGCCGTTGCGTACCGCGTGTGTGCTTCAGACCCGCGGTTTGTTACGCAGAGCTCTGAAGAGGTTTGGAAGGGCGTGATGCGATGCCTTGACGGCGCCAACATTGTTGATTCGGAAGCGAGTGTGTCGATATGTGTTAGTGCGACGTGCTCGCTGGTTGTGAAGGAGCGTGTGGGTGGGGAGTTGAGGCCGTACTCGTGTGCGAAGGACTCAGCTGACCCGGACCAGGACGTGGTGTTCTGGATGGACACAAGGTCTGAGGCAGAAACGATGGAGATGAACGAGACTCTGAGAGATGATGGCTGTTTGAAGTATCTTGGTGGTGCATTTGCCCAGGAAATGGCGTTGACCAAGGCCAAGTACGTGGTTGACCATATTGCTAAGGATAGACTGGACAGCGTCGTCTTCTTTGATCTACACGATTACCTATCGCTAAAGATCTCTGAGCTGTTCCACTGTGAACCACTGGTGATGGTCCCGGACTGTTCACATGGGACGACACCAAGCGTTGGCCTGGATGGCGAACTGAAGGGCTGGTCCTCTGAGCTTCTGAAGTCCATAGGACTGGGGTGTCTTGCTAGGGATAACTTCAGTCAGATAGGTAAAGTGTTCAAAGTAGACCAGACTTTGGATTATGACTATATCCCCACAGCTGGCACACCAATTGCAAGGAGTTCGACAAAGACCGTGGTGCAAGGCGTGATTGATTCTTATGGAAGCTGGATTGGCTCATGCTGTGGTAATATGAAGAATACATTGACGCTAGTTGCTGGTACATCGACCTGTTTTATGATTTCTCACTCAATGAAGGCCCCTACAGATGGAATATGGGGACCTTTCAGCGTGGTCTTGAAATCGTTATCGGTGTCAACAAGTGGCTTCCCAACCACGGGCAAGCTGATAGAGCATCTCTTTGAAACGCATCCTGCTTATGATGAATTGAAAAAACTGGGCAATCCATTTGACACGTTGGAATCGTTGATATCTACAGAAGAAGACAGGACAGGACAGAGTATTCATTACTCGGCGAAGAATATGTTCCTGTACGGTGAGCTGTCGGGAAACAGAACACCATATGGTGATGCTGCAATGAGAGGTGTGTTCTTTGGCGAATCAACAGACGTGTCTCTCAGAGACATGATGCTCAAATACGTTTGTATACTGGAGTTTCTTGCATTCCAAGTTAAACAGCTCTTAAGTATTACTGGGGAATTTGAGATATCGAGAATCTTGATCTGCGGGAGTCAAGCCAAGAATAAGAGACTTATAGAGCTGCTTGCATTCATAACAGGTCTTCCAATCGACGTTAATGATTCGATTGATCCACATCTATCAGGAACAAGAGGTGCTGCTTACTTGGCCTATTCAGGTGCGAGTGGACTAGATCTCTTAGAGGTGATTAGACGGTTATCTCCTGATGAAGCGAAAAGGTATACAAGTAACACAGCAGACATCAGGCTACGTTCATTACTTGATACAAAGTATGAGATAACTATGGATATAGCAAAACAGCAGATAAGATATAGACAGATGGTTCAATTGGCATGTGCTTCAAACTGAAACTTTGCTAATGTCCACTAGTTCAATACGAGAATTTTGACTTTCGTCTCTTTTCAACTGGAAGAAATGATCGGCATATTTCCCAGCACCCATACTATGGAGAAACTTTTCATCGTGTGTAATGACAATCAATTGGAAGTTCTTCTGGCTTCTTCTCATCTCGATGATACGTCCGAGGGAGTGGGCAAGTGACTCTATATTATCAGAATCCAAATTGGTGGTAGGTTCATCAAGTGCAATGACACCACAGTTTGTTCCAAAGCATTCACTTAAAGCCAGTCTGATTATAATGCATGCTAAAACCTTCTGCCCTGCTGAACAGCGCCCTCTCATATCAAGTTCTGCGTCCTGTTTATACATCACAACACGGTAATTGTAGGATCTGTTAGCTTTACCCGTACTAGGATCACTTTTGATCTTAATGGTGTCCACATCGGTTCCACTATAGGTGGACTTCCAGAGTTCATCAATGATTCTATTAATTTCTTTCATCTTCAAAGAATGGAAACTCATTATAGCACTATCCAGTGCCTTAGCATAAGTATCTAGATCAGCAGAGACAACCGTTCTTGTTTGAAGTTTAGTCCACTCTTGCCTGTAATTCTTTTCAACATCCTTGAATTCGGTATTCAATTCACGCTGTAACTGTTCAATCTGATCATTGATTTGTCTGATTTCACCCTTCTTACCAGCCAGCTCCGCCGTTAAATCTGTATACCTCTGTCTCAGCTTATTGGAACGTTGCTGATACTTCTCCCTTTCTGCTTCAGCATTTTGGAGTTCGAGTTCCCTTATCTCACCAGAGATATCAACCAACTTCTCCTCAAGCTGACGAATCTCGAGGTTCTCGCGGAGATTTCTTTCTTCGCTATTTGTATCGGCAAGTCTCAGCTCTTCGTTACTAATCAGCTGGGTCAAGTTACCCAATTGTAACTCTTTGTCAGCGATGTTGGTCTCAACCTCCCTCACAGACTCACGAATAGCCTCCAATTCCACTTGAACGTGATTGATATATTCATATGCACTCTTATTGAGATGCTCCAGCTTGTTGTAGTACCCTAGTGATTTTTCATATTCAAGATTCAACTCATTGATAACCTCTCTGTGTTTGGAACGAAGAGAATCAAGTTCATCTTGTACGATGGAAGCTTCTTCTTTTAGTTGAATCAATAGGTTATCAGATTTCACAATTGATTGGGAGAGATAGTCCATCTTCTTCTCGAGGTCTTGAACAGATCTAACTAGATTTTTTCTTTCAACAAGGGATCTTTCAAGATTGCTGATGACTAGTCTTTTATCCTTGATGGTTCCTTCTAAAACTGAAAACTCCCTTTGCTTACTTTCCTTTTCTTCTTGCATGAAGGCGACTTCTCTTCTAAGCGATCTGATTTTTGAGGTGAGTTCATGGTGTGACTTTTGTAGGTCATCTAAGCTTTGGAGTGGAGTACCATAGTTCCCAAGTGCTTTTACTTTCATATCAAGCTCTTGTTCTGCAGTCTCAATGTCACTTTTCAACCTGGTGATCTCGTTCACTGGGTTTCTCAACGCTTCCATGCTTGAAATACTAGCTCCAAGTTGATCAGTGGTGATCTTTTGCTGATTATACGAGTCTTCAAGATGATGTAATTTCTCATTTGCGCTATCAAGCTGAGCCTTTATCTCAGCCAAGGATTTCTTGCCTGTATTTATCTTCTCGACATCCGTTGCAACACTTCTGACGGCTTCCAAGTACTGCTTTGCATCCTCGAATTGTTCTCTCAGCTTTGCTTCAAATTCATCACGGGTTTTACGTTTCAGATCCTCTATGAATTCACCAAGAAGACTATTGTCCTTGAACTTTCTCGAGCAGAGATAACAACAGCTTGAGCTTTCCGCAACTTCAAGGGCTTTTTTGTTGAATTCCAAAGTTGTTGTTCCCATTTTCAGATTCTCCAGTGTCAGTTTATAGTCAGCTTCCGCATTCATCACTACTTCATCATATTTGGCGACAGCTTCACCATCATCAAGTTCTGCTTTGAAATGTGCTTCAGAGGAGGCAATCAGCCCTTCGATATCATTCAGACTATCATTTTTGTATTTTATCATGTTCTTCAAGTTGTGAACTTCTTCATGAAGTGCTTTCAAATTTCGATCTTCTTCAATATGAGACATTTTCAACTTTTGCATCTTCCGGTTGAACGACTCTTGTGGTGATGAAATGTCAATATTATGAGCAGCGAAGGGCTCTTTATTTGCATCAAGAAGCTTCTCAAGGGCCTTTTGTTTGAACTTGAGACCATCCGTTATTATAGAGATTTTTGCATGTGAATCAGATTGTTTATGTGCATTGGATATATTACGAGATATCTCTTCAATGTCTGCCTCCATGGTGTTGATTTCTTGATTCTTCAATTTGATGTTTTGGACGGCCTTTTCTAGATACTTATTGTCCGTGAAAGTCTTCAATTTCACAATGAGATCTTCTAAAGAAGACTTTTCATATTCTAAGTCACCCTCATTGGAGTTAAGTTCATTGATCGTGGATTGTATTGACTTTATCTCCATCTGTAAGTTGTTACGATCCGTGACAGAGTATTGTTTATGCTCAGCTTCTTTGACCTGTGAACCTTTGATCTTTGCCAAGCGTGATTCAACAACAGCTAACTCATCAGATGAGGTCTTTTCATATTCTTCAAGAGCCTTCTTCTTCTCCTCAAGAGAAAGTTGTAACGTACGCTGCCACTCTGCGAATCTTGATTCTGAGAGCTCCTCGGCTTGTGGGCCAAAGATTTCTGACACGAGTCCCCTACGCAGATCCATATCTTCTTTCAATTTGGTTTCTTTGGCCCTGAGCTCACCTTCACTTCCAATGAAGCTGTTTTGTTGTTGTCTGAGCACAGTCAACTCCTTTTGAATCGACTTACTTTGGTGTTTATGCACATCCAACTCTTTCGATGACTTATCCAGCATCCTCTGGAAGTTTGCCAGCTTATATTTGATATCATCATTCGAGTCTGGAAGAAGTTCGCATGACCCATGGAGACGTTCTAATTGTGCTTCTATAGAACGTTGATCATGTCGCAAGCTGTCCAGCTTCGAAATGGTTTCTTGAAACTCCTGATTGGACTTGAATAGCACATCAGATTCTCGTTGGACCTCTGCTATATCAGATTCCAGCTTTGAGGTTTCGTTCTCATAGATATCAACAGTGGATTTCTTCTTTTCCAAACGAGATACTGTTCTGTCTGCTCTTTCCTTATCCTGTTTCAAGTGCTTAACAGATTGATCGAGCAACTTGATATCAACAATCATATCTTTCTTTATACTCTTCAAATTGTCAAGTGCTTTGGTGAACTTGAGTGCCTCAAATATCTCATCAAACTTCTTCTTTAAGTTAGCTGGCTCTGACAAGGGCCATAGACTGTCCTCTTGGTGACAGAAAATGACATAGTCAAGAATTGGACGTGGTGTTCCCAGATTCGCTGGAACCAGAGCTTCCAGCTCAGCACACTTGGTACTAATCGTGGTTCTCTCACCCCTGTTCAATTGTAAAAGTTGACCTTCCAACGATTTGAACGTAAGCCCTGTCTTTTTAGCAATCACCTGCATAGCTCTTGTACACACCATTGAGTTCCCCGAGACGCTTTGGAAGGCCAACTTCACCTCTGCTTTCACTTCCTTCTCACCATACATCCCAGGATCATGTACAAAGGCTCCACCTTTACTATTCGGAGGGAACGCACCTGTAGTGGCGTACCGCAAGCATTCGATGATGGTCTTCACGATGTGATCTGTTAGCATGAAACAAGCAACTTCCTATGTCAATAATACCCAGAAGAGACTCACTGTTTTACCTGTACCATTAGGACCGACGATCAGCGTCAATGGCTTACCAAACTCAATGACTTCAGACTCTCTGGAGTCAAACGATCTTACACCGCAGATCGAAAGCTAGTGTGCTATGTTAGACATGGTTGTATCAAGAGAATAGACAGCACCACATACTTTATAGATAGAAGACCTGGGATGCCAGTAGTTAGTATGGAGCTTCCAACGCTGGATCACCTCAACTTACATTGCTTCAACTGGTACATCAACCTGGAACCGCCTGTGTTGATGTTGGGCATCAAAGCAGTGAAGTTGTACTGCTAGGTTATACTGTGGTGTGCGGGTTAATAGGTGTGCGGATGATATTATGTCCGGGTGTCACATCCTCAGTGTGCGCAAACCACATTGACATGGCGGTATGCTGGAAAATTTATACCTCCGAGTCATACAAACTCGTGGTGTTTTTTTTCCAACTCTTCTACTAAACCTGCTGAAGCTGTATGTTGAAGCGCTTAGGCATAAGGACTATGACCACAGTGAATAAGAGTAAGGTTGTGCAGCCGAAGTGGCAGGTACCTGTGCAGAAGCAGGAGAAGCCAGTTCTCAAGCTTTATAACTCGTTGACGAGATCGAAGGAGGAGTTCGTGCCGTTGGACTCTGCTGAGGTGACGTGGTACTCTTGCGGACCGACTGTTTACGACTCGAGTCATATGGGCCATGCCCGTAACTACGTGTCAATTGACATCAACAGAAGAATCCTGCAGAAGTACTTTAGATACAACGTGAAGTTTGTGCAGAACGTTACTGATATTGACGATAAGATCATTATCAGAGCACGCCAGAATTACCTGTTTGAGGAGTTTGCAAAGGATTTGGCAGATGAGAAGACCGTTCCTGCTGGTGTCATCGACAAGGTTGAGCATGGATTCCAAAGCTTTGTTGAAAAGAACCTCCCGGAGGCCCCGGTGAATGCTGCAGAGTTCGACAAGTGGGCATCTGCTGTTAATGTGTCAGAAGAACAAGCAAAGAACCCCAAATTCCAAATGTACTATAACTCTGCTGTTTCCACTCGCTATGCGCTGGAAAACTCAAAGTCAATCACCAAGGAGGAATTCTTACAAGGTGTTAAGGATATCATTTCTCCAGTCCTGGACAAGGAGAAGGGCTCCACAGTGAATGACCCTGAAGTGTTCCGTGCTTTACCTTCCTACTGGGAGCGTAAGTTCAACGAGGACATGGCAGCACTGAACGTGCTACCACCAGATGTCGTGACTAGAGTCTCAGAGTACGTGCCAAACATCATCTCCTTTGTTGAGAAGATCATTTCAAACGGATACGCTTACGCTACTAACGATGGTTCTGTCTATTTCAACACTGTGGCATTTGATCAATCTGATAAGCATGACTACGCTAAATTACAACCATGGAACAAAGGTCAACTTGATCTGATTGCCGATGGCGAAGGTTCTCTAACGACCTCCGATGCTGGGAAAAGATCTCCAAACGATTTTGCCCTTTGGAAGGCATCGAAGCCAGGTGAGCCAGAATGGGATTCTCCTTGGGGAAAAGGCCGTCCAGGATGGCACATTGAATGTTCCGTGATGGCTAGTGATATCCTTGGCCCGCAGATTGATATTCACTCTGGTGGTATTGACTTGGCATTCCCTCATCACGATAACGAGCTGGCACAATCCGAAGCGTGCTTCGATAACCACCAATGGATCAACTACTTCTTACACACAGGTCATCTGCACATTGAAGGTCAAAAGATGTCCAAGAGTTTGAAGAATTTCATCACGATTCAAGAGGCTTTGGAAACGTACAGTGCCAGACAACTCAGACTGGCATTTGCATTTACGCAATGGAACAACCAATTGGACTTCAAGAAGAGTCTACTGCAAGAGGTGAAGGCATTTGAAAGCTCCTTGAGCAAGTTCTTCCAAAACGTTAGAGCATTCAACCACGAATACAACGATAGACTTGCTAAAGGAGACGTGATCTCAAAAGCTATCGGACCTTTAGAAAAACAACTTTTGCAAGATTTGAAAGATGCTAAAGCTAATGTGCACGCTGCATTCTGTGATAACTTGGCCACTCCACAGGCATTGAAACAATTGTCAGATTTGGTCAGTAAGACCAACGCTTACATCACCGCAGCCGACTCTGAATTGAGAATCGATCAAATTAACCAAGTCACCTTCTTTGTCAGTGACATCTTGGATATTCTGGGTCTTCCTGCTCGTCGTGATCAGCTTGGATGGGAAGATGCCTCCACCACAGAGTCCTCAGGCTCCACGGAGGACGTCTTGCTACCAGCTTATAAGCTATTGTCCAAATTCAGAGATACTGTCCGTGCTGCTGCGATTGCAAACAAGGAATCCCGTGACCTTCTTGCTGAATGTGACTCGCTACGTGAAGAGCTACTCCAAAGCGGTGTTTCTCTTGATGACCGTACCGACGGTAAATCAGCCCTCGTGAAGATCCTCACACCAGCGGAGAAGGAGGAGGCCATCAAGCTCCAGCAGGAGAAGAAGCAACGCGAGGAGGAGAAGAAGCAGAAGAAGCTACAGCAGCAGAAGCTCAAGGAAGAACAAGAGAAGCTGAAACTCGCAAAGGCTAAGATCCCACCTTCCGAGCTCTTCAAGACGGAGCAATTCTCCGAATGGGACGAAACCGGTATGCCGCTAAAGGACAAGGACGGGAACGAAGTGAGCAAGAGCATGAAGAAGAAACTCCAGAAGCAATACGACGCTCAGAAGAAGCTCCACGATGAGTATATAGCCTCCAATGCCTAATCCACACCATATCCGGCGCGGTTACCCGGCCTTCATTGCCATTCCCGTCGTAGTCGTAGCCACCTCCGCGAATATTTCCTATTCGGGAACGGGGAGGGCGCTTTCCCCTCTGGGCGAGCTGAAGAACGCAAAGCAAAAGTTTTTGCGGCGTTGTGAAAATTTCCTCTCCTTTCCGCCAACGTGTTGTTGTTCTTCTTCAACACATCAAAACAAAGCAATACTTCAAGGCTCTTTGGTGTAAAAAGAACAGGTTCCCGCCCTTTGTACTATCACGGATCATAAAGCAAGCGAAGAAGGAGAAAATCACCTTTCTGTCTAGTTTATTATCTTGAATTGAAAGCAGTACAGTGTAAACCAAACCATACCATACCATACCATACCGAGCCGAAACAAAGTACACTTGTAACCATTCGTAATCATAAGTGAACGAGCAACGGGATAGAAAAAACACGGTTACTTGAGACCAACTAAGCATCATAACACGTATCGGTAGCACTATGTCAGTCGTCCAAGAGTTTGTAGATGTTTTGGGTGAGTTTAAAGGTTTAAAGTCTGGTATTTCTGGCTCCCGTATTAAGAAGTTGACCCAGTTGGCTGTTGAGAATGCTTCACTGCAGGACCAGCTGGTTGACAAGGTTATCGACAACCTGAAGACGTCGTCGGAGACGCACAAGCTCGGCGCACTGTACGTTGTCGATTCCATCGCCAGGGCCTACCAGGATGTTGCTGCTAAGAACATTGGTGCCAGTGCCGACGCCGCTGCTGGCTTAAAGAACTTGAATGGTAAGATCCAGGATGCCCTAGCCGTCACTCTCGGTGCCTGTCCACAGGACCATAAGGAGAAAGTGGCCAAATTGATAACCATATGGCGTAAAGCTGGTACTTTTGACCAGTCGATATTGGATAGCGTTAAGTCTGAATTCTTCGAAGGATCAACTACCCCAAAGGGTGCCCCACCACCGCTGGCTACGGCTGCTAAATCACAGGCCGAGGCAGCTCCTGTTCTTTCAGCCAATGATTTGTTGAAGAACTTGGCCTCTTTGCAAAATCACAACAATAACCAGAGTGCAATTCCACCACCACCACCACCAGCAGCAGCAGCTCCTTCGTCTTCTGGAGTCGGTTCTGGTGCCCCTTCTGCACTCCCAAACATTCCTGGTCTACCATCAGACCCTAGAGATGCTATTGCTCAGCTTGTATCCACGATGCAAAACAATGGTAACTTGGCTGCGTTTATGCAACAACAGCAACAGCAACAGCAGTTTCAACAGCAACAACCACCGAACCACTCGTATCCACAACAAGGAGGCTCCTTGCCATCCCAATCCGAGTCCTTCGGCGGCTATAGAGGTGGCCAGGATAACGAGCGTGGGTACGAGAGAGACAGACGTGATAACGGTTACAGCCGTCGTCCAAGATCAAGATCTCCACAGAGAAGAAAACCAGCTGCGCCACCAGGCCACGTTATCGGAGAGAAGAATATTCCAGGAACTGCTCACTACAGAGAGAAGAACGTTCAGATGGATCCAAACTTGCCTTACAACTCCATCAAGGTGTTGAGTCGTACGCTGTTCGTTGGTGGTATCCCTTCATACATGAATAGCGAAGAGTTGAAGAGTATCCTGAGACCATACGCTGAGGTGCAAAGTGTTATCATGAACGCTGAGCGTAAGCATGCGTTTGTCAAGACATATTCTCGTAAGGAAGCTGAGAACGTTATCAATAACTTCCACCAGATCACTGCTGCTAATCTAAGAGTTCGTTGGGGTGTCGGCTATGGTCCTCGTGATTGTTGTGACTACATTCATGGTGTCAGTATTATCCCAATCGACAGATTGACCGACGCTGACAAGCGTTGGGTCAACAGTGCCGAATGGGGTGGTGCTGGAATGGACAGACCTCTTGTTCCAAACATGGTGATGGAGGAGCCTGATATCGAAATCGGTGAAGGTGTGTCTTCCAAGGCCATTTCTAAGAAGATGCCAACGGATGGCTCCAGAAATGGACCAAGATCAAACAGACCTGGTGAGCAGGACCAGAGCTACTCCACAAGCCAGACAGGATTGCCTTCGTTCATGCAGAACAACAACACCAGAGATAACCCATTGGCAAACTTGTTTGGAGGTAATGGCTCATTCGCACAGGGCCAAACCGCAACTTCAACACCACCTCCGCCTCCGGGCCAAGCTCCACCAGCAGCTGGTGGTGATGCTAACGCACAACTCGCCAACTTGATGGCAATGCTTCAGAAACAGCAGGGTAAATAGTCATTGTATAGTACCGAAAAGAGAGTTAATGGATTGATTAAGACATATTGGTTTCCGCTATTTATTATTACGTAAGCAGCAGGAAGTATGGGGAAATCTTTTGATGCGATATGTGATTATGTAATGGCTGACTAAGCACCCAACCCGCCGTGGGTTTTAAAACTTTTCATATTTTTTTCCGCTGACGTCGAGAATCACCAAACTTGAAAGAGGCGGATTACCAGCTTTGAAGGTGTTGGAAAGAAGGAAACGACATTTACAGAGATGTATCAACGTATGTGTGTTGCACTGATGCCGTGTCCTCGCGTCGCGATGCCTTTACTAACGTGAATTCTGTGATAGCGTTGAAGAGATGCTTAGCTACTGTTGCGTCCCCATCAGCAGAAGGAAGTGCAGTGAATGCCATTAAGGCTGCTCTATTACTGACGCGTCAGCCAATTGTGACGCCAGATCTCACAGAGCTGGAGAAAGCGTACTTCAACTACCAGGAGGAATTGGAACGTCGTCTCATGTGGACTTTCCCTCACTATTACTACTTCAAGAAGGGGTCCCTTTCAGAGCGTCGTTTCATCAAAGCTCAAAAGGGTCCGGTTTCTAACCAGCCAAACATCTTGTTCGAGAAGGGAGAGCCGGACGTTGTACACAACAGAGAGAGAAGACTGAAGCAGGAGGTGAGAATCCCAAAGGAGGAATACGAGGAGTCAAGTATGTCTGATATCTCCAGACCTGTTGTGCCAAACTCCAGAATCACAGACGCTGATCGCGCAAACGATATCACTTCTTTGGAGAGAGCTTTACCAAGAACGCTACATCTATTGGTCAATGAGAACAACAAGGGATGGAAACTCCCATCCTTTGCCCTTGCACAAGGCACAACGCTTCACAGAGCTGCGGAGTCTGGACTTAGAGAGCTTGGTGGTGACGATATTCATACATGGACCGTGGCACGCTCTCCAGCTGCAGTGCTAAAGTATGAACATGGTAAATTAGTTGCACCGGATGCCAATTCTGACAAGCTGGAGAGAGAATTCATCATAAAATCACACATCCTTGCTGGTGCATTCAAACCACAGAACTTGGAGTACGCATGGCTGACCAAGGAGGAAGTTGAAGAGAGAGTCAGCAAGGACTATTTTGAGGCTACAGAGTTCTTGTTCTCTCGTGTTTGAAGGGGGACAAGTCATTTGTATCATTACATAGAACGGAACAGAATTACATGTAAATATCCATCTGAGTATTCGTCGGAGAAGAAGAATCACCGCTGATGATGTAGTTTATCATCAGAGGGGTCTTATTCTGTAGCACACCATGATGTTACCATCAGGGTTAGAAAACAGGTGAGTTGTCTGATGCTTTGGGTTTGGACAGAATTGGAAAGTTGAAGGCAATGACGTTCCAGCCTTAGATCTCGTGGCTTGAGTCTCTTCATTCCAGGTCCTTGTGTTGAATAGCCTCGTGGGCTGCTCTTCACCGTCGTACACTATCGCTATGAGCGTTGAGTTGAAAGTGACGTCAATTGCAGCTATTGGCTCATCAACATCTCCAAAGGTCTTCACTGCGACCAATGATTCCAGAGACCACACAGATGCCAAACCTTCATTTGCACCTACGTAGAGATATTGGCCCCTTGGATCAACTCTCAGCGTCCTGATAGCGGCGTTGTGGCCTTCAAGCACATGTACCAGCTCGAATTGACCACCTTGGTTATAGTATAAGTTGATTTGCCCATTAGCCAATCCAACAAATATGAAGTCAGATGTGTTACTCCAGCACAGCGAGTGAGGTACTGACTTCACCTTGATGTTCTGAATCACGCTGGCTGCACTTGGATCGACGATGATGAGGGAGTTCACCACAGATGTACAGGCAATGAGCTTTGCATCTGGGGAGTAACCCACATGGTTCAGTTTATGGTGCTCAACAGCGTATGTATTTGACACGGTACCAGTGACGGAGTTCCAAATCTTGAGATGCTGATCATTCGCAACAGTCGCCAATGACGTTTCGCTTCCCGGTTTCCACGACATTGAGCATATGCCCTTTCCATGGGGCTGGTTAACAACCAGTGGAATGGTGTTTGCTGGCTCACCAGCAGATCTCATACCCCATATACGCAGCGATTCGTTATCAGCAGCTGCTATTCTTGTACCCAGGTAGTTCCAAGAGGCACAGATTACCTCCCTTCTCTGTCTTGACCTTTCATACGCCAGTTTGACAGTGACAAAGTCCTTGAAGGGGCCCGTCTGGGTGTCTTCTTCCTGAGTTCTGAGCTTGTCCCTTTCCCTGTCACGGTCCCTGTCACGGTCTCTGTCACGGTCTCTGTCACGGGCTCTCTCTCTGTCCCTGTCCCTGTCCCTGTCCCTGTCTCTGTCCCTGGTTCTGTCCCTGTCTCGGTCATTACGGCGTGCTCTGTCCCTTCCAGCGTCCCGTCCAGCGTCCCGTCCAGAATCCCGTCCAGCGTCCCTATAGCCCCTGCCAGAATCTCTCATCGCTTGAGGTGTCACACAGTGCTCTGGTTCTAAACCGTGGAGAATTGCGTCCGGAGGAAGTGGGCTCAGTTTTCCTCAACGCGATGCCTTTGTTGTTTTGTTTTGTTTTCTGACCTTACACCAGTGACGACACAAAAACAATTTCAATGTTGAGGTTGAAGCGATTGAAGTAAACAAAGCAGTTGCTACGACAATATAACGAAAGTGGTTAGATAGGAAGAAGAAGAAGAAGAAGAAGAAGAAGAAGAAGAAGAAGAAGAAGAAGAAGAAGAAGAAGACTTAGACGAAGAGCATACGTATGGGTACGGAGTCGGGCAATTTCTACAGGAGCAGGCCGTCGTCGCTGTCGTCAATGAAGAACTCAGGGCCTCCCATACCAAGCGGAGGCTCACGAGGCTCGCTCACGAAGGAATTTCCATCATTGAATAGGAATTCCAGTGGGAGAAGCTGGAGTAGCACTGAAGGCTCTGTGATTTCAAGTCCTAATGATGAGTTTGAGAGAGATACATGGGATGCTCCTTCTGCGAAGGTTTCCACTACACGACGTGTAGTGGTTAGGAAAGTTAGTAGTGGACCTGACCCTGCTAATCTTCTTGGAGATCACAAAGGATCTACAACCATGTTGACAAAGTCAAGCAACAAGAGGCCGATGTGTGGTGATGCTCCTGAGAGCGACGGGCTCAGGAAGGCTGGCTGTGCTGATTTTAAAAGACGGGTTATAGGCTCTTCTGGTTTGAGTTCAAACATTGGTTCAGCCCAGAAGAGAAAAGGCGAAGAGCCCAACCGAGGACAGAAGTCTAAAGCACTTGAGAGCTTGCGACTAGAAAGGAAACACAGAACTGCTATTTCAGGCGAGCGCAAAGGTCAAAATGGATCAGATATTCTCTCGACGCTGAGAGTTACACGAAGCAAGAGTAGGAGCTCAAGTGACCTGAAAGCCAGCGAACACGATTCCGTGCTCGATGATGATGAACTGCAATTGTTCAATACTAGTGAGTGCAATGACTCTGACGAACTGCTAAGCTCTCAGAGCCGGAAGTTCACTGTTGAAGACCTAAATACAGAAGAGAAGATGATCTTTGAAAAGGCTCAAAAGTTAAGGAAACAGGAAAGATCTTTACAAAGGAAAGCAGAGCAGATGGCAGATTTCCATTCACAGCTTCTTTCCACCAAGGTGTGGAAACCTCGCGGTGATGATGGTCAAGATGAGAACTTGAGCGACGAACACATATCCGGCTTCAATAAGAGCGCCGATCTCGATGAGGCGTTGAAACTTGACAATGCTGATGATTCCATCGAGGTATTTGACGAGTCGGTGAACCTTCACAAGAAGCGGAGAACCGTCAGTGAGAAGTATGGCAACAAGACATACCAAGGTTCGTTGACGTCGCTCGAACTGAACGCAAAGGCGGAGGCCCATATCTCTTGTGTTGAGTCCATCCTTAATGGATCCATTCAGTCCGTCTACTATGCACAAGCTTCCACCATCGCCAAAGAGTCCAATACCGCAATGCCATCTGTGGAGGAGTTCAGGAGGATCAGCTTTGACGAGTTCACTATTGGGTTCTATGGAATTCAGAGACAAACGTTCATCGCTAAGATCATAGCAAGGCAATTCAAGGATCCGTTGACAAGGGCTATGCGCACAAACAAGACTGCTATCTGGTGGGGCAGGGACAACTTTGTGCTATACGTATTGGCTGCCGAGGTTGGTGCTCGAATAGCTGCTGAAGAATTGCACATAGATTTGGATGATGTGTACGACTTGTTCCTCAGCACTGTTGATTACGGCAAATACATCACAGACCTCGATCCGATAGAGTAAATACGGGCTGCTGTCTTCAAATACATCGAGCTCAGATACTCTCAGCACTCGATCGGCACGGCAATATCGCTCGAATCCCTCATCATCGTTGTATAGCTTATACACCATCGTCGCTATACGTTCTGAGCCATCCGGACACCGCTTACGTAAGCACTGCGGGAACCCTAAGTTTTTCTGCCATTTTTCTGTTTTCGTTTTTCGTCTTGTTGTTTTTCATCACGAATTTATACTGCTATCACCATAGCAATAAACATCAATCGCATACAAAAACACACACACACATGAAATTAACGTTTAAGTCTTGAAAACATAGCGCCGGAGTTGAAAAAAAGGCGAAAAAAGGCGTACACAAAAGTGCGCTGTGCGTTGTAGCGCCAAAAAGACGAAAATTGGACAAAAATTTTTTTGTCTCGTCTCATCTTCGTTCATCTTGAAATCATCGAATATTTATTTCGTTTCATTCCATCAAAACCCCCCTCTCGGTGTTGAGTTGAAGAAGATTGTTGAAGACTGAAGTGAAGACGTGGAGAAATGGCTGCTGTATTCCCAAGAACCTGTTACAAATGTGGTGAACTCGGCCACGTTGCTGAGGCTTGTACCCAGGAGGAGCGTTTATGCTACAACTGTCACCAGCCGGGACACGAGTCCACTGCTTGTCCTGAGCCAAAGCAAAACACTCAAAAGCAGTGTTACAACTGCGGTGGTGTTGGTCACGTCCAGAGCGACTGTACTGAACAAAGCCAAGGTGCTCGTTGTTACAACTGCTCCGAGTTTGGTCACATTTCCAGAAACTGTCCACAACCTCACCAGGGCAACTCCAGACCTCAGAAGTCGTTTGGCTCCAGAAACACCAAGACCACCTGCTACAAGTGTGGTGGGCCAAACCACTTTGCCCGTGACTGTCAGGCTGGTGTGACCAAGTGTTACGCCTGTGGTAAGATTGGTCACATCTCCAAGGACTGTACCTCTTCTGCTGGTGGTGACAACGCTGCTGCTGCTCCAAAGACTTGTTACAACTGTGGTGGTGTTGGCCACATCTCTAAGGAATGTACAGCCAAGCCTGAGGAGAAGGCTTAGATGCCATGAACTGTGAAGAGTTATGTCTTTGCTGTGTGTCTTCCCCTGGCCATGTCAAGATTGTATTGAAGAAGAGTGTGTGTTGAAGGAAGGTGCTTCTGGAGCTTGAAGTTGAAAGTTGAAAGGTTCTATTGACGAGAATCATTTTATTCTTTATGAGATTTTACTACCGAGTATATATTCTAGTTCATATATACCTTCTGTTCTTTGTACTTAATTATATTTTACTTTTCCGGATTGGTTTATGAAGCATTTGACGTAGATTGATATCGTAATGTATATGGGATCTTATGCTGCCACGGTCCTATATCATACAATGTCCCTGTACAGGGCATCTCCAATCAGTAGCACCTTCTTCATCTCTTCAACGTCATGGACACGAACAATGTCGGACTGATAGCCAATACATGACATGATGACAGCACCTGTGGTGAGCACTCTTTCAGCAGGGATCTTCTCATTGGTGAGAGTGCCAATAAACTTCTTTCTCGACGGTCCAACCAAGATTGGTAACCCATCCAGACTGTTGTAACGTTTAGTGGACTCGTTATAATTCGAATAGGACTTGATCAAAGGCGTACCTCTGATCAATGCGAGATTCTGTTTGAGGTCTTTAGCAAATCCTATACCGGGGTCGGTGATGATCTGCCATCTCTTAACGCCTCGGTCTATGGCTTTCTCATACTGGACGCAAAGCTCCCTGGCCACTGCCTTTAACAGGATATCCTCGTCATGGTTGTAGTTTGATTGACAACGGGTGTACTCAACCAAGTCAGGATCATCATTCGCAGTGTATTGGTTCAACTTTGACATGGTATCTGGTGTCCCCCTTGTATGACTGAGGATGTATGGAACTCCAGTTTCAGCAATAACGTCAAACATCTTCTCGTCGTACAATCCACCACTAATATCGTTAATGATATCAGCACCAGCCTCTATAGAATCTGATGCCACACTGGCTCGATACGTATCAATGCTGATGATGACGTTTTTCAAGTCCTCGTCAGGATGTGATCTAATGGCCTTGACAATTGGAACAACACGTTCCCATTCTTCCTCTGCAGATGGTGCAATGGACCCAGGTCTGGTAGAGACTCCTCCAATATCGATGATATCTACGCCTGATTTCACCATTTGAAGGGCATTCTCAAGAGCAATGTCCAATTCGGCATTCACCCCACCGTCACTGAAAGAGTCTGGTGTTGTGTTTAGGATACCCATCAGATAGGTACGGTGTGATTGTCCTAACAGATCAAAGGTTAGCTGACGTGGAGTTGGTCGAGTGAAGTACTTATTCTGTAATGGTACATGCACAGATAACTCATTCGACTTCTGCTTTGTTTGATCAACTTTTGAAGCATAGAGCTGTTTCAAATGGTTGTGGTAAGGCTCTGCGGTGACTGGATGGATCTGCTCTGGTGGAATAAGTTCACACAATGGTTGCAACACAAATGTTCTTTCAATCATTCTCATATGTGGAATGACCAAGTCAGGCTCGTTCAACACGAGATCATCGTACAACAGAATGTCTAGGTCGATAGATCTCGGGCCGTTATCTTTGAGTTTGGTACGTCCAAGCGTTTCATATTCAATGCTTTTCAAATGCTTGAGTAACATGTGTGGAGATGATGTTGTAGAAATCTTCAAAACACCGTTGATGAACTTTGGTTGGTCTAAGAAGTACATTGGTTCAGATTCGTATAGCGACGACGTTGCCAACACATCTGTACCTTCAATGGAGTTCAAGGCAACGATGGCTTCGTTGATATTCTGTAATTGATTGCCCACATTGGAACCAAAGGCAATATATGCGGTGTGTTGGCTCTCAGTATCAGTGTCTATGACAGTGCTTTGCGTTGGCAAGTTGAAGGAGTTTTCATAGTCCAATGGTTTAGCAAGTTCCTTCACGTCAATCTTTGGAACTCCTTCAAAGTCCTTTGGTGTTCTGGTGACCTGAACACCAACACCATTGGCAAAGGTGATTGCATTGGGCTTCTCCACTCTTGTGACAACCTGTAAGATGTGTTCAAATTGTAACACAACATGTGAGACACATTCCACGAGAGCTTCAACGGTCTTGAAGTTCGAATTCTCCACATATAGGGCAACGTCCTCGATGATCCTGTAGACATCGACATCTGAATGCGATATGGAGATGTCCAAGTCCAAGGAAACGTATTGCTTTTGGAGTCTTTCAAAAGTGAACACTCCTATGATTGTTGGCACAGTGAGCGATTTGATAGCGATGAGATCGTTTGTAGTGCTTGGCCTCTGGATAACACCATTGGACTTTACTCTTGAGACGATTGCCTGTATTTCTTTGGCTTTAATCTCGGTCTTCTTACCACTGATGACGACTTTGGATTCATTCCCTCCACCTCTCTTCTCATCGAGCACCACCTCTGACACTCTGTTGGCAACGTTTATGAACGACTTGAAGTTTGTGCCTCTGTTCTTCTCAAAGAACTCCAGCACGTTTCTGGATATCACTGCATAGTTCAGAGAGTGTTTCAAATCATCCGACACACTCGAGGCCTTGAAATCGGTTTGCAGGCTAATAGAAACTTCCAGAGGCTGAATCGTCGGCCTCTTCCAGTAGTCCCTACCTGTGATGCCTTGCACCTGTAGCTTGTCTATGAGAACCAGATCCTTGGAGCTCATGAATCTATACTCACGTGCTTGTTAGTCTCTCGTTTCATTCGAACTGACGATATCGAGTTCATGATACAATACCTTTTCAATGCTGTTGTACGCTTGGTTGAAGTCAGGAGGGAGACTGACTTGTTTCTTATCAGAGAAAACACTTTGAAAGAGAGCTGTTCTTGCTTTGACGACAAACGAGACAAACAATTGGCCGAATGAACCTCACAAACCGGCTAAAACTTCAATGAGAACTCATTGAGTTTTTTTTTTTATTTTGCGTATGGCTTTGAAGTGCTCATCGCCTGTTTCGCAAATTGGCGAAGAACAAAGCGAAAAAAAAAGAGAGAACACAGTTTAAGGTTCCAATAGGGAAATATTCGCGGGGAGAATATGGTGTGTGGGTGTTTGGGTGCTTGGATGTTGTGATGTCCAGGTGTATGGATGTCCGGGTGTTTACATACCGAGAAATTATGGCTCCATCTCTCGCTCTTCCGAGGAGTTGATGTATGCTCATCGTTCCCCATTGCCCAATTAACGCTCGGAAACATGTCTATGATCTTTAGAAGAGCACTGGCAAGCGTCAGCACCAAGAGTGTTGAGCCAAAAGTCGTTGATGTACTGATTGTCGGTGGTGGGCCTGCTGGTCTGACGCTGTCAGCTGCCCTGAAGAACTCGAGAATCACCAGGGATTTGAACATCCAGCTCGTTGAAGGATTCAAACTGGATGGCGTCAAGAGCTTCTATGAGGAAACACCAGAGCTGCTGACCAATAGGGTGAGCTCGTTGACACCACAGTCCGTGGAGTTCCTCCAAAGAATTGGTGCTTGGAAGTTCATCAGACAGGAAAGGGTACAACCTTATGACGGGATGGTTGTCACTGAAGGGCTCAGCGACGCCAGATTGAGCTTTGACCATCCTGAAATTGCCACGATGTGTGAGAACGTCAACTTGCAATCATCGCTATACCAGAGAATCAAGGAGTTGGAGTCGCAAACCGCAGAGGGTGAAGCGTTTGGCCTCGACATTAAGGACGATACAAAGGTCACGTCAATCACCAAAGATGAATCCAACGATTGGCCAATAGTACACTTGTCCAATGGAGAATCCATCAAGACACGCTTACTCGTTGGAGCTGACGGGTTCAACTCCCCTGTGCGTAAGTTTTCAGGGATCGAATCAAGAGGCTGGTTCTACAACAGATTCGGAACCGTCGCCACGGTCAAGCTGGAGTACGCACCATTTGTATCATGTGCATGGCAGAGATTCTTGCCTACTGGTCCAATTGCTCTGCTGCCAATGCCGGATGACAACGCAACCATGGTTTGGTCTACGACTCCAGAGCTTTCGGAGCTGTTGACCAAAGTTGAGCCAGAACTGTTTGTTAGTCTTGCCAATGCTGCCTTCCTGTTGAACAACGTTGACATGGAGTACTACTACCAATGCCTAAGAAAGGACGAGACAGAAGGCCTCGTTGACGACATCCAGTGGAGAATTGACCACATGACGCAGAAATTCACAGAGGAAGAGCTTGATGAGAAGTTCCCCGTGAAGATCATCTCAGTACAGGACAAGTCCAGGGCTCGCTTCCCATTGAGACTCTCACACGCAGACACCTACGTCGCTGACAGAATCGCACTCGTAGGAGATGCTGCTCACACTACACATCCACTGGCTGGTCAAGGCCTCAACATGGGACAAGGCGACGTCCAAGCCCTGGTGAATGCCCTGGAACAGGGCATCACCAGAGGGCTCGACATCGGCAATCTGCTGGTACTGGAGCCATTCTGGGCCGATAGATACCCGGAGAACAACCTGCTGTTAGGCGTTGTCGATAAACTGCACAAGCTGTACGCATGTACCAGCGAGCCAATCGTGGCATTGAGAAGCTTTGGCTTAAATGCAGTCAACCAGTTAACACTGTTGAAGGACTTCATGATTGGCCACGTCTCTGGTAAATAAAACCACGTATATAAAGACGACACACTTGTAAATTGGCTAGGATGAGCTCTGTAGTGCAGAGGTAGTGCCCGGTACATTCTACACGGTTCAAATGGAGGGCTTCGCATCATCAACATCAACATCAACATCAACATCAACATCAACATCAACATCAACATCAACATCAACATCAACATCATCACGTGCCTTGCTCCTAGTAGGACATATATATACGGAGCCTGTGAGATGAGCATTCTACTCCAGACGTCAATTGGTTCGTATACATCGTTGTGGGCGATTGGCTGACACATACTAACGTACCACGTTTGTAGGCAACTTGGTGATTGACCTGTATACCAAGGATTCCCCTGTGGAGTGCACGAACTTCATCAAACTGTGCAAGTTGAAGTACTACACGTTTGCACCTTTCTATTACGTCAAGAGGGATCTGCTTGGGGAGTTTGGCGACCCCTTGTATCCCCTGTCGAAGCAAGGTCGAAGCGTTTGGAGCGTTGTTGATGCTGATATGCCTGCGCAGTTCAAACTGCACCGGAATGGGAAAAGGCCAATTCATAAGGGTGATGTCTCCTTCAGGGTGACGAGCCAGGTATCCAACGAGCAGTTTGGCACGTCTATCGTATCGATTACGCTTGGAGATTTAGACCCACGCAAGGGAACACTACCGGGCGTTGTCTTTGGTAAAGTTGTTGAAGGACTGGACATTTTGGACAAGCTGAACAAAGCCATTGTGGATGGTGAGTTTCGTCCACTACAGGACATTAGAATACACCGTACGTATGTCCTGGATGATCCGTTTGAGGATATCAGTGGGATGAGTGGAGATGTGCCTCCAACTCCTGAGCCATCAGAGGAACAGATCTCCACCATCAGATTGGACGATGTTGAGCAAGTTAAGCTTGAAGACGAGGCTCACGAAATGACACAGGAGGAGATCAGAGAGAGGAAGCAGCGAGAGGCACTGTCCAAGGCTCTCACGCTGGAGATCATTGGTGATCTGCCGTCTGCTGAGGCCAAGCCGATGGAGAACGTGCTCTTTGTATGTAAACTGAACAGGCTCACGAGGGACGAGGATTTGGAGACGATATTCGCAAGGTTTGGGGCCATAACATCGTGTGAAGTGATCAGGGACAAGTCTACTGGGGAGTCGTTACAGTATGCCTTTATAGAATACGAGGACAAGAGGAGCTGCGAAGCTGCGTACTTCAAGATGGACGGGGCGTTGATTGATGATCGAAGAATCCATGTTGATTTCAGTCAGAGTGTGTCGAAATTGGCCAGTGTATGGCAGAAGCAGAGGGTGTTGAGACGTTAGGAGAGGTTGTAAACAGAGCTCATTGTCGTTATAAAAGAGGCTACAAAGAGGCTAATTATCACAGAAAAGCAGTCTACGAACAGCTCGTGATCGTAGAAGAGGC